CGGCTCGAGAGCGCCGGCGCGTAGGTCGCGACCGACGCGCAGCGCGGGCACGAGCACAGGAGCGCCGCGGGTGCCGTGCCACTAACCTGGTTGTGCCGGGCAGGGCAGTTGAGTGGTGGACCATTGGCATTGCGGCATGCGCGATGCGCGGGGGAGGGGGGAGGCCCGCCCCCCAGGCGTTTATCGTTTTTTATCACCCCACCTCTTCACTTCAGGGGCCCGCTCCTCACCTCGTACAGCTGCAGGCCGTCCCACACCCCGCCGAGCGCCCACAGCCCGCGCTCTCGCAGCGGGAGGGCCTCGGCCACGTGCCTCAGGCAGCCCTCCGGCACCGGACTCCGGCAAGCGCGCAGGCCGTGCGCCGCGCACCTGCGCTCGAAGCGGGCGAGGGCGGGGTCGAGGGTGCAGCCCCCCTCTGGCATCCCGGCCGCGCCGGCCAGGGCGGTCACCGCGCCCCCGGAGACGCGGTTGAAGAGCAGCAGCGTGACGCGCAGCGCCGGGTTCTCCGCCAGCAGTGCCGCCAGCGTCGCCTCGAGGCCGTCGCCGCCGGCAGCTTCGCCGCCGGCGGCATTGCCACCACCGCCGCCGCTGCCGATTGGCACGCTCACGATGTCGGCCCCGATGACGTGCGTCAGCGTCCGCGGGTCGACGAGGCGGCTCAGCCGGCGGACAGCCTCTGTGCCTCCCGCGGCGTCCCACCGTTCAACCCGCAGCAGCGCCGGCGCCTCGTTCTCCGCGGCGTTCCGATGCAAGTTGGCGAGCGCGCTGTCGCACACGTCGGTGGCGAGGACGCGAGTGGGGTCGCCGTCGGATCCCCCGCCGCCACCCGCATCTGAGGAGCACGAGGCCGCCAGCGCGAGGCCAATCGAGGTGACGCCAACGCCCGCTCCCACCTCCAAGACTGAGCCGTGGCGGAGCGGCACCCCGCCGTCGACCGCCCACTGCAGCAGCACACGGCCCGCCGGCCAGTCGACGCAACCCTGGCCGGCCTCGCCCTCAGCTGCGCGCACTCGAGTGTGCAGCTTCATATCGACCGAGACAGGCGTCGTGAGCACGTGCCGAACGGTCCGCCACTTGCGCAGGTCGAGCCACTCGTCCAAAGCGATCGCAGTCGCAGTGGCGAGACCGCCAAAGTAGGCTAGCGCGGCGGCGCGGTGCCTCTTAGGGACAGCACGGGCGGCCATGCGCACTCCCGTCGCTGCCGTGCAGTAGAGCTCTAGGGTGCGTGCGCGCTTGCGGCATTCTTTTGTTGCAAACTTCTTTTCTTTCTGCTCTCGAGCGAGAATCGGCGAGGGACTGCGAAGAGAGATAGGAAGAGGCAGACGGAGGGCCCAACTTGAGAATCGTGCTTTTTGTTGGGTTGTTTTGGGTTGGGTTGGGTCGTCTGGGTTGGGTCGTTTTGGTTGGGTTGGGTTGGTTGGGTTGTTGGGTTGGGTTGTTCAAAGCGAGGTTAGGTCGTCGGCGCGAAGGGTGAGGTCTCGACCGCCGCCGCTCACGCCAGCCTGCCGCCAGCGGACGGCCACTGCCGGTGTTTTTGGCTTCGCCACCGTCCAAGGCGTGCGCTATGGCCTATGCGATCGCCGACATCGAGCGAGCACGCCTGTCCGACGAGCGGCTTGCTGTGCGGACGCCTTCTTGTGTATGGCTCTCGTCGAGAGCGTTTTGCGTCCCGGCGGGTGGGAGAGCATGTGTCGTTCTGATGTGTCACTGTGTGCGTCACATCGATGTGGATAACAAGCACGGTCGATCCGTCAAAGCGATACACTCGTGTCACGTTGGACGGCTTGCACGGAGCTCTGACTGTGCCAGGCTGCCAGCACACAGAAAGAGAGCCCCCGCGCGGCAAGAAGAGCTCGATGGGGAGCGAGAACCGTCAGATTTTCAGGTGTAACCTGAACGCTGAAGTCCGTCGCGACGCGCTCAATCCCTCCCAAGCAAAAGCCTGTGGCTCCCATCCCTCCCTTGGGTTGTCTGTTTTCTTTCTTTCTTTTCCGAGAATCGGCGATTTCCCCTTCAAGACCTCACGCCCCCCACAGAAAGCGGTTTTTGCCATAAAATAATGCTGTTTTCGTTGGGCCGATTTTCGCTAAGGACGAGGACATGCGTAGGCCGCACCTCTAGCGAAGCCGCCACAGAGTGGGAGACTCCTATCACCGTCCCTGCCACCCACGGCGTGAGCCTTGGCCGCCTCTGTCAGTGTGCCCGTGATAGTGAGAGACTGCCAGTGAGAAGCCGGAGGAAGGTCGCTAGTCGAGAGAGATCGCCAGAGGAATAAGGAGTCCACCGTGCTGCGAACCTGTCGCTGTCCCTTGTCAGGAGCAGGAGAACTAGGAGAGCGCAACCAGTAGGAGCGGCCCGCGCCTGCCCCCGTGCCGCCGGGTGCAACTTTGTCCTATACGAGAGGGGAATCCCTGGGGCCCTGTCGTGTGGGTGAACCCTGCCCAGCCCCCCTCCGTGTCGCGATGCGCTCCCCACTCCCGTTCCCCTGTGTCCCTGATCGTCCTTCCAAAATCCTGCTCGTGCAGGTAGGGACCCTGTCCTCCCCCCATCCCTCGTCTGGTTTGTCTGTTTTCTTTCTTTCTTTCTTTCTTTCGAGAATCGGCGAGGGACTGCGAAGAGAGATAGGAAGAGGCAGACGCCCAAGGGTGGGCGACGGCTAGCGCACCACACTCCTCTCCTCAAAATCCCTGTGTGGTGGCGGCGTGCCGTCCTCCCATCCCTCCCTTGGTTGTCCGTTTTCTGTCTTTCTTTTTTGAGTACGCTCTCAAGTCAGAAGTGAGAAGATGAAACAGCCAGGAGAGAGAACGACGAGAGTGGGAAGATCGCGCGAGGTGGCATGACGGTCGCTGCGAGAATTAGCGAGAAACTGCAAAGAGAGATATGAAGAGGTAGACGACCGAGGGTGAGTCACACACACACACACACACACTCACACGAGGGTGGGCGACGCCGACGCGCGACGGCTAGCACTCCACTCCTCTCCTTAAAATCCCTGTGTGCCGGTGCGTGGCGGCGTGCCGTCATCCCATCCCTCCCTTGGGTTGTCTGTTCTTTCTTTTTCTTTCTTAAGACCCCGCCCCCCCCGGCTGTGCACCCTGCTTTTACAAAAAAAAATCTGGCGCAGCGTTTGTTTTTTCAGTTTTGTTTTTTGTTGTTGGGGATGTTGCGGATGTTGTCTTGTGACATATAGTTGTGCCTTGTGCGGCTTGGTGTGGGGGGAAATAAATTAAACTGGCTCATCTCAACAAAACCGCTAATAGTTGAGCTGAGGTGGGAGCTGGGAGGGCGTCTACAGTGAATCACTGACAGTGTGGAGCGCTGTGTGTGTGTGTGTGTGTGTGTGTGTAAGAAACACGGTGGCCATGGCGGCGATGGTGGTGGCGGGCTGTGACCGATCACAATGACGGCGCGGCGTCGCCACCCCCGCTGCCGGCCGCTACGTCTACGGCGGCTCACAGAACCTGCTCCGTCGTGACGCGGCCGTCCATCAGCACGACGCGCAGCTGGCCTCCTCCGCCCACCCACGACGCGTCGCTCACTCGCCGCCGGCCGCAGCACGACCGCCCCTCCGCGCCGGAAAGCCGCCGCTGCACCGCCACGCCGACCGCAAAGTAGAGAAGGGTGGAGAGGCACTGCCCCCAGACGAAGGGCGACCCGCGGTGCTCGCTCGCCGCCGACGGGTCCACCACCCACAGGAAGCGCGCGTCGATGCGCGAGAAGGCGAGGAGGGCAAGGCCAGGCACGAGCCCCACGGCGCCAGCCGCGGCGGTGGCGAAGACCATGAGCGGCTTCTGCTGGTGCGCGAGGAGCACCGCGCCGACCAGGCCGGCCACGCCGATGCAGATAAAGTAGGTGAGGTCGCGATGGAGAAACACGACGCCCGTGGCGACGCGGTGCAAGCCGAGCTCGTAGCTCCAGAAGCCGAGTGCGCCGCCCGCGCAGAGGCCCACGGACGCAAAGGCCAGCGTGAGGAGCCGCAGCGCCAGGCCGCCCACCGCCACGCCGACCAAGAGTGGCGCGGCGCAGAGCGCGACGCAGTTTGCCGCCGCGGATGCGAGGGAGAGGCCGGAGAGGGCGGCGTCGGTGGCGAGGAGGGTGGCGAGGTAAGCGACGACTCCGGCGGAGAGGAAGAAGGCGAGACGAGAGAGTCGCTCTCCAGCGAGGAGGAGGAGCAACGACCCTACAGTCAGCGCGATGGCCACGGGCAGGGAGCCTTCGAGCGAGGCCTCGAGAGCGTGTGCCTCCTGCTCGACCCAGCCCGTGGCGGCTGAGGCGTTGAAGCGGAGCACGTACGGCAGGAGCGGCGAGACCGGGCAGCTCGGGTCGAGCGGGTAGGAGTCCACCATGAAAAGCAAGCTCGGATGACCCGTCTTTTGCGGTCGTCTTGTGGCAAGAAAAAATAAACCGCGGACGCTTGACTCCGTTGGGCCACGGTGACTAGGGAAGGGGAAGCAGAGTTCAGCAACGTATTCACGAGCGCATGATTTTCAGTGCTGATTTTAAGTTACGAAACGACGACAACACAAAAGTCGACTCGCATCGGTGCCCTTGCCCATAACGGGCGGAGCTATTCTCGCGTCCACACCACACGTTCACAAAGTCTTGTTGGTTCTAAAATCTCTCAAACTTAACCAAGTACATTGCCGGCATCACGCCGCCCAATGTCTCGTGCGAGGCTCTCGAGTTTGCACAACCGCATCCGCAGTCCTTTGAGAGCATTGCTCGCGCCGACGCCTCGCCCCAGGCGCTCCGCGACTTGGCCTGCATATACTTTTCCGGCAAACAAAAAGGAAAACAGAGGGTCCCCAGCACTTTGCGTTTCCGGAAATTTCCAGGGAAAACAGAGGGTGTTTGGTGCTCCATTCTGGAAACTCGGGAGTTTCCCTGAGTCTGAGAGCTGGTCTGGGGCAAAATCTGAGGCAAAATTGAGGAAATCGGCACGATACCCAGGCGGTCGCAGGGTATTTTCCAGGTATACCCGGGGTTTTCCAGGTACGGATGTAGAGCTCTACAGCTTGAGCACTTGAGCACTGGATAGGGTCGATTCCGCATGGTACGGGACCCCTCGATCGTCTCGCCCTCCCTCACTGGTGTGTTCATTGGGGGGGGTCATAACAAACACGGTACAGGATCGAGGTGCACGCTGCTGAGGCAGTGTCGTGGTGTCGTCCCCCCTCTCCCCGACGGCGATGGCGGTGTGACCGATCGAGCTACAAGAGGAACTTGTTCAGCAGGATCCGGGATAGTCAGATGCACTACCTCACTGGGCCTGAGATCACCGTACGACAGCATCCCGTCACCGTCTCGGATTTATGTGGGTCGAACCACTCCGGGATGGGCAAGCCCATCAATTTTCGTTTCGTATCTCCCCTGCACCTGCAGGCGATGGCGAGAGAGGGATGAGTGGAGCCGAAACGGAAGGGGAGAGGAGGAAAGGCGGGGGCGGGGCGGGGAGGGGGGGGGGGGGGCTCAGATGGTCAAAGACTGCAGTCATAGCAGCTTGTAGACGTATTACACACACAAAGGCTCATAGCAACTCGGAGGCGTATTACACACACAAAGACTCCCAGCCACCCGGATCACCTCAGACAGCCTCCCCCCGTACCCGACCGGCCTCCCTCTGACTGCGCGCCGGCTGCTTCTTTCGCCTGGGGTACCGCCGCCCCCCCTACAGCTCTCCAGCGCTCTCCAGCGCTCTCCAGCGCTCTACAGCTCTACAGCTCTACAGCGCTCTACACTCTACAACTACATCCTCTCTCTACACACTACACCCTCCCTCAGGGCACAGGGGCACGCCGCAGGCGGGGCGGCAAGGCGGCATGCCGCGGCTCAACTTGAGAGGTGTTCATCTTGACGGCGGTCGCCGACGCTGCTCGAACGGCAGTTGTCGACCGCCGGCAGTTGACCGGCAAGATGAAGTCCACTGCGTTCGCAAAAAATACCATCGGAACCGTCTGTCTTGCCAAGGCGCACAATAGTCCTCACTCAGTCTGGCAAAGACCAGTTTCTTCATCCCGGGCCGCCATTAAATAAATGGCGACTGGCAGAGGCTTGTCAGAGCAACTGGATTTCACCAAAATCCAGGGCAAAGTGTGGGAGGAAGTCTCGAGAGTCCAAGTGTGGAACGCTACAAAAACCCCGAACTTAGTTTATCCCAAGAGCTCCCCGAGCCCGAGTCCCTTCCAGCTACCGACGCGGTGGCCGAAGCTAGATTTCTGTCACCAGCTTGCGCTTCCGCAAAATGGCCGGCGGCAGCAGCGAGTCCGACGAGGACGGTGCATGGCAGACTGGTGGCGAGAAGACGCTCGACCGCCGCGAGTTTCACATGCCAAATGCTGGTGCTACGTTGCACATCTCGCAGGGCTCGCTCAGCCATACGACTTGGTCGACCGGCGCGGGCACTGTGGTGTGGGAGGCTGCGGACGCCACGGTGCGCCATTTGGATACCTCCTTCGCACCGAATGGTCTTCGTGGGAAGCGTGTCGTCGAGTTGGGAGCAGGCACGGGCGTGTGTGGCATCGCGTGCGCGGCTCTCGGCGCCACTGTCGTCCTGACCGACCTGCCCGAGGTGCTGCCGATCGCAAAGTCAAACGCCGCCGCGTCGCCGTGGCACGAGCGGATCTCCGTGCAGCCACTCAACTGGGCCGACGCTGCCGTGCCGGACGCCCTGACCTGCGCAGACCTCGTCGTCGCGTGCGACTGCATCTACCAGCCCGCTGCATACGGTGCGCTCGCCTCAGTCCTCGCCGCTCTCTCTTCGCCGTGCCTTATCGCGTGGCGTCCGCGCGGCAAGAGAGAGGCCGACTTCCTCGCGCAGGTCACGACGGCGTTCGCGCTCGAGCGCGTCGCCCACGCACAGGAGCGCGAGACGTCACTCGCGTGGTTGAGACCCGTGGATGCGAACATCAACTCGACGTGGTGACGTGTATTGACCCGATAGCGCTTAGCAGCCAGGGACCATTGTCCATTGTGAGCGTTTTTGTAACTCGCGTGGGGATAAACCATAAACGCGCGCCACGCCGCAAACAAACGGCAAAGACGCGCGCGCGGCTCGCGGCTCGCGGCAAAACACACACGTTCTAATATATGAGAACTTCTTCCCTTCTAAGCATCGCCCAGATCACACACGACACAGCTCACAGAACAGGGCTCGTCTCAGAGTTTGGCCCGTTACCCGTTTTATTTATTCGTTACTAGCTGAGGGGCTCGCTAAACGCTCGCCGAGCTCCATGCTGTGCAACACCACCTCCTCACTAATCGTCAGGGGCGCGGAGAGCGCAGTGCACTGCGGTGAGGCTGCGCAGCGGGGGCTCACCCCCTGCACCGCGCTCCGCGGCGCAGGGGAGGGCGGTCGGTGGCGGCGGCGGCGAGGTGCGAGGCGGTGGCGGCGGTGGTGCGGGCGGCGGGATGACAGGGGAGGCGGCGGGATTGACAGGGGAGGCGGCGGCCACGAGCGGAGCGGCGCGAGAAGGGGGGGGGGGGCGGCGAGGCGCCGGTGAGCGAGGCGCCCGCGCCATCAGAGGGACGCGCCGCTGCGAGATGGAGGGCGGCGGTGACGGAGGCGAGGCGCGAGGCCGCGGCGGCGGCGGCGGCGGCGGCGGCGGCGGCGGCGGCGGCGAACGGCGGCACCGAGTCTCGGTGAGCGGCGGCGGGAGGAGGAGCAGCGGCGGCGCTCGCTCGCTGTTGACGGGAGCGCTTTTGAGCCTGGGAGCCCATGCCACTGCGACCGGCGTGCCCGGGAACGGAGATCGCGCGCGCGCCGCCACTCACGACGCGCGCGCGATCTTCGCGGAGTCGGGTCCCCAGAGGGAAGCGGTCTTCTCGGCCGACGTCCAGCGGCGCGCAAGGAAGCAGGCGCAGCGGAGGCGGCCTAGCACCGGCTCGGCGCCGGGCGGTTGCGCTGCCCGCGAGCCGCGTCCTGAGCCTCGGCAGCGCGCTGCGCGGCGCGGCGCTCGCGCGCTGCTGCGGTGCCGAGAGCGGCATGATGGTTCGCCAGCTGAAGCTCGAGACTCCTCGGTACCACGAGTTCCTCCGGTCACGGGGATAAACGGCGGACGACGCGAGGCCCTTATATCTTTAGATAGGGCACACATACGACATAGAGGATAGGAAAAGTTTACCTCAGTCCTCACCTTACTTACCTGTAGGGGCGGCATAGCTCGAGGGGTAAAGCCGTATTGGTCGCATGGTCGAATTTGAGGGGCACGGCGCGGCGCGGACAAGAAAGTAGACGAACTCAAGAGAACTGCGCCAGTCACGAGTCAGCAGTATGTGCGCCAGCACACGCAGTCGCGCACACTCGCGCAGGATCCCAGAAACGTGTATGCCAGTTTTGCCAGGAGGGCGCCCCGAGAGTCAGACACGCACATACAGGCAAGCACACACATCAGACTGCCTCTCCAAGACAGCAAGGGGCGCTCAACTTCTCTCCAGCGTCTCTCCGCTCGACCTCAAGCATTGCTGCTCCTCGGTCTCCTCGACTGCACACACTGCACACACTGAGCGCTACACGAGCACGCCCACACCACGTCCGACGATCATCCCCCGACCCGGGAGCGAGTTATCCCACTCTGTCAACACCTTCACGTTCACTTCACTGCCTTGGCCGCGAGCAGGCCAATGAGCGCGCCGGCGGCAAACGCGGCGCCGGCGACGGCGAAGAGCGTCTCGTTCGTGGGCGGCCCCCCCGCGGACGCCTTGTAGGCGCCCGCCCCAGAGATCCGACCGGAGAGACGGCTGGCGTCGCTGTACTCGGTGAGGCGGCGGCCGGGGAGCATATCGACCATATCATCGGCCTGCACGGGGTCGATCTCCTCGTCGAACGTGAAAAGGCCCTCCTTCTCCATCTTCCGCACCGTCGCCAAATCCGCCTCGAGCTGCTTCGCGTCCGGGTTGGCGAGGATGAGCACGCCGACGGCGGTGAAGAGGTCGACGGTGAGCTCCACCTGTTTAAGCTGCAAATCTGAGATGCTGTTCAGGAGCTGTTTACGGCGGTACAGAACAGGCCGACGGTGAGCCGCGCCTTTGATCCGACGCCGATGGGCGTCTGCAGCGCGACGAAGGAAGCGAGCCTACGCTTCACGCTCCCACGATGTGAACGGCATCTCCTCACAGCGTCGCTTATATCACGCAAAGGAAGGGTGCGAGCCGCTTCATTTTTTCATAGCCGGGCATCGAGCGGACGGCGCCGCGGAAGAAGGAGACAAGCATCACCTGTTCACATGATGTGCAGGCGTTTAGAGACGCCATTCAACCCTTCGCGCCACCAAGGAGGGGTGAAGATTCGAGCCGTCTGACCCGCGGCCTTGAACTTTGGGTAGACGGCCGGAATCTTGTCGAACGCAGGCCCGTCGACGTGCGAGCTGACGGCGACGTCGGGTTGCGAGTACCCTCCCGTCAGCAGCTTCTCGAGCGGCACCCACGAGCCGTCCCACCCGTGCGAACGGCAGTTCATCTCGACCATGCACGGCCCATCCGCCGTCATCATCACCTCACCGTGCGTCGGCCCGTTGTCGAGCTTGAGCGCCTTGAGCACGCCGAGCGTGTACTTGATCAGCACCTGCGCCACCTCCGAGCTCGACTCCACAGGGATCATGCCGTAGTAGACGAAGGCGGAGCCGTTCGTCGGCCGCCTAGGGTATGAAGTCCGGGGACATGAGGGGCATGGACGCGGCACGGCGCAGGGCAATCAGAACATCGCGGGAACACAGAGACTTGGGGTTTCAAGAGGCTTGGGTTTCAGTATCTAGGGCAAGACTTGTCGTAGACCCAAACCATGATGACCTTGTGCACACCGCCGCGAGAGACGCAATCGACTACGTACTCCTGCGCGGAGTGTGCGTGGGACGCTGGGCGGGGTCTGGGAGGGCCGCGACGGCTCGAGAGGGCGGGTGAGGCGCCTTGCCCTTGAGGAACTCTTGGCAGAGCACCGCCGCGCCCTGCGCCCCGCACTTGCGCTGCGACTCCATGAGGAGCGTGAAGTGGGCCTTGGCCTCCTCCACCGTGTGGCAGAGCTTGACGCCGTCGGAGCCAGCGCTCTCGACCGGCTTGACCACCACCGGCATAGACTCGGTCGCGACAAAGTCCTTCACCTCGGTCCAAGTCGTGCCGAGCGCCTCCCGCACCGCGCGGAGGCCCGTCGCCTTGACGGCCCGCTGCTGGACGCTCTGCCGGGAGGTGGGGGCGCGGCGGTGACGGTGGCGGCTGCAGAGGGCGAGTGTCAGCGCGATAGGGCGGCGGCGCCTTGTTGCGGCGGTCACCGAGCGGGAAGATGCCGTTGCTTCGGACTCCGAGCTCGAGACTCAGCTTGTCGGCCAAGGTGACTCCTGTCTCGGCGCCGACGATGCACGCCGCAATCGGCATCCCGCCGGCCGCCGCTTTGACCGCCGCGGCTGTTTGGGGGATGGTCGACTTCTCCTCCACTTCGGCGTGATACTTGATGCCCTTGCAGACGTCGGGCACGTGCGCCCGCATGTCCTCCGAGCACTCCTCACTCCACGCGATGATCACGGAGTAGCCCCGCTGCATGGCTTCGACGGCCACGACGCCTCCCGTGGACACTGGGTCAACGACAATAAAGGCCTGCCCGCTCATGGCTCTGATTCGCTCGCCCCTTCGGTTGTCAAGAGGCGGGGTACACGGCTCGATGCCGCCGCGCGAACGGCCACAATCAAGATGAATAAACAGTTCAACTTCTCTCCCGAATAAGCGAAAAGTAGACTACACTGAAAAAGTTGGCCGGCCGTCGAATAGCGAGGTATGAGGAGGTCTGTCTCAGATCACACCCTCGCTGGCTGTTCGCTGTCCTCCCTTTGGTGTCCTAAGAAAGAAAGAAAGAAAACAGACTTGCCCCGTCTGGTTTTTTTTCGGCTGCAGATCAGTGCCTGACCTGTGCAGGTGTATTCTTTTTTTGCTTGGGCGGACAGCATGACGGGTTAGGTAGGGTAGGTCTGGGCCCTCCCGTCGGGGTTTTCCCTCTCTTCGCGCCGGAATTTTCAAGCAAAAAAAGGAAATTTTCCGCGGAAATCACGACGTCAACCCTCCCCAAGTGGGTGATCTGGTGCTTGTAGGGCTTGAGAGTGGCCTGTCATGTCTCAGGAAGGACTGTGGTTGCAGGAGAGTACCACCAACCATCACTGTAGTTGGTATAGTATCCCACCTTCACCCGGCAAGTGATTTCTTTTTTAGTTTCCCATAAGTAGGGTAGGTAGGTAGGTAGGTAGGTAGGGGCAGGGCAGGGGCCGGTCAGGTTTTTCCAGAATTTCATCATGCTGTCCGCCCAAGCAAAAATAAACTACACCTGACCTGTGGTGACATATGGCCTGGCCGCGAAGCGCCCAGGGTGCCGCCCGTCGAGCCCACGCGCTGAAGCGAGCGCTGCTGCGCCACCTCGCCGACGAGACGTACGTGAAGCTGGCCCCATCCAGGGTGGCTGGCGTTGGTGTCGTTGCGCTTCGTGACATACCCAGTGGCATCGACCCGTTCCGTCCCGCAAACGCGCACCTTTGCACGCCGGAGCCACATGTTCTAGTGACGGAGAACGAGCTCGATGCGCTCCCGGCATTAGTACGAGAGCACGCCCTCGACTTTTTCGCGCCGATCGACGACCCGGAGGACGCCAAGCGGCCTTTCCGCACGCAGAGCGGCGCTCGCGTCTACGGCATCCACGCGTGTGGGACGGCGGTCCTCGACGCGTCTTGGTTTGTGAACCACAGCGAACAGCCCAACCTCGAGCTAGTGAACTACGAGGGCTCAGCTTTCAACTCGTTCCGCACTCTGCGACCCGTGAGGGCGGGGGAAGAACTGTTGCACGACTACGCGCGGAGCTTCCCAGAGATCCACGCTCGGTGTGTCGCTGCGACCCGGCAATGCAAAAACTAGTAGCAAATAAAGTCGGAGTTCACAAAGTAGAGAGAGCGAGCAGAGTGCGAACTGGGGAATAAAGCCGTACCGAAAAAGAGTAAAACAAGAGCCGTAAAAACACTCTCTCTCGCTTCGCCTCGACCTCGAGAGCGACGAGCGCGCGCGCACACACCCACACACACCGACACGCAGAGACGCGCGGACTCTGAGAACAGTCACGCGGATCGCGGAACCACATGGCATACATGCACGTGCACATGCACGCGCGCGAGAACCGGCAACCGCGAGATCCGAGAGAAGAGGGCGCTCTGACAACGGCTCGGACGCGCACAAGTGCGCGCGTCCCCATTGTCGCTGGGTTTGCTCTGTGACGGACTGTGCTAGTACGTCTGCTCTATCCACTCAAACACGAGTGAGTCTGTGCGGTACGTGTCAGCTTGCGCGGGCTCGGAGCCGATTCGCTCCACCGCCGCGCCGAGGAGGAGGCGCCCCCTGTCGCGGAAGGAGTGGACGTACACGCAGCAGCCGGTCGGGAGGGACTGGAGCAGCTCCCACCCGCGGGGCGCGTGCGCGTACACGTCCACCGAGGCGTTGCAGGAGGTTCCGTCGCCCTGGTTTGCGACGGCGAGCAGCCGCCGGCCGCCCGCCCAGAGAGGCTCGAGATCGTGCGCGCCGACGGTGTCGAGCCGCTGCGCCTCGACGAGTGCTCGTCCGTCGAGGCGGTAGATGGCGGAAGAGACGCGCTGCGAGGCGTCGTCGCGCACGTTTGCGATCGCGAGCAGCGTCTCGCTCCCCTCCCCTCCCTCGACTGTGAAGCACTCGGCGTCGTGCGCCCCGAGCGTCGGCAGCTCCTGCAGCAGCTGCAGCGGCTGGGAGGCTGCCGGATCGAAAGCATAGACTGCGCTGGCGGTGCGGAAGGTGCCGCCCGCGTGCCACTGGGCAAACACGAGCACCGCCTCCCCGCTGGGCGCCTCGCAGCTGGCGAACTCGCAGATGCCGGTCGCGTTGGTCTGCAAGAAGAGCCGCCACTGCGCCGCTTGCGGGTCAAACTCAAAGAGGGCGACGCGGCGCTGCGCCACGAGCAAGAAGTCTCGGCTCGGGCCACCGGCGGTGCGCACGACAAAGTGGTGCGCGGCCGACGCCGCTTCGGTCGGCAGCAGCTGCACGGGCACGAACGGGCCTGCTCCGGGCGCGGCGCAGCTGCCGCAGCTCTGCTGGCACTGCTCGCGCATAAAGGTGGGGTTGTGCGCGCACTCGCCGGCTGTTTGCCAGTCGCGGCATGCGGCGTGCTGATCGCTGCACGGCGGCGGCGGCAGAGGCTCCGGCGGCGGAACCCGCGGGTCGCTCAGCTGGTAGACGGTGGAGACTGCGCCCCCGTAGTTGGCTACGATGGCGTGTGTGCGGCCGTCGGAGAGGCGTGCGATTTCCCAGTCGTGGGCCATGTCGGTCGGTAGCTCCTGCAGCTTCGTCAACGCTCCACCGGCAAAGGCAAAGACGTGAGAGGCGCCGCCCCAAAAGTTGGCAAGCACCAAGAGGGTGCGACCATCGCTTGTGTTCGCCGATGCCAGCCCCGCTGCCGCGTGGGATGGGAGCGTTGCCAACGGAACAAAGTAGCCTGGCCGTTCGTGCAGAGAGATGAGCCGCGGGAAACTGAGCGAGAGGACCGACGCATGCAAACACATTGGGTTTGTGTGGGAGACGTCGGCGGCGATGGCGGTGTGACCGATCAAGCTACAAGAGGGTTTTGTTCCGGGTTGTCGGATGCACTGCCTCACTGGGCCTGAGATCACCGCACCACCCTTCCCATCACACCGTGAGCGGTTTTCTCTCAACAAAAGAAACGAGAGAGCGAGGTGGCATCTCCTGTCTCGCGTCTACCCATACAACTATCGGTGAAGGGGGTGAACCGCGCCATCCTCGATCGCCGTGCAAAGCTCGCTTCCGAGCTCTCACTCCGCGCGTAGGGCCTTTGAGGGGCCTAGAGAACACCCACCCCACCCGCTCCCTTTTTCTGAAGTCATTCTTCGTCGTTCGGTTCCTGCCTGTCCGTTGACCCGCGCCGATGCAAAAAAGAAAACAACTAAATTAGTCTCACTCAGGCCTTTGCTTGTTTCGCTACGTACGGCTGCTGGGAGAGTGGGGGGCGAAGACTCGTCACAGCATCCAACTTTGAATGAACGTCGTCCTGAGCGCTCTTCCGTACGTTTGCCGCGAGTCCGGCGTGCTGCGTTTATCCGTGCCGCTTGGTGGTCTCCGGCGCCATGCTGGCCGGCCTGCTGGTCGCTGTGGCCCCGGCCCAGTTCAGACACCCCAGCTCGGTACACTCCCAGATAGAGTGCGCCGATGGGCTGCCGCGAGGCATGCTGATCGACTTTACTCGCACCGAGGAGCTTGTCAACAACCTCGGAGGCTACCCTAAGGTGGAGTGCCAAGAGGATGCGTGGAGACTGCCCGTGGTTGGCAACGAGCGATGCCCTTGCGGCTGCGGCTGCCGCTGCGTGAATGATGACACGCCGCCCGGCGTGCCCAGGGTGCTGCGGTACAGCCGGGTGATCCACATTTACGACGGCACCTCGACTGAGACATCGGAGGAGCTCGACCTGGTCGTGACCAACATGACGGAGTACATACCTTGGAAGTCGGGTGAAAACGGCCTCAGCGAACAGGGCGCGTTTCTGGAGATCAGCATACTGCAGGGCATGGAGACTACGTTTGAGGTCAGCTTCATGAAGCCAGACACGGAGGAGAAGAAAGCGGTGCCGTGGTGGAGGGCACAAGCGACACAGACAGCGACGGCATCCCCGACTACCTCGACCCCGACTCGGACGGCGACGGGTCGCCCGACGCGGAGGAGGGCAGCGGCGACTCGGACAGCGACGGCATCCCGGACCGCATCGAGAGCGGCACCGCCGACTCGGACAGCGACGGCACCCCGAACGAGGCCGACACGGACTCGGACAATGACAGACACGGACTCGGACAATGACAACGTCCCCGACGCGGTGGAGGGCACAAGCGACACAGACAGCGACGGCATCCCCGACTACCTCGACCCCGACTCGGACGGCGACGGGTCGCCCGACGCGGAGGAGGGCAGCGGCGACTCGGACAGCGACGGCATCCCGGACCGCATCGAGAGCGGCACCGCCGACTCGGACAGCGACGGCACCCCAGACGAGCAGGACTCAGCCTCCGGGCCTGACTCTGACAGTGATGGTGTCCCGGACGCTGAGGAGAGCAGTGGCGACACAGACAGCGACGGCATCCCCGACTACCTCGACCCCGACTCGGACGGCGACGGGTCGCCCGATGCTGAAGAAGGCGATGGCGACTCGGACAGCGACGGCATCCCGGACCGCATCGAGAGCGGCACCGCCGACTCGGACAGCGATGGGACCCCTGATGACATGGATCCAATCTACGATTGTAGTCCCAACTATCTCGATGTTGACACCGATGGCGACGGCTCAATCAGTAAGGCGGAGCTGGCGTCGATGATGGAGGCCGCCGGACTTCCAGCGTCTGATGCGGCAATAGACGCCGCTCTGTCAGGCCCCTTTCCTTCTCCACCCCCCGCTCCTCCGCCCAGTCTTTCGCTGCTTGAAGAAGCATGTGCCCAATTGCTCGGCCTCTCCAGCTATCTGGTGGGCACAGGTCCACTGACAGGCAAACTTCAAGCGCTTACCGCACCTCTTGGAGGCAGCTCGCAACTGCCTCCAAGCTTCTTCGCTACTGTTGATCTCGATGGCAACGGTGCGTTGGACAAGACGGAGCTTGGCGGGCTCCCTGGCCTGGGAACCGCCGCGGCGATCGATGCGTACCTGTGCGAAATCCTATCACCCCCACCCCCGCCACCTCCTGCCCCACCAACCATCTTGAGCAATCTTCAAGAGGCCTGTGAAAGGCTCTTGGGGCTGGGGAGCTATCTCAGGAGTCCCGCAAGCCTGAAGGACAAGATCAAGTCGCTTGCACCTACAGCTGGTTCTTACATATCTCCGACGAAGGGAGGCAAGTGCTACATCTCGGAGGCGCACTATCGAATCAGGATGCATCACCCGACTTGTGAGTGTCATCCATCGTGCGCTGAATGTGGCTTCTATCCCGAACCCGTTGGGTACAGAGACTGCATTTTGTGCGCAAGTGGGGCCGAACCAAGCCCGAGGTACAGTGACGGCACTGGGCAATGCAACTAGCAAGGGCCAAGGCCATGTCAATTTTCGTCTTCCACGTGTCGTCTTTGGGCGCCGCTAAGAGTCGCTCCACTCGGGGTACATTCACACATCTTGCTTGTTTTTGATACAGTGCTTCCTAGACTACATTCACTCATGTCACATATGCATTTGGGTTCAAGAGTCGTTTGGATATAAACCGGAGCGAGTCCCCGATTGTTTGAGTGCACCCACCACCAGGCGCGCAGGCCGCAGCACGCAGGGATCTGGATTCTGGTGCCGTGTCGGTGTGTTGTTTGATGTCGGTGTGTTGTTTGATGTGCCGTGTTATTTTTTACCCATGTGCGGAAACATCACGTGCTGGCGCACCACGCAGCACAGCTGGCGCGCGGCGAGAGACGACCTCCAGCTCCACCGCACGCAGACGCACGCCTCGGCGCGCAGGGGCGCCATACAGCGCAGAGAGAGGCGGTCCTATCACGTTACACATACTTTCGCGTAAGAGGGTTCAAAACAACACACCCTGCCGGCTCGACCGGCTTTGAATTGTGCGGCTCGAGGTCTGAGCGGACCGTTTACGTGTCGGTGCGCTCCGAGACGGCCTCCTCGATTCGCTGCGAGCAGCAAGACTCATGCGTGATCGGGCGTATGGGATTGGTGAGTGCAAGAGGCTGACAGCGCGGCACCTGCAGGTATTTGAGACGCGCCGTCAACAAGCGCGCCTAGCAAAAGTATGGGACGTGGCTGGCGACCGCGAAGGGTCCTCGCGCAGCCCTCTGCAGCAAGAAGCCTCGCTCAGGTCGGCGCCGGCGTCGCGAGAGTCGAACGCCGCTCCGAGCTGATCACACACCTCATCGATGGCACTGCTGTTGCTCTCCCGCATCGCGCCTAGTTCGAACGCGGCGATCGTCGCGCGCCGCGACGGTGCAGCGTGCTGCGAGAGACTCAACGCTCGCCAAGCCGCGCAACAGACGTGTCGGGGTCCTCGATCTCGAAGCGCGCCTCCATCACCTAGTGTGAGCCACCCGGTCTACAGGATAGAGCAGTGGCCTCTTGGCGGCGGCCTTTTTCCCGCACGCCCTCGCCTGCGCCAGGAAGCCATCGTCCAAGACCACTTCGCCCGCCGCTTCGTCACTCAGCGGTGCACCCAGCAGCTGTGAGCGGGGAGGGGAGAGGATAACAGGCGGGCACGGAGTGGATAACAGGCGGGCGCATTTGCTCGCGCGTCTGCGAGGCTGCCGCGGGGCTCTCGCTGCGCCTCGCGCCTCGAGCAGGTGCTCAGCGCGGCGATGCGGCCGGACGAGCGTGCTGTAGGCGTGAGTGATGCGAGCAGAGCGGTTGGCGGCCTCCTGCTGCTCCTGCTCTCCGCCGAGCGTGTGCCGGTCGGGGTGATGCTCCTAGAGCGCGCATCGGAGCAGTCAAGCACGTTGGCCAGCACCTGAAACCCGGTTGAGTCAAGCACACCGCCATCAGTCGTCGGTACGTGGTGCGGAGTGCTGCGGCATCGACGGCGAAGGCTCGTGGCACGTCGAGCTCGGCGTAGCAGTCGCGTGGCACTGCAGTGCCAGAGCACCAACGGCGAGACAAACGCGCCAAGAAGCCTCGGCGCGGCAGCGAGACCCGCATTTTGGCAAAAAAAAGGCCTCCGCGTGATACGGCGCTCTTGCCCGTCCCGATCCCGATCATCCGGCCAGGGGGGTGTGCTTCTCAGCCCCCTGGCCCTGATCTCCCTCTCCCCTCACGTTCAGTACGAGTGCATGGTCCTTGCTCTGGCTGGGGATATTTCCTCTCAGTAGGCGCTGCTTCGGGCTACATACACACATGACGGTGTGGTGCTGTGCAGCACACGACACTCGTGACAGTCACACGAGCCCTCGAGTCTTCAGTAAGCTGTGGCGCTGGAGCCTTCTCGTTTGTGGATCTGTCCTCAGATGATGGCGCCGATGCCGATGGTGCCGCACGGGATGCCGGTGATGCCGCATATGCCCTACGACCCGAATGTCATCCTGATGCCGAACGGCATGCCGGCCTACGTACCGGACCCCTACTGGAACCACGGACCGCCGCCCCAGGGGGGCTACATGGAGTCGGTCTACGTCTATGGGTCGGGCGACTGAGACAGCCGTCCGCCGTTTGGGAAGCACACTAGCTCAAGGTGCGGACGATTTTGAGCGGACAGCCGTGATGCGGGCCCGCTCCGACCGCGCCCACCGATGGCCTCGAGCGTATCGGGCCACGGCGACGACCTCCACCTTCGCTTGTTACATTTCCGCCTTTTCGCCCCGCCGCTTCTCTGTCTGTCGCGCAGGGCGAAACAAGGCCGCAGCACTCTAAAGGCCGCGCGCCGCCAGAGCTGCGTGGGCGGGCATACTACTCTCAGTACATTCGAGAGCGTCCATTACTTAGATAGACGCGTTTTCATGATCGATGCTGAAAACTAACGCGCCTGAAAAGAGGTATACATTGTATATGTAAATACACTCTAGAGAGTATCTCATGGTGATGGACGAGGGAGGGAGCAGGACTTTGCGGAGATCAGCAGGAGGATGTACGAAGAGATTAGGAGCAGCAGGGACCCGAGGGACCATGTGGAAGACGGCTAGTGCTAGTCCCCCATCTCGGGAGGACGACCCCGGCTAGTCGCCGACCACACCCACAAAGAACCCTGCACAAAGATATCGCAAGGGCGGGGACCTGTTCCTTTTTACCCATCTCACAGTAGAGAGGTGTCCGTTTTATTTATTTATTTATTTATGGTGATGGAAAACCCCTTTATCGGAGGGTACAGTAATATACAACGCACACGCGCCGCGCGCGGGCGCCCGCCCCCAGGTGTCGTAACCTGACGAGTGAAAACCTGCCTCTTCATGCGCTTCTCTCAACACATTCCACGCAGTCCACCTCGAGCCCGTGCAGCCCCTCCGGGAGGCCGCTGACCGTGCGGCTCGACACCTCGCCGTCCGGCGCCACCCGATAGGTCTCGAGCCCGCCCTTGACACAAGCGATGAGTGTGCTGCCCGCGCGATCAAAGGTAAACGAGCGTGGCGAGTCGCCCGCCGCGATGTCCTGCAGCGAGGCGAGACTTTGCGGGTCGAGTCCGCGGAGCGAGCCGCCTCGTGGCACGCCTCTAGTGGTCACGAGCAGCCGCCCGCTCGGCGGGTGGAGGGCGACCTCTGCCGCGGCGGCGAGGCCGAAGGGGAGGGCGGCCAGCAGCGCCACCTTGGTGGGAAGCAGCGACGCGAGGGAGCGCGCGATGCCGCAGCCGACGCTGCGAGGCATCGACTCGAAGCTCGCACACGTGTGCAGAGCCGGGCCAACGCTGCCGTCCGCCATGTCGAAGGCGTGCAGAGTGACGACGTTCGTGCACTCGCACAGCACCGCCAGCCGCTCGTGCTGAGCAGTGAAGGCGACGTGGCGAGGGCGCGGCCCCATGCTGGCGGCGACGAGAGCCTGGCCCGCTGAGCCGACGACCGGCGACTCGCCGAGCGAGCAGGGTTGTGGTTGGCCGAGCTGGCCGCTCGCCTGGTCGAGCGAGTAGACGACGAGGCAGGCCTGCCCGGCGTCGCAGCACACGAGCCAGCCTGGGCAGGCGGCCAGGCCGTGGCAATGCGGCGCGATCTCGCCGAATGCGGGCGCCTCGAACTTGCCTTGGCGGCGTTTGCCGGGCAGACGTGCGAAGGCCGCGTTGCGGGGCGAGCCGCCGGACGACATGTCAAAGACCTCGATGTCGCCAGACAGGTAGTGCGCGCATGCGCACAGTGTGCCTTGCCACACCGCGTGGCAGGGCTGGTAGCCTCGCATCTTGAGGTGGCAGGACGCCTCCTCCTCGCCGCCATCCACCTCGGTCAGCTCTCCATCGTCTGCGATGGCGTGCGTGCGGAGGATGCCCGGGCGCTTGTCCCAAAACGAGACGAAGGAGTAGAGCCATGTTCCTGACGGGTGCGCCGTCACCCATTCCACTCGAGGAGCTCCAGACAGCTTTGCGCTGAACCCAGCTGCCGAGCTGACAAGCGCGTCGCTTTCGGGCGCCACAGACAAGGAACCAGTGTGTCGAATGGTCCCGTCGTCTGCGAGGACGCCGGTGAGTACTGACGCGCTCTCGGTGCCGCAGTAGATGAAGGCGGAGCGAGTCATGGCTCGCAGCTGTCGGCGACACTGCTGGGGCCGCTCGTTCGGCGCACACCGCCAAAAAGAACTTTACGTGCGGACCACGCCAAAGCGCAAAGGATGGGCGACGGCTACTCGAGTAGCGCATCACACCCCTCTCCTTAAAATCCCTGTGTGGTGGCGGCGTGCCGTCCTCCCATCCCTCCCTTGGGTTGTCCGTTTTCTTTCTTTCTTTCCCGTGGGAACCCTGTCCTCCTCCCCCCATCCCTCGTTACTCGTTTGGGTTTGTCTATGTTCTTTCTTTTCCCCGTGGGAAGCCCCGCGCATACTCGTACGACAACAACGTCTGTCCCACACATCCATATGTAGAAAAGAATTGTTTCGCGCGAGAAATTCCTCAACGGACAACGCACAACGCTCAACACTTTCACTTTTGTGTGCACAACACACACACACACACACACACACACACACACACACACACACACACACACAAGAAATCTCTCTCTCTCCCCCTCACACACACACACACACACACACACACACACACACACACACACAAAACAAGATCACACACACACACACACACACACACACACACACACACACACACACACACACACACACACACACACACACACACACACACACACACACACACACACACACACACACTCGCACTGAGGGACGCGTCTCTTGTCGCAAGCCGTTCTACCCAAGTGGGGTAGGTTTAGCAGTGCCCACTCTCCGCCTTTCGCACGCTCCACCTGCCAGCACCAGCAGGGGGGATTGCAATACTTCCCTGGGAAGCTGGCCTCCATCAGAGCCTGTCAGAAGCACGTCAGGCAGCAGCCGAGGCTGCCATCGTCTCCACAGTGACCGTCCACGCAGAAGTTGGCGCCCTCGAGCGCGCGGGCGCTTTCCACCCGACCGTCGCGGGCCACGCGCCGGATTCCCTTGATGGCAGAGTATGGGTCGGGAGCGACGTGGCCGCATGAGTGCGGGGCGCCGAGGCACCTGCCGTGCTCACCCGAGCCCTCTTTACGGCAGACGCCGCACTCGCAGCTCGTGCCGCAGAGGCCAACCTCCGTGCAGGCCTTGACAGGCGAGGAGAAATTTGCGAGGTACGGACACAAGCCCGCCGTGACCGCCCACTCGCAGAGCTGGTTTGCAGGCGCGGGCAGCGACGTGCATCCGTCCTTTGCCCACTCGCATCCGTTCTTGATGACCTCCTTGACAGCGATCTCGCACGCCATACAGTAAGTGTTGTTCGTGGGCGGGGGCGCGGCGAGGAGCGCCAGCGCAACTTGCATCTCTGACGCCTCCCCTCCCTATCTCTGACGGCGCGGCGTGTCGGGCTGTCTGCTATAGCCCAGCCACTCCCAGCTGCTCGTATGAACAGAGTTCGTACACCGAGCAGAGGAGCAACTCGAGGAGATCCCTCGAGTTGTAGGTATATTGTTGGCAAATCAAGACACAGAGCTCTCACAGGATCACAGCGGGAGGAAAGCGGCGAGTCGCAATTCCAGGGGTCGTTGTGGCGGGCCACCCTGTCCAGAGAGGCATGGATGCCAATCTGGGGTCTCTCGACCGAGTCTATGAAGCCCTGGCCGCCTCCCGGTGGTGGCAGAGGTTATGGAACCAAGCGACGGAGATGGTGCGGGGGTACGGGTGTTCCAGGGGGTCACGCGGTCTCTCTTTCGCTACGTGTTCGACGTCGTCGAACAACGTTCGACCATGGCACTGTTCACAGCGCGCGCGGACGGCCGTTCTGCGAGTCCCGCTCCGCTGGACTTTTGTAAAGCACGCTTGTGGCAAGTTACAGACGCTAGTATCGACCTCAGGGACCCAAACATGAATTAATAATTAAGGCTCAAAGTATGGTCGAACAACCGTCGAACAAACAGGTCGAACAACGAAAAGAGACTAGTGCGACCGCTAGACGGCGGTCTCCGCCGGCCCCAAGGCTGCCCAGCCCCAGTACCACACCGGCCACGTACACCGTGGCGCTGGAGTCGGTCAGTGAGGCACTAGACGGGCTACGGAACCATGCGCGCGCCGGCCGGACAGGCTGCGCGCAGGGGCCGCGCCGCCTCGATTTCGCACCTCCGCTCCGCGGCCGGCTGAGGGGCTAGCTCGCCCGGCGACAAGCCCAGCCATCGCCCAGCGCCCCGTATCGACGGGGGGCACGCAAAAAGACCGCACCTACGACTAGGGTGAGCACGTGAGGGCGTCGGTGTGGGCCGCGGGCGGGCTGCCAGGAGGGCGCGGGTGGGAGCATGGGAGATGCACCACCGCTCGACGAAGACGCGCCCGACGAAGCCCTGCTAGCGGAGGATGGTCGGTCCTCACCTACTAGCGTCGGGCGTGTGCGAAAAAGAGCGCAAATCGGAGCTCAACTCGCGCGCGGCTGGGAAAGGGGTGTGGCACCCCTCCGAAGGCGCCTCGCGAGGAGCAGCTGCTGCCTCCAAACGCGCTCGGGCAGCACGTCGGCGCGCCTGCGGGGTGGGTAGAGGTGAAACTATGCTTGCTGACACGCGCATCCCGCACCACCCCCACGTCCGCGCGCACCATGCCGCCATCCCACCTCACAGCCAAGCGCCATCGCCGTCGGACGCGGCGACGCCGAGCGGTGGCCTCGCAGACGACGAGCGCGATGAGGCCGCCGCGCCGCCGGGGTGGCCGGCGCGTGCCAGCCGCTGGCCCGTCCAGCGTGGCGGGACCGGCTCGCCCATCCTGGCCCGCGCGCTTGCCGACGCGAGAAGATCGCGCGAGAGGGCAAAATGTGGCAAAAATGGCCCTGTTTGCAAACCTTCACGGCGACTTCACGTCGGAACGAGTCGGATCGACGACTCGCCGCCTGCACCAGCGTGTGCGCCTTGCAATTCTATACAGAATCGATACTTGGTACGTCTTCTCAATCGCTCGTGGAGAGGATCTACGGCCATTCTCCACTTGTGTTCGACGATGTCGAACAATGTTCGACATCGTCGAACACGATCGAGTAACCGCACGACAGAGGTGCTAATGAATGCACCGTTCCACGAGACACCCGCCACGAGCGATTTGTTAGATTGCGATCTCAAGTACGACGCAGATACTCTTGAGCACTTCAGCTCACCTTTCGGTTACGAAGGCCCGGAGTGTTCCTTTACCTCTCTTTTCTGATTTGACTACTGATCTCTTGATCTATTCTAGACGTGCCACATCACTAGACACGCCACGCCCCCGGGGCGGGTCCGGCGCCCAAGGGGCGCCGGCCAATTGCTCTAGTATTACACTGATTTATCAGATCGAACTTTAGTCTGCCGTCCTCAGCATACTCCCCAACGCGTTGTCGAAGACCGACAAACAAACCTCCCAGCAGGGCAATGCCGACAGAAGCCGCCAGTGCCAGCGCGGTGGCATTGGCAATCGACACCGTGTTCGCCGTCGACTCGCACAGTGAGAATGGTCACGACGCCGCCAGCCCCGGGTCCGATGGCTTGGACGACGAAGGCCAGCGCGCTAGAGGCGAGGACGGCAGCGAGAGTGCTGCGGTGATGGTGGACGCTGACGGAGCGGACGCTCCAGTGGTGGTGGGCGGTACTGTCGCCGTCGGCATCGCGATCGAGCCCCCCCGCGACGAGGGCCACCTGTCTGCAGCGGATCGGCCTGTGAGCTACAATTCAGTGCAAGCCGCTAGGAGGCTTCAGAGCGGCGCGACGCGCGGGTCGGCAAAGTGCCTTCTCTGCTTCAGCCTTCTGCTCGTGCCGACGCTTCCGGGCGTCATGGGCATTGTCTCCAGCCTGCAGCTGCTCCTACGTCCCGGCTGTCGGCCCGACACCCTCCGCCGCTCTCGCCTCTTTGCCAACGCCTGCGCTGTCCTCGCCTTCATCCACATCCTGCCGTCATGCTTCTGCATCTGGATCTCCTTCATCATCGACTGCCTCTTCACCTGCCGCTGGGGACCGGGCTACATGGTGGGCGTCGTGCTCATCGTCTTTTGCGTGCGTCACCGCGGGATCTTGGCGTGGAGCGCACGGGCGCGCCTGTGACTGGACTTCACCCGTGGACGCCCATAGGTGCTCAACGGGATCTTGCTGATGGCGGCCGTCTCCCACTCGCGCGAGGCGCTCATCTTACAGCGGGTAATCGGCGTGCAGCGCCGCGCCGAGGTGGCCACGCGACGAGACCACGTCGTGGTCGCGTCCGAGGCGGAGACGCCCGAGCCAGCGGTGGTCACAGGCGTCATCATCCAGGGCCCCGCGGAGATTAGCGTGGGAGTTGCGGCCGACTCCTCACCTCAGCACGAGGACCCAAACGAGGACCAGGCTGCGCAATCTGAGACTGTGGTGATTCGGCCATGACGATGTCGGTGCGGACGCGCGGGCGCGCACGCACCAACACACTGTGAGACACACCGATTCGTGAGACACAATCATTGTGCACAAAACTTTGGTGCATGATCGAGAAGCCTTCTCCGGCTTCCGCGTCTCTTGGGCGAGTAGGTAAATTATTGCTCTTGAACTTGTGTAGGATTGAGGCATGAGGCCGTTTTCAGCCTCAGCCTTTTCACAGAGGAACGTACGTATATGAACCAACATCAACACACATGCCGACATGGTACGTATAATGACGTCGTACGGCTCTAGAGGTGACACACCAGACATGCAGCGCGAGACATGCGCACAGACATAGACTCCACTCGGTGAGAGATCCACACATGTGGAGACACATATGAGACGAGAAACACGTCAGTATACCAGGTCGCCACACCAACGTACTGCAATGGAGCAGGGCAATTCTCGCTAAGCGCTTGAAGCACTCACCTCCCGCTAGAGCAGGGGCAGCGACGAGGCGCAGTCCTTTCTCAAGCTGCGATTCGGCAAGCCATCGCTCGAGCCGTCCGGGCCTAGCGCCTCGCCATTCTCGAGCATCTCAGTGCCATCGCGCGCGCTGCTGGCCGCCTCCGAGCTGCCCTCGACCGAGCTGAGGGACTCGCGCAGCCAGCCCAGCCAGGGGCTACCCACCCCTCCGCCCTGCTGCGGCGCCGGCCCCGCGGTGGGCGCCTCCTCGGGAGACGGCGACGAGTCGGAGGCCTTGGAGGCCGCCTCGCCCTCCTCCAGGGAACGGCCTCGCGACGAGATCCCGCGGTCGTAGCCTGACCGCGTGCCTGGGTCGCGCGCGAGGCCGGCCTGCAGGGCGCGCGTCGTGTCCTGCAGCAGATGGGTCACCCGCGTGGTGTCCCTCGCGTAGTAGCGGCCGCCGCTGCTGCCGCCACTGCTGCTGCAGTTGCCGCTGCCGCCATTGCCGCCATTGCTGCCGCCAACGCCGCTGAGCTGCTCGTTCGACGGGTCGCGCTGCGCGCTCCGCCCGCCCAGAGACCCGCTGCTCGTGTTTCGGGACCCCCTGCTCGCATACCGCGGCCCGTTGCTCTCGCGCGACCGGTTCTCGGACCTCTGAAGCGCCGAGGCGCGACAGGGCGGCGTCTCGCCGACGCCAAACGTGACGCGCAACTTCTGCCACTGCTGCTGGGCGCCGACCGCCGCCGGCGGGTGCGCGGGCGCGAGCGAGGAGCGGGTCGGCGCGAGGCCACCCCGCTTGAGCCGGAGCGCCGGATGGTGCGACGCGTGGATCTCCTGCGCGACCGCCTGCAGCTCGCTGGTCGAGACGTGGCGCAGCGACGGCACGTCGCCGGACGAGGCCCGCATCGACTCGTACTCGCGGCTGTACCCGCGCCCCGACAGCGGGCCGCTGAGCTGGCGGCCGCTCGGGGGCCGCTTTAGCGTTGAGAGGCCGGAGGTTGGCGAGCCGAGCCGCCCCGAGCGCGCCGACCACGCGCCGCCCGGATATGAGCCGGCGCCGAGGTCGGAGTCGTCCGTCCGCTCCTCGTCGAGCGTGGCGGCGAGCAGCGTCGGCAGGTCGTGCCCGAGCATGTTGAAGTACTTTGGCGGGAAGACGGTGCCGCGCGGCTGGCGCATCACCACCTCGTGCACCTCCGCCGCCGCAGAGTCGCCCTGGCGCGAGAGCGAGAGCACCATCGCCCACAGGCCGAGCACGGTGTCGACGATCTTGAGCCGGTCCTCGTCGAGCGTGAAGTCGCCCTCGAAGACGCGCGTCGCGTCGGCCAGCCAGTCCGGCGGCGCGCCGCCCGAGTGCGGCCGCCACTCCCCCAGCGGCGTCAGTCCGACGACGCCGTCCGCAAAGTACATCGAGTGCAAGCCGCGGCCGACGCAGAGGTGCGCCCACTGCTCAAGCCGCACCCAGCCGCGCCGCGCGTACGACGCCTCGTCGGCAAGCATGCCCGTATCGGTGTGCACCGTCGGCGGCGCGACCACGACGAAGTAGCGGCAGGCGGAGGCGTAGGTGCCGAGCGAGCCGATCGAGTTCCACTTCAGGTACTCGTTCGCCTGAGGGATGCTCACGTAGTCGACCCACACGTAGAGCTCGTCGGGCGGCACGCCCTCCAGCTCGCAGAGCCGCTCGCACGCGGCGAGGATGGCGGGGTAGTGCACGTTGTTCGGGTCGGGGCTGTCCCACGCCAGCCACTGGTGCGAGCAGAAGACCGTCGGCCGGTCGCGCACAAACGCCATGAAGGCGGGGTGCGAGTCGAGGATCGTGAGCTCGCCGCGGTCGCGCAGCGTCTCGTGCGGCAGCAGCGCGCCGTGCGTGCGCAGCCGGTCGAATGCGACAAACGCGGCGGGGTGCCGGAGCTCGACCACGGAGAGGATCGCGTCGTGCACGCGGTCCCTCGCCGCCTCCTCCTGCTTCTGCCGCGCGATGAGGGCGCGCTGCAGGCCACGGTAGCAGCGGAGCAGCCCCCAGCACGCGAGGGCGGACAGGAAGACGGAGAGGCCGAGCGCCACCAGCAGCAACGTGCCGGCGACCGAGGTGAGGAAGTCCTCCGGCTGCTCGGGCGTGCACGGGCAGTCGCACGCGAAGCTCTGCACGACTCTGCTAGCCGCGTCGTCACGCTTCTCCGCGGGGCACAGGCAGGAGCTCTCCTCGAAGAGGATGCCGCCCGCCCGCCCGGCCGGCGAGGCGGAGCAAGTCCCGCCCGCCTGCGCGCAGTCCGCGCCATCCACCGGGCAGCGCAGCAGCACCTCCCACTCGCCGGCGACGCCCTGCTCGAGCGGCGCGTCGCCGTCGGGAGCCACGAGGGGCGCGGCGAGGAGGTCGTTGTTCGCGTCGAAGCGCTTCCGCGCGTGCCGGTCCGCGACGGCGACGAGGTTTAGCGGCAGCGGCGCTCGCACGTTGACCACCGGCCGCACGCTGCACAAGCCGTTGTCGCAGGAGCCGGTCTGCCAGCGGCGGCCGCAATCGAAGTCGACCTTGCAGCGCTCGGCGGCGAGGAGCATGCGTGCAGTGCCGTTCGAGTCGAGCAGTCGCAGGTGGTCGGCCGCCTCGAAGGAGGCGTGCTCGACCATCGCCCCCTCCGACCAGCGCAGGCCCTCGTGCAGGGCGCCGAGCGGCACGCCCATCGGCGTGGGCACGCCAGAGCGGGTCTGGTACCAGAAGGAGCTCGTCACGACGCCGCCCTCCACCGAGTGCACCGCCGACCCGTGCGAGCCGTCGGCGAGATTGTAGTGGTTCACCACCATCGACCCGTCGCTCGAGGTGGCCAGCTCGCGCGCGATGGTGCCGTCGGCCCGCCCGTCGAAGCCGCGCAGCATCGACACGAAACCCTCGTAGTCGAGCGTCTCCTCGCCGCAATGCGTCGCTCCGCCAATGACGGCGCACTCCGGCCCAAACGAAGCCAGGTACGAGGGCGCGCGCACCGCCCTCTCTAGCGCCGCAAAGTCCTTCGTGTCTACCGCCGCGTAGAAGGCGTTGACGGCGGCGACGCCCGCCATGTTGGGCGCGCCGTGGCCGAGGGCGATGAGCTGCGCCGCCGCCTCCAGCTCTTCCCGCCTGCTGCGCGCGACGTCGTCGAGCCCACCGCGCCTCGCCTCGCCGCCGTCTCGCCGCGCCGCCGACATGGTCCGCACATACGGCGGCACGTACACGCTTTCGAGGTTGAAGCGGCTCCAGCGCAGCCGCACGCCAACCGCGTCGGCGGCGGAGAGTGGCCTGCCATTGGCGCCCCACAAGTAGCCCCGGTACGGCGCGTCGGTGTCGGCGCCGGCGGGCGGTCCCAGCTTCCAGCGGCAGGAGGTGCACGGTGAGGGGTACGCGTCGAAGGAGCCGTGCACGCGTGTGGCGGCGGCGGCGACCGCCTTGCCCGTGTCGGCGGGCGTCGCCGCCGTGCGGGCGGCGGGCGGCAGCAGCACAGCGGACGGCTGTGGCGGGGCGGCAGGCGGACCGGCGGGCGGGTTGTACGCGAGGCAGTACTTCGAGTCGCACGAGAGGCCGTGTGTGCCCGGCTCGCAGGCGCAGAGGCCGCGCACGCACGCGCCGCGGCCCGAGCAGTCGGCGTGTGTGTCGCACGCCGCCGCGGTGAATTTGTACGAGGCTCGGAAGCCCGAGCGGCGGCCGGCGCCGTCGGAGGTGAAGCGGATCAGCGGTGCGCCGCCATCGACAGGGATGGTGAGGAGGACGGGCCCGCCGGCGCCGGAGAGCTGCGCATGCTGCGTGCCGCTGCCGTCGTAGACCTCGACAAAATCGAAAGAGGGCTCGACGTCGTACTCGATCGAGAGGCGCAAGAAGCCGCGCCCCCTCCCCGTCTCCTCGCCCGCCGCCAGCCGCCAGCCGCACACAGCGTCGTTGACGTACCGCTCGCGCGGCTCGAGCGCGCGCGCCGACGAGGCGAGCACGCCCGACGCGCCGTGCAGCGTGCGCACGCCGAGGCAAGACGCGTACGAGCAATCGGCGCCACTCCGGCCGACGCCGCACTCGCAGAGCCCGCTCTCGGGTCGGCAAACGCCTCCCGGGCCGCACGACTTGTCGGTGGAGCAGCCCGGCGCGAGCCGCAGCGACGCGAGGAAGCCGGCGGCGGAGAAGCGCGACGGCTCCGCGCCCGGAGGCACGTACACTGCCTCGTCGAAGTGGTCCGACTCGAAGACGAAGCTGAAGCCGGCAGGGGCGACGAGCGGGGGCCAGGTCAGGTAGCCGGCACAGCCCGCCACGCCGCACTCGTCCTTGGCCTTGGCCTCGCCGCTGAGGGTGGCGATCAGGTCGCCGCTGGCCGCGTCGCGCACAACCACGCGGTCTCCTTGCCACACAAAGAAGCGCGGGAAAGTGAGCTCGACCAGCTGCGGCGGCGCGCCCGCGGAAACAGCCACGGCGGCCGCCCCACCGGCCGCCTCGGCCGCCACGCCAACCTTTGCCGCCGCCGACAAGCGCACCAAGCTGACGTCCTCGACACCGCCGTGGTCGTAGTCGACCTTGTGTCGGGTCGTCTCCACCGCCGCCGCCGCCACCGCCACCGCGAGCGCCTCCAAGCCGTCCTCGGGCTCGCTGCGCAGCGCCGCTGCTCGCCGCGCCGCCTCCGCAGGGCCGAGCACGAGCCACTCGCACCGCAAGTCGGCCGGGTAAGAGACGCCGCCGGCGGCGGGCGAGCCGTCTGTGAGGGTGGACGGCTCACGCTCGTCGAGCACGCGCAGCGTCGGCGCGCTGCACGCTGCGCCGGTGGCGGCCGCCGTTGGGTCTCGGGCAGGCAACGGCCCCGGCGATGCAGAGCGGAGCATGCCCAGCGTCGGCGTGGGCGGCGCGATGCCTGCCTTCAAGACGTCGGCCCGGACGGCCGCCTGGAAGAATGCGCGGGTCTGCGGCAGTTGGAGCCGCTCGTCGAGGTGGCCCGTCCGCAGCTCGCGCAGCAGGTGGCGGCCGTGCGGCAGCAGGGTGGGCACCGCCTTCTGCTCGTACACAAAGGCGGCGGCCCGCGAGAGGGCGCCCGCCGCAGACTCGTCGAAGGCGCACGCGTCGGAGAGCGCGAGCTGGCTGCACGAGAGCTGCTGCGTCGCGGTGAGGAACCGCGACTGGTCGAGCTGCGCAAACGTCTCGCGCCGGTCGGGCAGGGAGGACCCGTTCAGCCCGATCGCGTCGGCGATCGAGGCGAGGAACGAGTCGCGCGCCACCATCGAGAAGCCGGCGCTGCCGCCCTCGCCCGCGGCCTCGGCCTCGCGCAAGCACTGCTGCATATTAGCCGACGCGTCGTAGCTCTGGGAGGCGCTCTCGCTCACCTGGTCCTCCCCGCCGTCGAAGATGAAGTCGTCCGCGCCGTCGTCGTGCAAGTCGGGGTCGAGAAACTCGGGCGTGCCGTCGCCGTCGCTGTCGCCGGTGTTCGACTCGAGCCGGTCCGGGACACCGTCCCGGTCGGAGTCGCTCCAGCCCTCCTGGACGTCAGAGAGCCCGTCACCGTCCGAGTCGACCCCGCCGGCCGCGGCGATGGTGGCCCAGTCGGGGTCGAGGATGTCGGGCAGGCCGTCATTGTCCGAGTCCTCGTCCTGGGCGTCGGGCGTGCCGTCGCTGTCCGTATCCACGCTGTTGCTCTCGAGCCGGTCCGGGATGCCGTCCCGGTCGGAGTCGCCCGTGCCCTCCACAGCGTCAGGCAGACCGTCGCTGTCCGAGTCAGTGTCGAGGTCGTCGGGGATGCCGTCGCTGTCTGCGTCGTCGAAGTTCGACTCGAACCGGTCCGGGATGCCGTCGCCGTCTGCGTCGCCGTCGCCCTCCTGTGCGTCCGTCAACCCGTCGGCATCTGCGTCGAGGACGGCGTTCGCGTCGGCGGCGACGAGCCCCTCGGCCGCCTTGGTAAGCCCCTCCTCCCGCAGCCAGGCCGTGTCGAGCATCGCCATTAGCCGCACGACACGCGCAACAAAGGCCGTGTTCTCGTCCACAAAGGCGTTCCGCCCGACGATCCCGTTGAGCGTCGGCCGGCCCCACTCGGCGAGCAGGCCCGAGTTGACGAGAGTCTCGCCGCCGCGCGCCTGCATCGATCAAGCAGGCGCCGTCGCAAGAGGCGCGCGGTGGGAGCGGGCAGGGAAGGGCGGTGGGAGCGGGTCCCCGCCGTGGCGGCCTGCAGCTGCGAGCGCGTCGGGTTGGAGGCCCACGCGGCGTCGATGAGGCCCATGTCCCAGGCGGCGAGGAGGTCGTCGGGCGGAAGGAAGCGGAGATCGATCTGCACCTCGAAGAGCTCCATCAGGAAGGAGAGGTGGTAGTGCGCTGACGAGCCGAACGGCACGCCGACCGTGAGGCCGTCGAGGTCCTTGGGCGAGCGGATGTCCTTTTGCTGCGGCGCTGTGCGCGAGACGGTGCGCGCGACGAGCGCTTCGTCCGTGTTGACGACGCGGTTAATGTACAGCAGCGACAGCCCGACGCCGCGCGCGAGCGCCGTCGCGAGCGACGTCGAGTCGAGCAGGAACAGGTCGAGCAGCCCCGAGTCGAGCTGCGCCAATGCGTGCGAGCCGACCGAGCGCGGCACCGAGCACTCGACGCGATAACGAACGTCGGCAGTGGCCCAATCGAACCAGCCGCGCGCGCACGCCGCGACATACGGGTACGGCTCGGCGAATGGGCCGATCCGCACCAGCACCTCCCGCTGAGCAGCCGTGCTGCTGTTGCCTAGCGGCGGCGGCAGCGGCGGCGGCGGCGGCGGTCGGTGCACCCTGCTATGTGCGCTGCTGCTGTGCTGCCCCTCAAACAGCTGCGCGGGCCCCTCGCTCAGCAGCGCGCGGAAGAGCTCCTCAAAACTCGGCAACGCATCCGCTGTGTCAGAGGCCCACTTTGGGAAATCAGCGACGGCGGGAACCGCCGTCCGGCAGAGGCAGAGCGGCAGTAGCGAGAGGAGCCCCAGCCGCATTCACCACGGAGCGCTGCACAGCCGCCCGTCCAGCGTTGTCTGGCTGTACAGGCGGATCGGCGGACGCGCCAGCAGAGTTAGAGCCTGCCAAAGGCGGGCAACGCAGGCACAGCACCTTGCCGCTAAATAACGCAATGCGCCGCCCCAGCCGGTAGAGGGCCTCGTGTAGCCCTCCTTTTGGTATTTTAAATAACGCGATGTACCCAGCGGAGCTGGGAAGAGGACCGCCGCGAGCGGCGTGGCGTGGAGCGGTTGAGCATCCCTCCGGGGGCCCCTCTGCGCCGGGGAGGCGTTGTTGGAGGCTAGGACGCAAGCGTCCGTCGCCCTTTTCAAACTCGGGGCCCACTCCGCTACGCTCCGACCCGAATTTGGAGGGCCTAAAAGTTGCTGCGCAAAAGGGGTCGGACACAGGGCGCAGCTCATGTTAAGAGCTAGAAGGGGAGCTAGAGAGAACGACTACCCTGTCCCGTTATTGCGTACACCAACACCACAAAAGCTCTCTCTCTCCTGTCCTCACTCAGGGAAGTCAAGCCTACCGATCGACTAGCTGCCACGTTGCCGACCGAGAGCGGATCTCCTCCTGCTCCGCAAGGAGGGTGGCCAAGGCTAAAGTCTTGCCGGAGCCGGCGGGCGCGTTGACGACTTGGAGAAGGTCGCCCTTGTACTTGTACTTGTAGAGATGCTCGAGGGGGTGCTTTGTGGGGCGGTGCGCAGCCAGGCCAGCAGTGAGGGGAGGCGCACCCTCACTCTCCTCGGTTGCAGAGCTCGTCGGAGGCTGCGGCACGACGGGAGGGTCGCGACAGCAGTCCTCGGGCGAGCCGACGCGCATGTCCAACCAGCGCTGGGACTCGTTGTGACGGCAGACGCCGGCTGCCTCTCCAACCGCTTCTGCAGCGTCCTTCTTTGCCCGGTGCATGGGCTCGATCCGATTCCGCAGCGTGTCGTCCCCAGCGGCGGTGCGCGGGAGGCGGCCGCGGGCACGCTGGGCTCGATCAGCGGCTTTCCCTCAGTTGCTCCGAAAGCACGGATTTGGCGGACGTTCTTCGCTTCAATTTACCGAATGTCTTGGCACCACAGCTGAGGCTTGCCCCCGTCCACGGCGGACATCGTCGGATTTGCACGGTATTCGGATTTTGCTATTTATTTGCTCGTGTGGGCGTATATTGCAGATTTGTGAATGGTACCGCGTCTGCGACGCGGGCGCCTTGGCCCTTGCGAGCAGAGCCCTTAGGCCACCCTTTATATCTTGCGCGGTCAAAATGGCTGTGGGTTTGTGTTTTCTTTCTTTCATCTCGCAGCGACTTTCCAAGAAGTTGGGACTAAGAAAAATTTGATCTTTCTTTTTCGAGGGCGACGGCTAGCAACACACTCCTTCCTTTCCCGATCAGATCGTGAAATCCCGATCAGAAAAAGATTTTTAGGGCTCATTTGGGCCTTACGTATGAAGCGTGAACACAGCGTCACAAGTTTTGAACAGCGTTATTTCGCCCAGTTCACCCCCACAGGCTCAAAACACGTTTGTACAGCGCGGCGGCCGCGAAGGTGGCGTCGGACATCGCCGTGGGTGCGTCGTCCGTCCCCGCACAAGTCTGTGCGGATCGTTCCCGCCTCCGAGATTTCCTCATCTTCGCTCTCGATTCTCTCTCTCTCTCTCGTCTCTCTCTCTCTCTCTCTCTCTCTCTCTCTCTCTCTCTAGGTAGGTAGGTAGAAAGGTGAAGAACAGCCAGGCTCGGACTGGACACCAACGCGGTATGGGTGGACGCTGGACAGATGATGACGACACGCACGAGCGACACACAGACACAAACAGGCTCACAAGACACACAGCCAGCTGGCTGCCACACACCCTGAGTCGGCGTACACATAACTCAGGGCCACCTCCTCCCTGTCAAAAAAAAAAACGCCGACTTTCTTGCGAGCAGATTCCATTCATCTAGCCATTCATCATGGCCCTCACCTTCCTCTCAACCCCCTTTGCTCTCATTGTCCAGCTCGGCACCGCGCCGCTGCCCGCGCTCCGGCCGCCCGCCGCCCGGGTCCTCCTCAGCGCGGATGCCTCCGAGCTCATGGTGCGTGAGGCTGCGATGCGGGTCGTTGCGGCGGCCAACAAGTTTGGCAGCACGCAGGGCGAGGCAGCAGCAGAGTGGGTGATGGAGGCGATGAGCTCTCGCTCCGGCGAGGTGGACTGCGAGGAGCTGCTCGGCAAGCAGTTGGCGCTCTTCGACGAGTGCCTGGTTGAGGACTCGGCCAACTGCGAGGAGCTCGACGAGGCGCTCTCGTCGCTCGAGGCCCAGCTCAAGCAGGGCGAGGCGGGGCCGCTCGACATATTCGGACAGAGCAAGATGGATCGCGCAGCTGCGCGAGTGCGCACGGCTGCGGCCAAGTTCGGCGCCGATTACGGGAAGGTCGCCGAGCAGTGGATTGCGGACGTGCGTGGCAGCGGCAGCGAGGTGAGTCCGTTCGCGCTGCTCGAGCAGCAGATGTCCCTCTTCGGTGTTTCCGCCCGCCCAGCCCCCGGCGCGCGCGTGCCGCCCGGCCTCGACCTGCTACCTCGCTCCTCGCCCTTTAGGCGAGTGCCTCCTCGACGTCGATGAGGAGGGAGGCGGCGCCTCTGAGCGGTGCGAGGAGCTCTCCGAGGCGCTCGGCGCGCTCCAGCTGAGCCTCGGCGTCAAGGGCCGAGTCGTCGCGACGGCCAAGAACGCAGTCGCGCCGGAGCGCAAGTAGGCCAGTCGCTTTGCGCCATCTTCGCGAGGCGTTTGGCGGGACTCGAGCAGCGGCAGCGAATGCTAGTAGCAGCGGCTGGACGCCAGGAGGGTTCGGGAGCATGAACCATGTGAAAGGGCAGGGGGTGTGGGTGCAGTGTGCGCGTGACTGTCGCCACGGAGATTGCGCAGAGGTAGGTGATTCGGCGCTCTAGCGTGCGGCGCACGGAGAGAGAGTCGTGCACAGGCGTCACTGTCGCGCTCAACGCGTTGGTGCAGGATGCAGCGCGCATCAAGCTTCTCGTGGTCGTGCCAAGTGCCAGTGGGACGATGAACACACGCCTGGGTGCGTGTGCGTGTGCGTGTTTGGCGTCCCGTCCTTTACCTTGCCAAATTACCTCAAGAAACAGTCCAAACCTCTCCACTGTCGTGTTGTCCGCACACCGAGGTCAGAGAGCCCACGTGACCGCCACAGGGCTGTCACGGCCCCGCGGCGCCGCCCCCCGGCCCCCGGCCGCGCACCCAGGGTCTCAGGGACCCCCCCAGCGCCCCGAACAAAATAGCCGTCGTCTGGCACACACAGCCGACCCCAGAGTTTCTGCAACATCCTTTGCCCCGCGTCTCCCGCCTCTGGACTCCGCCGCTCTCGGCCTCTCGCTTCTCGGACTTCCTCCCCCCGCCCGCAGGTTCGCACCGCGCATCCACCCTGACAACACGTCACCAGTGGCAATGCGCGCGCGCCGCTTCGCTGTGTCGCCCCCTCGACGCCTCGGCTCAGCCGGAGATGCCATGCTGCATGGCGAGGTTGATCAGCTCCTGCTTCTTCTTTGGGAGCTTTGCGCCCGAGCCGAGCTTTTGTTTCAGCTTGGACTGGAGCACCGGCACCGCGAGCTGGGAGGCCGGGATGACGGACGAGCGGCGGTTCGTCCCGCTCGACGAGGCGAGCGCAGGGTCAGCCGCCTCGGCCGCCTCGGCCACCGGGTCGAGGGAGGGAGTGCGGACCGCGGAGCCGGACCGGTGCCGCTTGCCGGGCGCGGTCGCCTCGTCGTCGTCTGGCTGCGGGGGCGGGGCGGCGGCGTTGACCGCCTCCGCCGCCGCGAGCCGCTCCTTGAGATCCTCCACCTTGTCCGCCAGCCGCTTCGTCTCCACCTCCTTCATCTTCTTCTCGCGCGCCAAGTCTTCCTTTGCATTCTCGAGCGCCGAACGGCTCGCGCGCAGCTCGCCCTGCGCCTGGCCCCGCTCCCGGCCCGCCGCGGCGCTCGCCTCCCTCTCGGCCGCCAAGCTCGCCGCCGCCTCCTTGAGCTTCGCCTCGGCCGCGCTGAGCTTCTCCCTGAGCCCAGCAACCTCGCCCGACGCATCCGCCCTCGCCGAGGACAGCTCCGCCTGCGTCGCCGCAAGGCTCGCCTCGGCCGCCTTGGCGCGCCTCTCCGCGGCGGCGGCGGCGGCGGCGGCGGCGGCGGTCTCGGCCTTGGCCGCCTGCAGCGCCATCGCGTGCTCCGCGCTCGCCCGCCGCAAATCCTCCTTCGCCCTCTCCTCCGCATCGCGGCGCGCTCGCTCGAGGGTCGCCTAGCCCAGGGGGTGCAGCGAAGGAGCGGAGGGTGTGCAGTCGGGAGCGTGCGGCGTAGCGACTACGAGGGCTCCTACTCCGACGGGAGGCAGCCGAGTCCGTGTCCTCGCCAGCGCCAGTCGGGGAGACCGGCGAATGTGTGTCCGGCATCTAGAGAGCGTCGCCTCGACAGCGCCGCGCACCGACGCCACGAGCTGCTTGAGGCCAGCCTGTGGGGCATGCCAAGGAGGTGTCATGGACGTGTCATGCCAAGGAGCTGTGTCATGGACGTGTCACAGACGCGATGAGCCGCAGGAGAGGCCCGCGGGCACGCTACACCACAGCTGAGGAGCTACACCACAGCTGAGGAGAGCTACACCACAGCTGAGGAGAGCTACACCACAGCTGAGGAGAGCTGCACCACAGCTGAGGAGAGCTACACCACAGCTGAGGAGAGCTACACCACAGCTGAGGAGAGCTACACCACAGCTGAGGAGAGCTACACCACAGCTGAGGAGCTACACCACAGCTGAGGAGAGCTACACCACAGCTGAGGAGAGCTACACCACAGCTGAGGAGAGCTACACCACAGCTGAGGAGAGCTACACCACAGCTGAGGAGAGCTACACCACAGCTGAGGAGAGCTACACCACAGCTGAGGAGAGCTACACCACAGCTGAGGAGAGCTACACCACAGCTGAGGAGAGCTACACCACAGCTGAGGAGAGCTACACCACAGCTGAGGAGAGCTGCACCACAGCTGAGGAGAGCTACACCACAGCTGAGGAGAGCTACACCACAGCTGAGGAGAGCTGCACCACAGCTGAGGAGAGCTGCACCACAGCTGAGGAGAGCTACACCACAGCTGAGGAGAGCTACACCACAGCTGAGGAGAGCTACACCACAGCTGAGGAGAGCTACACCACAGCTGAGGAGAGCTACACCACAGCTGAGGAGAGCTACACCACAGCTGAGGAGAGCTGCCAGCTGAGGGGAGCTGCCCACTGCTACCGAGGGAGACCCGCCTGCTGCGCGGGCCCGTGCGACTGGGCGAGGTAGTCGGAGAGGGTCTGCTCGAGCAGCGGGGCGAGCTCCGACGGTGCGCCGCTCCGCGCGCCCGCCTCGAGCCGCGCGCCGAGCGACGCCGCGACCCTGGCGCACACCGCCTCCGACTTGGCTGCCCGAACCTGCTCGGCCCGCGCCTGCTCGTCCCGCATGGCCGCCTCGAGCTTCTCCTCGAAGGCGGCGCGGCCCTCGCCGACCGAGACGCTCTGGAACCGCTTGAGCGCCTCGTCGCGCGCCGCCGCCACCGCCGCCGCCCACTCCGCCTCGCCCGCCACCGGCTCCGCCTCGGCCGCGCCGCTCAGCTTGGCGCGGAAGATTGCGGCGGCCTGGTCGAGCGCCTTTTGGCACTCGATGGTGAGCACGGCCTGCCACGCGGTCGAGATGGTGGGCACCGCGCCCTCGTTGACCGCGCGCACGAACGCCTCCGCCAGCCCGAGCAGCATCGGCCCCGTCGCCGCCGCGCCGCCGACCGCCTTAGCGCGGATCTCGCCAAAGACGCGCTGCTTGAGGTCGATGACGCCGTCGCGAAAGGCGGGGTGGAGCTTGTCGATGGCGGGCAGCTGCTTGAGCGCAGAGTCGGGCAGCTTGGTCCCCAGCGTCGGGTGCCGCAGCGTGACGCACGAGCGGCGCGGGAAGAGGTCGCGGATCGCCGCCCGCGTGCCGTTTTGCTCCTGGACGGCGGCGGAGCTGCCGGGCTGCGCGCGGAGCGACTGCTCGAGGTAGGCGTCAGGGGAGATGGGGCGCCCCTGCTCGTCCTCGAGCTCGAGCTGGAAGTCGCGCAGCAGCCACAGGAAGGACGGCATCACCTCGGCCAGCTCCGCCGCGTCCGAGCCGCCGCCGCCGTTGCCGGCCGCGTGCACGCGGATCTTCTTGGTGAGCTGCGCGACGAGGGAGAGCTGGTCGATGGCGGCCGAGTTGATGGCCTTCTCCGAGTTGTAGAGGAAGAAGGAGGAGAGCAGGATCGCCAGGCAGAAGATCTTGGCGTCGTGCCCCTCCGTCTGGCAGAGCGACTGCAGCCCCTCGGTGTCGAGCAGCAGCACATAGTCGGGCGCGCCGGCGGCCGCGGCCGAGGAGCCGCGCCGCTCGATGGGCGCGCCCCACAGCCAGATGCCCTTGGTGCACGCCTGCACCGAGGAGCCGACGCCGAAGCCCGAGTCGCGGCCGGCCAGCTGATTGAGGATGTAGCTCTTGCCGGTGCGGTAGACGCCCGCCACGGAGCAGACGCCGACGCTGCCGCGGATCGACTCGAGGACCTGCTTGCCCTTGGGGTCGACGACCAGCTTGTTCGTCTTTGGGTCGACCTGGATGAAGGGGACGGGACGATCCGCCATCGATGTGGGGGCCCGGCTGTCAAATACCCGTATCTCACGAATACTTGATTTTTCACGCCGTCTAACAATCGTGTTCAAGCGGCCCTCCTGTGAGCTGGTACACCAAGAATGGCTTACCACTGCCAGGGGCCACACTGTGGCAAGCTGTGATGAGCGTGGTTTGGCTTGTGCAGCCCATACGGACGTGGTATATATACATATATGCGGCCACGTGTCGGTCTGCAAATACCCGGGAGCGGTTGCGTTTTTTTTGCACCTGTCGAGTCCGAGCGTGGCTTTTCTTCACCTTTCTACCTACCTACCTAGTCTACTGTGAAGAGAGAGTTGTTTTGTTTAAATTCTTTTGGAGTGTCGGGCACAAGCTAGGCGACACAGGCACCCCCATGGGTTCATGTGGCCGAGCTGAAGAGGCCGCCTGCCGCTTGCTTGTTCTTGACCAGGTAAATACTTGCTTAACACGGTCACACACCGACTCGCGACTGCAACCCCGAGGCGAAAAAAAAACATTGGAGACACACACCTGCTGCTCTTTGAGCTCACACGCGCCTACGACAATCGTGCTGCCGGCGGACGCGGGGGCCGTAAATTAGCTTTTGAGAGCTGCATATGTACAACACGTTCAAGTGAATTATTCAAGAATTCAAGAAACAGTAGACAAAACTTCTCCAACTCCATGGCCCACTGCAGCGCCGTCTTGCCGTCAACAGTGCGCGCCGCGTCTGCGCCCGCCCGCAGCAGGCAGCGCACGACGGCGGGTGTGTTCATGCATATCTTGCCCCCCCCCCCCCCCCCCCGTATATCGTGTGCATGGGCCGGGGGGTGAGCGGATCTCTCACACCGAGACACACCCTGCTGCGTGTCAGCTCGCCCCTCCGCCTCCAAGAGCGAGGGGGCCTCCACGCGAGCAAGGGTGAAGGAGGGTGGGCGCCACAGCGCCGCGCCCGCAGCCTCTCTACCAGTGGAACGAGCCGTCCGCCGCAGTGTGCTCCGCCAGCATGGACTGCCCGGCGGTCAGGGCGTCGAAGGCCTCCCTCTCGAGGGCGAGCAGCTTGCGCCCCTGCACCTCAACGTCGGCCGAGCCCCAGAAGGACCCCTGCGCCCAGCCGGCCACGCACTTGGTCACCCAGCCGGGGAGCATGTCGATCACGTGCGCCGCGCGAGGGGACGCCACAGCGACGGCGGCGCGGAGCACGGCGCGCCAGTCCGCCTGCGCCTTGCCCTCGATGCCCGACGCGGAGGAGGTGAAGCCGACGCGCATCGAGCCCGCCGAAGTGCCGTCCGCGCCGCCCTGGCGGCCGAGCGCCATCTGGCCGAGCGCCGTCTCGCGTGCGAGCCGCGAGGCGGTCGAGAAGAGGACACCGAGCGGGATCTCCGCCTCGAGCGAGGCGGGAGGGTGGGCGACGTACGAGACGGACGAGCGCGTGTACGTGCCGACCAGGTCGGCGTCGGCCGCGCGCACGGTCCAGGCAAACGCGCTTCCGGCCTCGAGGTCCGCCTTGGCCGCCTCGGCCACCGCCTTGAGCTGCGAGAGGTCGTACGATCCTCCGATGGGCGCGCCGTCCACGGCGACGTCGACCTGCTGCAGCGCCGACCACGCCACCTTCACGAGGCGCTTGAGGGTGCCGACGACGGCCTGCGTCCGCTCCTCGCCGGCCGACTCGTGCGACGCGGCGAGCAGGTCGCGCAGCACCGCCATCGCGTCGTCCGCCACCTGCTGCAGCGGCTTACTCTGGCCCGCGAGGACGCCGTTGAGGGCGGCGAGCACGTCCGGCGCCGCAGTCGACGCCTCGCCGCTCGCCATCGCGTCGACGAGCGCGTTCAGCTCGGGGGTGAGCAGGATCGTGCGCAGGTCGGCCGCCGAGGCGAAGGCCTTGTCAATCGCCGGCGCGGTCGCGTCGAGGAGGCAGCGGTAGATGCCCGACAGCCGGGCGGTCGGGGAGCGGTCCTGCACGCAGGCGGTGACGGCGGCGGCGTCGCCGACTCCCTCGCGGGAGATGAGCTCGACGAGGCCGTCCCAGAGGAAGGAGAGCACGTCGGGGAAGCCGGGCGGGCGCAGGGCGTCGAGCTTGTTGACGATGCCCCAGACAAGGTCCAGCTTGTTTGCCCACGCGTCGAGCAGGCAGGAGAGCGTCTCGGACGCGGGGACGCTGCCCGACGTGTCGAAGGCCTCGAGGGCCGTCGCCGCGCAGGCGACCGACTTGTGCACGTTCTCGACGCCGAGCGCGTCGAGCACGAGGTTCGCGCCCGCCGAGTCGCACTGCACCTCCCACCACGGCGCATCCTGCACCGACTTGATCTCGAGGGCCACCTCACCCTTGCCGGCGGCCGCGGCGGCTGAGCCGGCAGCGGGCGCGGCGCGGAAGGAGAGCTGGCGAGCTCCGCAGCCGGAGACGCGGAGGGAGGCGTCGGCGTGCCCGCTCCACCGCGCCTTGGCAACGTGGCCGTCGATGAGCAGGGTGGGGGACGTGCCGCCGATGGTGAGGGTCGAGTTGGTGCGCGAGGCTGGGCCGGCGACCACGTTGGCGAGGGTGAGCTCGGCGCGGTCGCCCACCACGCTCAGCGAGGGCGAGGTGGAGAAGGTGAGCGGCACGGACTGGCCGTGCGCCTCGGAGGTGACGGGGAGGGTGAGGAGTCCGGATTTCTCGAGCGCGAAGAGCGCCTCGTTGATGGTCCACGGCGTCACGGTGGCGATGAGCTGCTGCGAGCGGTGCTCCACCGGCGGGGCGCTCGGGAGAGCGGTCGGCGCGTAAGGATAGGAGCGCGCGCCCACCGCCGGCGGCGAGGAGAGGACGGTGAGGATGTCGATGACCCACGCGGGCTTCTTGTAGCCGATGGAGGTGACGTCGGCGTCGAGCATGAGGTGGCCGGCGCGGGGAAGGACCGTTGCGAGCGGCTCGCCGAGCGGCAGGTGGTGCAGCGGCAGGTGGTGAAGCACGTCGCCAAGCGTGCCGATGACCTTGCCAACCTTCTTCTTGGCGATCCGGTTGGTCACCTTGCCGATGACGCCGGTGATCATGTTTGCAAAGAGGGAGACGCCCTTAAATTCGTGCAGCTGGATGTTGCGCATCTGGAAGTTTGTGTTGACGTAGCGCGCCGCCAAATCGGGCACGCCGCGAGCCGCGCCGAGCGAGATGAGCATCGTGATCTCAGAGTCGTACAGCTCGGCGGAGAAGGAGGCGTCCATCGGGTCGTAGCACATGAAGGTGCAGCCGGCCTGCTTGGCGAGGGAGCTGCCCTCTGCGTGCGCCGAGATGCCCGACACCTTGACGAGCAGGCCGTCGGGCTGGTTGCGCACGGAGATGCCGCCGACCGAGCAGCGCGACAGGGCAAAGGACTTGACGTCGATAGCGACCGGGCCCTCCTCGATAGACTCGTGGCCGAGCAGCTTATCCATCGGGATCCCGCAGACCACGTCGGCGATGACGGGCTTCAGGCCGGCTTCGACGGCGCCCATGAGCGCGTCGGTGGCCCACACGCGGGCGTTCGAAGGCGTGGCTGCCGCAGCGGGCGCAGACAGGAGGAGGGCGGATGCGAGCATGTTGATGAGGCGGGACCGAGGCTCCCGAAAAGCTGCTTCAAGCGCTCCTTGAGGCCGGAGGAGGAGATGGAGTCACGCGATTGTTTTTCTCGAGTTTTTTTCTTTTTACTGACAACGAGGGATAGGAAGAAGCAGACGCCCAGGGGGTAACATGGGGACGGCTAGCACCACACCTTTCTCACCTGCCCGACGGCAGCTGGGGCGGCTGGGTACCCTGGGTTCCCGTCGGCAAGCAAGGGCCTCCTGAGGGAGGGAGGGTGAAGAGGATGTAGAGTGTAGAGCGTGAAAGCACACACGTCCCGCCTCAGCGTGGATCGTGCTTGTAACTCAATCCTCAGACGGAAAACGCGCGCTAAGGACGCACGAACTCAATGTCACGCACTACTTTCCACGTGGCATGCCACGTGGAAAGGGCGTGACATATGCATCACACAGCCCCAGCACTCAGGCGCTGGAGCACACGACTCTCCACTCGCTAACACCCCCCTTGCCACGACACCGGCTCGGGGCACTTCGCATGCGAGGGGAGCACACGCGACACAGAGAGCTAAGGCATCAGAAAGGACACGTGGGTGCGGAAGGCAGCAGGCGGGAGTGGCTTGGTGAGCACGTCACTCGGATTCTCGGAAGTGTTGACGTGCTTCACTGTCAGCAGCCCATCTGTCTGGTACTCGCGCACCTTGAAGTAGCGGCGAGAAATGTGCCGCGAGTTGTGCGTGACCTTGCGCTCACGTGCCAGCGCCTCTGCACCACTGTTGTCCACGTACAGCTCGGTCGGCGCATCTTGGGGCATGCCAAGCTCGGCCAGCACCTCCCGGGTGTGCGCGATCTCGGTCGCCGCTTGCGAGGCCGCCATGAGCTCAGCCTCGGTAGACGAGAGAGCGATACAGTGCTGGCGTTTGCTCGCATAGCGGATCGGTGCGCCAGCCAGCATCAGGCAGTAACCAGTGGTGGAGTGAACGACGGCCCAATCCGAGTCGGAGTAGGCGACGAGCCGTCCCCCCTTGCTACCGTCGAAAGTGACCCCCTGGTCTGCAGTCGCTGCAAAGTAGCGAATACAGTCGTCGGCGCACCGCTCGAGTTCTTCGGTGGGGAAGGTGAGAGCACGAGCGAGTAGCCCGACGGTGACGGCGCAGTCGGGACGAGCGCACGGCACAGGGTAGATGAGGCTCCCAACCTTTGACCCGTACTGCGCCACCCGCTCCGCCGGAAGGATATGTTCCCGATCGAGGGCTCGTTCGTAGGCCTTCACCAGCGACGCGTCACTGGGGAGGGAAGGTGCATCACGACCATCGACGACTGAGGCGTAGCGCTTGGCTAGCGTAGTCGCATAGCTGGAAGCACTCAGGCGGATAATGCCTCGGTCAATGTACTCGATATTCATCCCAAGGAAGTAGTCTGGATTCTCCCGCACCGTAATCTCGTTGAACTTTGCACGCAACGCCTCGATCTCTTGCTCCACTGGCGCGGCTGCATCAGCAGTGACAAACAAGTCGTCGACATATGTGGATAGCTCGATTGACGCCCCCCCTGGGTAGCGTTTCACGAAGAGGCACGGATCGCTCTCGCAGCGGGCGAAGCCCTGGTTCACCAGCTGTTTGTGCAGCGTCCGATACCATATGCGGCCGGCGTCTCCTTGTCCATACAGCGGCGTCCCCAGTTTCCAGACGAGCGGGACACCACGTTCATCGCGGCTCTGGAAGCCGGGCGGAGGGCGGAGGTAGCATTGCTCGCCTTCGCCGGGTTCTCCCTTGAGGAACGCCTGCCCAATGTCGAGCGCGAAGTACCGCCGCGGCGCCGGAGTGGTATTGGACATCTCGTGATCTCGGCACGCACGAGGTCGCGAGTCTGGCATTTCCAGTTGCTGTGGCTGATCGCAGGGGCGAAGCACTCTAAACCAGGGTGCCGCACGTCGCGCTTCGACTTGCAATCGTTGGCAGCGCCAGCGCCCCGACGACATGAAACGCGACGCGTCCGGTGCGCGCGGTGAGCCTAGGCGTCCTCCGCACCAGTCCAGGCAGCCGCACAATCCCACGCGCGAGACGTCGCACGAGAGAGAGAGCCCCGGCCAGGTACGCGAGGTGGAGCGCATAGGCAGCCGCCAGGAAGGCGGTGAGTATCGCAAATGGTGGCGCACCGACGGTGACGTGCGACGGCAGCGACGGCGCCCACCGCAATGGCCCCTCCAGCTGCGCCGCCTCCCGAAGCCCCCCTCGCCACAGGCCAGCGAGCGCGAGCGCGGGCTGCGCGAGGAGTGGCGCCCAGCCAACGCCGATCATCCAGAGCAAAAGGAAGAGCCCCACAAGGGCGACGCCGGAGAAGAGCAGCCACTGTGAGGCGTCGACCACCTCGACGGGCGACCCAAGGCGGCCGAGGGAGCCGCAGGCCGAAGGCGGCATGCCGGTGGCAGAGGCCTCGCGAGCGAGGCGGGCGCGAGCGAGGTGGGCCGCGAGGGGAGCGAGGCGGGTGCGGCAGAGGTGCCCACGCCACACGCCCTGCAGCGTGACAACCGCGGCGACAGAGCGCGCGGCCGCCTTGTACGCGGCGTGCCGCGCGCGCCCGATGCACCCTTGCCCGATGCGCTGCAGGACGCCGGTGGCAGCGGCCTCGAGAGCGAGGCGGAGATCCTCCCGCTCCCGAGCGAGGCGGATGCGGCAGAGGCGCCCACGCCACACGCCCTGCAGCGCGGCGACAGCGGCGACAGAGCGCGCGGCCGCCTTGTACGCGGCGTGCCGCGAGCGCCCGATGCACCCTCGCCCGATGCGCTGCAGGACGCCGGTGGCAGCGGCCTCGAGAGCGAGGCGGAGATCCTCCCGCTCCCGAGCGAGGCGGATGCGGCAGAGGCGCCCACGCCACACGCCCTGCAGCGCCTCGACGCCACGCTCGGCGGCCTCGTACCGAGCGAGGCGGAGCACGGTGGCAGGGAGACCGAGCTCGCCGTGCCAGAAGCCGTGGGCGGCCGCCCGAACGCGCTCGAGACTTGCAACCTCGGCGGGCCAGAGCCTCCAATCCCAGCCGGCCTCGCACTCCCAGCCGGCAAGAGCCTCGCCCTGCCAGCCGGCCTCGAGCAAGAGCATGGCCGCGACCATATCGGCGTGCGGCGAGTCGGAGAGGATCGCGCGCACGGCGGCGCAGACCTCCCCAAGAGCCTGCCGGACCCACCGGCGCAGCTCCTCGTCCCCGGGGCGGCACTCAGCGTGCGCGGAGTGGCAGTCGTCGCGCGCGGCGGTCTCGGAGTGGATCTCAGGCGACCGAGAGGCGGCGGCCTGTGATCCGCCGTAAATGATGTAGGGCGCAGGCCACGGGCTGCTGCATGCGCCTCCGCCGCCCGACAAGGCGATGGGGGACGCGAGAACTCCTGAGCCAAGGTGGAATGGCTGCGGAGAGGCGAACCCAGCGGACCACGGCGACGCCGCGGCGCCATCGGGGAGCGTCGGCTCCTCCCGCGCCGCCGGCGACGCGACGGCGACGGCGCAAGTCGACGACCCGATGGAGATGTCGAAGGCGCCGTCCTCGCTCTCCTCTTCCTCGTCGTGGAAGGGGACGGCGTGTTGGGGGGCGGGGTGGCGGAAGGGCAAGCGAATTATCGGGCAAGCGCTGCCGGATGATCGCCGGTGGGGGAGTGATCGGCAGCCGGCTCGGGTTCGGGTTCTGAGGCTGTCCATGCTCGGTGGATCTGTCTTGACTCTTGTCCTCCCCGACATGACATGACAGAGTGTCCCTTGTAATGCATGCGAGAGAGTGCGGTTTGTGTTCTTGTTTTGTATCTTTCTCCTCTCCCCTTAAGCCCTCCTGCGTGGCGCGTGCTCCCACCCCTCCGTGTCTGTTTTCTTTGTTTATGCCTTTCAGCAGCTTCCAAGGAAGGCCACTAAAGACAACAAACACAAAACACTAAAGACAACAAAGAACACAAACCGGGGAGGAGAGAAGAATTCTCGGCCTCTAAAGGAAAAAATAACGCTCCCAAGGGACCATTGGGTTTGTACTATTAACAACGCTCCCAAGGGACCATTGGGTTTGTACTATAAAAACGAAGGCGCTCTCAAAAAATAAGAAAAACGCGTCCAGCGGGCTCCGACATCAGCGGAGCGGTGTCGGCAAACGCAGCCATCAGGGGTGATGTTCGCACTCATCTTGCTCCTCGGCGGCGCATTCGCGGCGAACCCGGACGCTCCCCACCCTCACGGCGGCAAGCTCTCGCCCTACGTCCTCGGCCCTCCCACCGTCCTGCTCTCGCGGGAGGACGAGGAGGAGCTCGCCGACGGCAAAACAATCATGCGCGTCATCTCCAACAGGCCGGCCGACGAGTCTCGGGAGGGCGGGGCGCGGCGGCTGCTCATGGTGCGTGACGTCGCCGCGCCCAAGGACGTAGTGCTCGACCGCATCGGCGACTTTCCCGCGTATCCGCGGATGGTCAAGGGGTGCGACGCGTGCCACGTGTACAAGCGGGAGGGGCGGCCGGACGGGACGGAGGAGGTGCGGTGCGAGTATCGGATCCACGCGCTGCACCTCAAGTTCCGCTACTTTATGAGCCACCAGATCGACCCCGAGGCGGGCTGCGTCGTCTGGAACCTCGACTATGAGCGCGAGTCTGACCTCGACGACTCGGTTGGCTACTGGTGCACGACCTAGCACCCCGCCCGCCTCCCCGCCAGCGCCGGCCGTGCGACGCGCTCCTCGCGCGCCGCCGACGCCGTGTGAATCCTTTCCGTTGCCCCCACGGCCTCCGCCGACTGCGCCGCGCTGGCCCCGCCCCTCACAGGTACATCCAGCCGCGCGGGCGGCAGTGCTGCCGCGTCTACTACAGCTGCGACACAAAGCTGCGCAAGTGGGTGCCTGCGCCCGTGTACGCGCTCCTCTCCAAGACGGCCGTCAAGCAGGAGATTCGCTACGCCTCCCAGACGCCTCCCAGACTCCTCCCCCCTCCCGGGCGGCCCCTCCCGGACGCCGGACGCCTCCCCCGTCATAGGCGACTATCTGGGTCAACAACGAGGCGGTGAGCGAGTGGGCGAAGCTGCGCCAGCAGCAGGGGGGGGGAGGGCCGCTCGGGCTGGGCGGCGCGATGCGCTCGGCGAGGGATGCGTGGGAGCGCGCGCTGCCCAAGGGCAGGGCGGAGCCGTGGAAGCTGCCTCGGCTGCCGTGGGCACGGCCGACCAGCCTCACCGTGCGGGGCCTCGGCGCCCATCCGCGACACCTCTCGCAGTGCTGAGGAGCGGGAGCGGCGGGCCGGCGGACGGCGAGGCTCACCGAGAGCATGCCCGCCCGACTGCCGATCCACCGATCGTGCGCGTGGGGCTTGCATGATGCGTATGCGGTGAATGTTCTGTGGGAGACCCTTGTAGTAGTAGTACAGTTTGTCGGTAAACACAAACAAAACTTCGATTTTTCTTTTTCCGGCCCAGCGCCAGCCGCCACATCCAGCCACATCCGCCGCTTGGAGGGTTTAGCGTGTGAGCCAGTCCAGCTAGGAGGTGTGCAGCACCTCCTATTGTACAGACTTGACTATCGGCTGTCCGACATGGCTCGGGCGCTGTCCCGGAAGCTGTCGTCACACTCCTTCCCGCGCTGCGACGGCGCTGCCATCGCCGTGCTGCTTCGCCCGAGCGCTGAAGACGGCGGCGACAGCTGGCGGGGCGAGGGGAGGATGCAGTCAGAGCGCCGAGCCATCCACTCACCCTTTGCTGACGACACCGGAAGCACGCTCTGGGCGTCTGCAGCTGCGCTATGCGCGCACCTCGCGTCGCTCGACCCGGCGGCGCTGCCCGCAGGCCCGCGGGTGGAGCTCGGCACCGGCCTCGGGCTATGCGGCATCGCGCTCGCGAAGCTCGATGCGGCGAGGGGCGTGAGGGAGCCGCTCGTGTGCACCGACGGCAGCGACGACGCGCTGCGGGCGTGCCGCGACAACATCGCGCTCAACGACATCCGCGCGGAGACCGAGCGGCTGGAGTGGGGCAACGTCCGCCAAGCCGAGGCGCTCCTCCGACGGCTCGGGCGGCGGCCCGGCCTTATCATCGGCTCTGATCTCACCTACTCCCTCGACTCCATTCCGCCTCTGGTCCAGACGGTCGCAGCGCTCGGCGCCACTGCCACGCTGCTCGCCTTCCCGCCGCGCATCGGGGCCGGCTCGCTCGCCGTGCGGGATGGCTTCAGGTGCGAGGAGCACGCGCGCCTCGCACGGCTCGCAAAGCAGGCCGGGCTGGTCGTGCGGCAGGCCGGGCCGTCGCTGAGCACTCACGTCAACGGAGAGGAGGTCGTCCTCCTCTCCCTCGAGAGAGGCGACTAACACTAAGGATAGAAGAGAGAGAGTGAGTGAAATACAGATAATAGAGTAGACAAAGTATCTAGAGATACAGTCGTCCTCGTCGGTCGCGCATGGGCCGGGCGTGCACCACGTGTGTGGTTTTTACAGATTACACGCATATCGCGCCGGGCTGGGCGCACGGCGCGCCGCTGGCGGTGCCGCGGGCAGTAGCCAGACCCACCACCCGACTGGGACTGCGGACTGGTGGTGGTGCCACCAGAGCGCTATCTGTCCCAGAGCTGAGTTCCATTTCACTGTGGCTTAGCCCGCGCTGTGTCCGTAATCTTCCGTATAAGGCGGTCGACCACTGCTACCACTACTAGCGCTCGGAGCTGACATGTATCGCGCGTGGTACATATCAACCAAAACCCCACGTCGTACATATCAACCATACCGGCGCGGGGACATCGGATGCGCGCACAGTGTCAGAGCAGTGCGAGCACTCACACGCTTACACACGTCGGGTGGTGGCGCGGCCGTCGTGGCCAGATCGCCGACGGAGCGGCGTTACTTTGCGACCGCCGTGGGCAAAGACGACTCGATGGCGGCCCAGACCTCGGCGGGCGCCTTGTTTGCGTCGACGCGCTTGACGGCACCCGACGGCTCGTAGTGCGCGAGGATAGGAACCGTCTGCTCGTGGTAGGCGGAGAGGCGCGTCTTGAGCGCCTCCTCCGTGTCGTCGGCGCGCTGCATGAGGGGCTCGGACGTCTCGTCGTCGAGCATCGTCTCGGCCGACGGCGCCTATCCGCCGAGGGGGCGCGCTTCGGAAGTCTCTCGGAAGTGTCGCCACGCGTCGCCTCGAGCCGCCGCGGCGCCTGCCCGTCCTGGAGCGACTTCGGGCGAGCGAAGCTGACGTGGTACGAGCGTCCCGACGCCTTGTGCACCCACCTGCGCGGGGGAGGGGGGCGGGGGTCGGCGGAGCCTCCTCCCGCGCCGCTGCGCCGCGGCCGAGGTGCTCTCGCGCCGGCCGCAGATCCGCTCCGTCAGCACCTCGTCCGGCACTTCGAGCGCGAGCACGAGCGTCACCGCGTCGCCCGACGCCTGCAGCATCTCGTCGAGCATCTTTGCCTGCGCGGCGCGGCGGCGGCCGGCTCAGAGCCGAGCCCAGAGCGTCTCCTCTCCCTCTCCCTCTCCCTCTCACGGCGCGGCCGCCTGCTCGACGGTGCGCGGGAAGCCGTCGAGGATGAAGCCGCCTCGGCAGTCCGGCTCCGTGATTCGCTCCCGGATGATGGAGACGACCAGCTCGTCGCTGACGAGCCCGCCCGACGCCATCACGCCCTGCGCCTGCTTGCCCACGTCGGTGCCCGCGGCGACGGCGGCGCGCAGCATGTCGCCCGTCGAGAGCTGCGGGATGCCGAGCACGTCCACAATCTTGGGCGCCTGCGAGCCCTTGCCCGCTCCCGGCGGGCCAAACAGGATCATCACGTTCTTGCCGTCGCTGCCGCCGGCGAGCATCATCAGCGACGAGCGGCGAGACCGCAGTGGCAGCGAGGTGGCCGAGCGCTCGGCGCGGCGGGAAGAGAGCGCGACGGCAGGGCGCTCCTGCCGGACCGCGCCAGCGGCGACCGGGCCAGAGGTGGTGACGAAGGCCGACGGCGCCAGGCCGAAGGCGAAGACCGTGGCGAGGAGCATCTGTGCGGATGCGCGCGTGTAGTGCTTCCGAGCTCGCGCGAACAAGAAAAAGCGCAAGGTTCACACAAGCATTCTCTCACATCCCTCCCTTGGGTTGTCTGTTTTCTTTCTTTCTTTCTTTCACATGACAAGCGATCCCACGATTCAATTTGCGAAAGACGAGGCTGGCTGTTCTTCACCTTCACCTAACCTAACCGCCTCGCGCTTCCTTCAAGATCCTGCTCGTGCGGGTGGGGCCACCATGTCTTCCTTCTTCTCCCATCCCTTGTTGGCGTGGCGTGTCGCGTGTTTCTTTCTTCCGCCTGCACACTTTTCCCTCTCTCTTCAGGTAGTCCCCACCACCCGACGACGCTATGGGGATCATGTGTCTTTTGTGACACAGGCGGTTCCCTTCCGCCCTCGCGGGAGTCGCTTCTAGGCAGCTCCCGTGGTGTACCTGTGTGAGTGCCAGTGCGCGCCAGTCCCGTGCCCAGTGTCGCTACCCAACGCGGCGAAAGGATACCCACCTCGAGAACCTCGAGAGAGTGTCGCCACAGCATGAGGTTTTGTTGCGATCAACCACTCCGAAGTGGACTGTGGCCGCCTTGTGCGAGCCGCGGTAGCGTTATCGTCCGATGTCCGACCAGCCCTCCTACCAGCTCGCCAGCCCTCGCGGTCCGCTGCGTCAGTCACGCGCCAGCAGGGCGTCCAGCGTCTCGCTGCGGTCCGAGCGGTGGTCAAAGACGTCTGAGGATCCGCAGCTTCTGCTCGACGCGGCTGTGGCGGCCACCGAGCTGCGGGACGGAGTGAGCGTGCTCAGCGACGCTCAGCTGAGGGTGGCGTGGTGCGCCGCGACGATGAGCGGCGTCTACCCCGGCCAGGCCCACGAGAACCAGGACCGCTTCGTTGCCAGAAACTACACTGTCGCCGAGGACGGCAGCAAGGCGGCCCTGTTCGGGGTCTTTGACGGGCACGGAGCATCGGGCCACACGGTGGCCCAGTTCGTCTGCGATCGCCTCGCCGAAGGCTTGAGGAGCGTCGCCGACACCGAGGCCATCATCGAGTCGTTTCAGCGCGTCGATGATCTCCTCGAGGCGGAGCCAGACGTGCCCAGCGTGACGAGCGGCACGACGGCGTGCGTGCTCGCGATCGACGCGGAGGACGGCGTCGCCCGCGTCGCGAGCCTGGGCGACTCGCGCGCGCTGCTCGGGAGCCTCGACGGCGGGAGCTCGCTGGCGGCGGAACAGCTGTCGGACGACCACACCCCAGCCGACTACGAGGAGTACAAGCGGTGCAAGGCGAGCGGCGCGCGCATCATGACGATGCCTCAGCTGCGCGGCCTCGAGCCGTGGGCCGACAGCTGGGAGAAGGACCGCGGCTCCGACGATGACGCCGAGGAGAAGCTGCGCATCTTTGCGCGCGACCGCGACATGCCCGGCTGCACGCTCACACGCGGCTTTGGGGACAGCATGGCAAAGAGCCTGGGCATGATCGCCACGCCCGAGATGAAGACGGTGCCTCTGACCGCGGCGGACCGGTACATCATCCTCGCGACCGACGGCATCTTCGACGCCCTCTCCAACGAGCGCGTGCTCGAGCTTGCCCGCCAGCACGGGGAGGGCCCGGGAGGCAGCCCGCGCGAGGCGCCTTTTGCCGAGCGCGGAGCGGCGGAGAACCGGCGCTTCACACAGCATGAGTTGTGAGCAGGCGTGCCTCAAGCTCGTGCGCGAGGCGGCGGAGGAGTGGCTGGCCGTCGACAGCAGGACCGACGACATCACCGTCTTGGTGGCGCGGCTCGAGTGGCTCGAGCAGGACGTGACCGCGCCGGCGGCGGCCGAGGCCGATCCCGGCGGCAGGCTCTCCACGGCCACGGAGGGCGGCTTCTCCTTCATGCAGGACTATGACACCTCGGGCTCGCCCCGCGTCTCGCCACGCGCCTCGCCACGCGCCTCGCCACGCGCTTCCTCACGCGCCGCGGCGCACAAGCCAGCAGAGGCGGCGGGAGGCGAGGCGGCGCCCGCCGCCGCAGCGCCGATGCCGATGGTGCGGCCGCTGACGATGACGAGCAGCCTTCGCGCGCCGTACGTGCCGCCTACGCACATGCGCAAGCTGCCGCAGCCGCCGCCGGAGACGCCGAGGGACGAGGCGGGCAACCCGTTGCCGAGCGCGAGGAGCGCTAGGAGCGACACGAGCGAGCCTCCGCCGAGCGCGAGGGGCGCGCCGAGCGCGTCTGTCCTCGCGCACCTCGCGCACCTGCAGCGCGACAACTCGGAGAACTCCGAGTCAAACAGCGCCAGGCTCAACCCCGACTTGCCCTCGCCGAGCACGACGCAGAGGCGGCCCGCCCCGCCCCAGCCCTCTCTCGGGACGCGAGGAAGAGCAACCCGAGCCTCGCTCGTGAGCTGTAGGCCTGGCGCGAGCCCTCCGTCGCGCCCGCTGAGCTCGCTTCAGAGCTTTCCGCGGCGGCCCTCACCGACGCGGTCGCGGCCAGAATCGCCCGTCTCCTCGCTGACTTCCGTGCCCAGCGACGGCGAGCTGGTCCCCACGCCCGACAGCGAGCACACGCGGCTGGGCTGCTTCCACAAGCGGTGCGGCAAGCTTCTGCACACCTGGAAGCGGCGCTGGGCCACCATCGGCGCCGGGTCGCTGAGGTACTATGCCGACGCCAGCTGCACCGAGCTGCGTTGCTCGATCCCGCTCGAGCACACCTCCGTCGCGGCGGTCACATTCGAGGCGTCGCAGCTGCCAAGGGGCGTTGGTCCTCGCCGCGGCTTCCGGCTAAACATCAAGGGCAGCAAGGCGCTGCTCGGGTTCCCTGCAGATGCCGGGGCGGGGGAGGAGTCGCTAGAGGCGGCGGCGTGGGTCGCGCGGCTCCAGTCCAGAACGGACGTCTCGCCGCTTGCCGCCAGCATCGCGTCGATGCAGGAGCCGGCCGGCGAGGGGACCGACTTCATGTCGGACGCGGAGACGCTCCCACCGACGGCGCGCGTCTCGCAGCGGGGCGAGGGCGACGTGCTCGCCCGGACCGTGCAGCAGGTGCTCACGGCGGAGCTGGAGGAGCTCGAGTTTGCCTTTGAGGAGTACACAAAGGTGTCCACAGAGGCGGTGGCCGTGGCGGCGGCCGCGACGCAGGCGGCGGCGGAGCAGGCGGCGAGCCTCCGGGCGAGCAAGGCGTGGCAGACGCGCGGCTCGTCCACGATCAAGGAGCCGGTGGAGGAGGACCGCGCCGACGAGGAGCACGCGAGCGAGCGCGTGCCGAACTCGCACTCGCGCTCCACCATCACCGACCGGCTCTCGCAGCGGGCCTCGCAGCGCGAGTCGGCCACCATGGGCAAGCTGGTCTCCGAGCTCGCAAAGACGCGCAAAGAGGCGGCGGCAAAGGAGGAGGCGTGGCAGGCGGAGCGGCAGCGGCTCCAGCTGCAGGCGGACCGGAGCAAGGCGCTCGAGGCGTCGCTCCAGGAGCAGCTGCAGCAGGCGAGGCGAGAGCTCGCGGGCGCGAAGCAGGAGCTCGTCTCGGCGAGGGAGGCTGCCGCCGCCGACCCCGCGCCAGCCGCCCCGCCGCCACCACGGCCCGAGCTGCCGGCGCAGCGGTCGGGCGGCATCGAGTCGGGCCGTGTTGCGAACTTCAAGTCGCTCTTTGAGGGGAAATGATGTAGCATGTACCAGGCCGGCTCACCTCGGTCCTCGCTGTGGGGAAGGGAGGGAGGGTCGGAGTGGAGGGGGGGAGGTGGGGCGGAGAGGGGCTGCGCGGGTAGAGGGTATTTGTGGGGCTATTTTGCGGTTTCGCCGTTCTCCTCGGCGAGTCTCGTGTCGTCTCGAAACGATCGCGGTGTTGGCTAGAAAGCGAGCGCGCCACACGCGCGCGCAACGTGCCCATCATCGCGTTCAGGCCCAGTCATGACACGCACGAAAACTTCTAAGCCGCCTCCGGCTGTGCGAGGAGCTGGGCGCTCGCACACCCTGTGGACACACGCGCTCACTGCAGTGCTCGCTGCAGCCGCAGCCGCCGCTGCCTCCCGCCACCTGTCGACAGCCGCATTGGCCTCCACGCATCGTTTGGCCGCCTCCCGCTCTCCTGTCAACGAGTCTGAGCGGCTGCAGACCGAAGATGCTCCAAGGTACGCTGAGCATCTCGGCTCGTACAGCGAGTACATCATCATTGGCGCCGGCCCGGGAGGCATGCAGCTCGGGGCCTTCATGGAGGATGGAGGTGGCTCAATCGATGGTGCAGCCACACCCTCTTGCCTTTCACACATCTTTATCCTCCCTCCCTATCATTTCCGTCAGGTGTCGACTACCGGATCGTGGAGCGTGGCTCTCGCGTTGGCACCTTCTGGGAGACATACCCTCGCCACGACCAGCTCATCTCGCTAAACAAGCGCTACACATCGCGTCCGAGGGAGGAGTTTGACGAGTTCAATCTGCGACACGACTGGAACTCGCTCCTTCCGGCGGCGGCGGCGGCAGCCGGGGTCGGCGGGAGGTCGACGGGTGCGCGCGGCGCTCGAGGCGGCGGGGGCGCGTCTCCGCGATTCACCGACTTCTCGTCCCGCATGTTTCCGGCGCGCGAGGAGTACCTCGCCTACCTGCGTGCGTACCACCGCTTCCACCGACTGAAGGTGCAATTTGAGTGGGAGGTGGCGCGCGTCTCGAGGCGACGCATCGGCGATCACGAGGGCTTCGCGCTGCAGTCGTCGGCCGGGCGTTTCCTCACGTGCAAGTACCTCATTGTGGCGACTGCGCTCGGGCGGCCATACGTGCCCGACATGGAAGGCATTGAGCTGGCGGACGGGTACGAGTCGGTGGACGTGCGGGAGGAGGCTAGCGAGGGAGGCGGGCGCTGGGATCGTGGTTCGGGGAAGGCTCCTCATCCATCTCCCCTCGCCTCTGCACAGGCGTACAAGGACCAGCGCGTACTCGTTCTCGGGCTCGGCAACGCCGCCTTCGAGGCGGCAGGCCGCGCGCAGGCGACCGCCGGGTACGTGCACATGATCGGCCGCTCGCACGGCGGTCTCAAGCAGTCTTACTTGCCGCGCGCAGGCGACCGCCGGGTACGTGCACATGATCGGCCGCTCGCACGGCGGTCTCAAGCAGTCCTACTTCACGCACTACGTCGGCGACCTACGCGCGGTGAACAACGGGTTCTCCTCCCCCGAGACCGCGTCCGCCCTCCCAATCCCCGCCCGTGACATACACATATGTCGCCGCGTCCCCGCAGCCTCCTCGACACGTTCTTCCTCAAGTCGCTGGACACGATCGACGTCGACACCGACCTCGAGGGGCGCAACTGCTCGCTAGCACGCCGGGTCTCGCCGGGCGGCAAGCCCGAGATCGACTTTGGCTGCGGCGGCGGTCACAACCCGTCGTACCGCGAGGGATACGATCGCGTGATCCGTTGCCTCGGCTGGGTCTTCGAGGACCGCCTCTTCGAAGACGCCGTCAAGCCGACACTCAACCGCGATCTCGGCCTGCTCGGCGGTAAGTACCCCGCGCTCACAGAGTCGTATGAGTCCGTCAATGTCAAGAACCTCTACTTTGCGGGCACCCTCTCGCACGCGCACGACTACAAGCGGTCTGCGGGCGGCTTCGTGCACGGCTTCCGCTACACCGCGCGCGCGCTGTACAGGCTGCTGCGGCTCAGCCACCAAGGCGTGCGCTGGGAGAGCCAGCGCGAGCTGGGCAGCACCGCGGCGCGTTCGGTGGCGCTCGCCCTGCAGAGGCGCTTCCAGTCGAGCTCGGGGTTGTACCAGATGTTTGGCGAGCTGTGCGACGCGGTGCTGGTGCGGGACGCCTCCGCCACCTACATGGAGGAGGTGCCGCTGCGCTTCATCGCGCACTCTGCCTTCCCAACCTCTCTGCGGCTGCTGCTGACGCTGCACATGGACTACGGCAACAAGGGCCACAACGGAAGGGGAGACCTCTCCTTCGCGACCCGCGAGGTGGGGCGCGCGCACTACTCGCAGTTCCTCCACCCCATCCTGCGCGCGTACGAGCCGTCGGCCGAGAGTGGGCTGCCGTCCCTTGTCTCCGAGTTCCACATTATCGAGGATTTGCTGACGACGTGGGACGTCGACGCGCTGCACCTCAAGCCGCTCGAAGAGTGGATCAGCCGCGTGTACGAGGGCGACTACACCTCGCAAGAGGAGCGGCTGACTGCCCGTTTCAAGGAGTACGAGGCCAACCTGACGCGCGAGGAGCGCCGCGCCGGCGCGAAGAAGGTCGATCCCTACTTTGGCGCATTCACCTTTCCCGCGGTGAAGGGAGCGATGTGAGAGCGCGAGCGCTGTGGGGCTTCGTGCGGCCTGCTGTGGATTCTTGGTGTGGCCACCAGTACGGTACTAGGTAAAAGGGTGGGGGTGGGGGGGGGTTAGGGGGGGGGGCACGCGGGCCATCAGCCACCTTGAGGCAACCCTCTCTGGCGCCGGCAGAGTTCGCAGTGCCCCGCGCAGACAGCCAGCCGCCGCGTCTCCCGGCTCGCCCCCCGGTGTGTATGCCCGGTCAGTGCCTGGACGACCACAACCACTATACCGCGTTCGGCCGATCTTGTTCGGCCGATCTTGTTCACGGCCAGCCAGCTGATGCCGGGATCCGGCAAAAAGTTTTATATTCGGGGGACCAAGACGGGTCGGTGGTGCCCCTTAGCCCTAGAAGCAGAAAGAAAGAAAGAAGACAGACAAACCCTAGAAGCACTCCCAGGGAATGGGCTTTTCCGCATGCGGGCTTCCCAGTCGCAGGCACCCATGCCGGCCTCCTCTAACCGGTTGAAGCGAAAAAGAATTTTACAACAAAACTCCCTCGCACGACACAAGGGTGAACCTTCTTTTCTAGACGGCTAGGATTGAGAGCAGCCTCGCTCTCAATCCTAGAAGTCGAAGATTGGGAGCAGCACTCCTCGCAATCGTAGCATCTCTGTGCGATTGTGAGCGCCTACGCTCGCAATCCTACACTCTTCTAGGATTGCGAGCGGGTCCCCTCGCAACCGGTGGGATCACTGTTTGGATTGTGAGGAGACCATCCCGGCGCGCTCACAAGCGCTCGCGGCTGGAGCGACTGGGAGCGCCCCCTGTGCGCCTGCCAGCAATCCTTGGATCTTTGGTACGATTGTGAGCGCAGCCGCTCATAGTCCTACATACAAGATGTAGGATTGCGAGCGCTACTGCTCGCAATCGGAGGCATGTTGCTAGGATTGTGAGCAGTGCTGTCACTCACTGTGCTATTTCGGGGCCCGGGGTTGTGCGTTTATGTGAGCAGTGCTGCTCGCAACCCTAGACTTTGCTCGGATTGCGAGCGCGCTGGTAGTAGTCGTAGGCGTCACCAGTCACCTTGGTTGGGAGCGGAGCTGCTCGTAGTCCTAGAAGATGTATGTATGTAGGATTGCGAGCGTAGGTAGCGGCTACGGCGTAGGCGCTCACAATCGCACAGAGATGCTACGATTGCGATGACTGCTGCTCACAATCCTTCGACTTCTAGGATTGAGAGCGAGGCTGCTCTCAATCCTATAGATAGCCGTCTGGGAAAAGAAGGTTCACCGACACTAGGAACGCTAGCAAAAAGAATTCTCGCGCGCGCCGAATAACGCGCTGCTGGCGCTGGCGCTGCAGTGACACTAGGCTACTCTCGCGCGCGGCGGTGCGTGCCGCGCCCGACTCGCGCCTGCGGGGCCGCACGTGCTTCTAGGGCTAAGGGCAGAGGCCGCGCGGGCGCGCGCGCTCGAGCAGGCTGTAGCTAGGAAACTCCTACACTTCTTAGCGGGAGCACTCTGCTGCAAACGACGAGCTCCCGCATGCTCCCCGAGGCGGACGCCCTTCGTGACAGCCTCGAGAGAACGCTCGCCAGCGTTCCGCGGCGATGGTTCACCTTTGAGCATTGCGAGCTCGAGGTCTCCTTTCGACTCTGGCACCACGTCGTGTACCAGCGAGAGCTTCGTGCAGGCTTGCTCATCGCCAACTTTCTCTACCTCGCGTGCGCCATCGCCTTCACCTCGTGGGAGAATCTACAGCACGCCGCGCCCGGAAATCAAACCTCCGCCGAGGCTCCTGCAGCCCGGAGCGGCTCGTCTGATCCGTACGAGCTGCTCAAGTTTGGGATGGAGGCTACTATCGTCGTCGTCCTCTCCCTCTCGTTTGCGCTCTCATTTGCGCCGTGCGTGTCCCACCGCCCACAGCTCTTCACGGCGGTCGTGCTGCTGCTCGTCACTGGTTTTGTCACCGTCCGCTCGGCCCTCAACGCGGACGGCGTCTTCTCTGCTCCGGCGCTACTAATCATCATCGTCTGCTTTGGGCTCGGCGCCTCGCTGCTGCGGATGATGTGCCAGGCAACCCTCATCGTCGGCGCGCTGCTTAACCTCCTCTACGGCGCGTTTGCCATCGCCCAGGCCTCCGACGCGCCTCCAGGCGCCGGCTGGTTTCCCGTCGCACTCTGCTTCTCCACGCTCACTTGCGTCATCGCGGCGCGATCCCTCGAGCGGGCGCAGCGCGACCTCTTCCTGATGCAGCTCGCGCAGACGCGCGCCGACAGGGCGAGCGCCGACAGGGCGAGTGCGAGAGGTAGCTTCCAGCACCACTCGCTCGCTGGCGCGGCTGCGCCGGCGACTTCGCTCGTGTCCCCTCTCCTCGCCGCAGCCGCCGCCGCTGCATCTGACCGGGCCGCTGCGCCCGCCGAGTCGACGGGCGCGGTGACGCCGCTGCGGAGAGCGGACGGCTCTCCTGCGCGGACAGCGCACGCTTCTCCGGCGCGGAGCTTAAGCTCGCCGCAGCCGAGCCCCAGCCCCAACCGCCCTCCGACTCGCTCCCACTCGGCATCGTCGCTCGACCAGCTGCGGCACGTCCACGGCCGCCCTCGCGCCGAGGAGGGGGAGGAGGAGGAGGAGCCTTTCCCTGCAGCGTCTCGGCACCTCCCCGTAGGCCTCCCCCACGGCGAGGACGCCTACTCGACGCCCCTCCCGCCGAGCAGCGGCGTCGCGCTGCACCGCGCCGTCCTCTCTTCGCTGCACGAGCTGCTGCAGCTCCGCGGCCTCACTTCGGGCGCTCACTCGCTCGAGGCGGTGCAACACGCCCTCGCCGAGACGGGCTCCTCCCTCCTAGATGCGGAACAGCCACCCGTCTCTCAATTCCAACCAGCCCTGGATCCGACGCATGTTTGGCCGTGTCGAGTCGCCGCAGTTCGTACACGCAGGCTCCTCCTCGCTGCACGAGTTCCTCGGCCGCTCGCTCGCTCGCTCTCTCCACGAGCTCCCGTCCCACCTCCGCTTCCCCCTCCCGCTCCGCAAGCGCGCCGTCTCCTCCGCCGCTGCTCTCGCCGGCCCGTCCATGGACGCCGCCGCCTCTGCTGCCGCCGCGCCTCCCGCCGCGCTGCTGCTGCTCCACAACAGCGCGCCGCAGCGGGACACCTTCGAGCTCGTCGATGCGAGCCAGCTGCCGCGCTGGCACACTCCCTACCCGCACATCCTCACGGGCTACCGCACGCGCTTCACGCGTCGGCTCGCGTGGGCGCCTATCCATCAGCGCAGCGAGACGCCCCGCCCCACCTCTGAGACCAGAGGACACGACAGAGATGACGCGGATAGGCGTCGCTCTTCCGGCTGCACAACGAGACGCTCAACGTGTGGACCGAACTACTGCCCGCGGCGGTGTTTGCGGGCTGGGCGGCCGAGATGCTGCACGCCCACGAGGCCGCGCCGCTCCACGACCGCTACATCGTCGGCGCCGGCTTGGTGTGCGCGAACGTGCTGCGGCCGCTCTGCTCGGGCCTCGCGCACTTGTTGCACTGCACCTCCGCCACCGGCTACATCGCCTGGTGGTCATGCGACTACATCTCCATCTCGCTCGCTATACTGACCACGGCGTCCGTCTACGGCCGCTTCGCTTTCTACTGCTCGACGCAGCTGCAGGTCCTCTTCTTCGCCTCGACCCTCGGCCTGCTCTCCACCTCGCTCGTCGCGGTGCTCGTGTCGGGAGACTCGTCGCCCGTGCTGCGGAACATGGCCTTCCTCCTCTTCTGCGTCTTCTCGAACGGCACACGCCCCGCCCACCACGCACCGTCCCCGCGACCACGCACCGTCCCCGCGCACCGCCCCCCCCCAGCTGCCCCCCCCCGAGTAAGCTGCCGGGGAGGGCCCGCGCTGATCTCGCCCCCGGCGCGGCTGCAGGGGTGCCCTTCATCTACGAGCTCTCGCTCCAGTACGGCCACGGACCTGTCCATGTGGCCGTGCCGTCCCCGTACATCTGGTACTGGTCCGCCTCGATGGGCACCTTTGTGCTCGGCCTCCTCGTCAAGGGATCTGGCTTGCCCGAACGGGCGCTGCAGCCCGCTCCGTTGGCGGACCTTCTCTTTACGAGCCACCAGCTGTGGCACTGCCTCGTCAATCTCGCCTTTGCGCTCGGCACCTTTCGTGCTTGGGACGTCTACTTGAGCTGGCGACCTGAATGCATCGACCCGGACAGTTGACCCTCAGAGAGGTAGGAATGCGTCATGTGGTGTGTACGTCGAAGAGTACAGTGTTCCCAGTCGAGTTTTGTACGTATACACGTTGGGGAGCGGAGAGTGGAGACTGGAGAGAGATAGGCACACAGAGGCCACTCGACTCTTCCCGGGGGCTCGCCCCGCGCCCCGCCCGCCGCGCCCCGCGCCCGCGGTGCCTCCGGTGAGCTTCGTGTTTTGGTACTTGTCGCGTTGCACGAATTCGAGAAAGATTAGAGAGATCTCACAAACGGCTCTGACAAACACGGCGCACATAGGTAGGAGTAGACATTCATAATACACACACATGAAAAAAGATCATCACAGTTCACACTAAAAATGTCGTGAGACTGAGAGCCCCGGACAGCCAAACAAACCGCTTGCCAATGTCCTTGCGGTCCTAAAGTGAATGGGGAAATTCGCTGGGTCCCCAGATGCTCGCACAAACTCCCCTGCATTGTGCCAAGCCAAGCTGGTGGCACGCGCCCACCTCACCCCTTTGAGATCGAGATGAGGACGCAACCGACTGCAGAGAGCAAGATGGCGACGCCGAGCCACGAGTAGTTGCGCCGGCCGCGAATCTCGCCAAAGACAAAGATGCCCCAGAGCGCGCCGATGGCGCCCGGCCCCGACGTGACGATGGGGAATGCGATCGACATCGAGACGGCCTACAGCGAGGTTCAGAGATGGGTCGGAGCAGGGGCTGAGGACGGGGAGGCGGTCGGCATCGGAGCTGCGTTGTTTGCGAGGAACCAGCAGGTCTGCGCGACGGCCCAGATGACGCCCGAGAGGAGGCCGGGCAGGATGAGCCTCGGGTAGACACGCGGCGCGGAGCGCATCGCCACGCAGTAGCAGACAAAGTAGACGGTCGACGCGAGGTAGATGCCGCAAAAGTGCGAAAAGACGTAGTCGAGCGGCTCGGGCGAGCCGTGCCGCGTCGCGATCAGCACCGTGTTCGGCGTGAAGTTGGCGCCGTAAAAGACGCCCGACAGCATCGCCAGCGCGACTCCGAAGAGCCGGTTCGCAGCAGCCCCGCGCGAGCCCGCCGCTGGCTTGGGCGCCGCCGGCTGCTGCGCCGCCGCCCCCTCGCCCGCCGCCATCGCCTCGGGCGGAGGCATCTCGAGGAGGACGTTGCCGCTCGCGTACGCCGACCCGCGCGGCAGGTGCTCGGGCGGGGCGGGGGGCCCATCCTCGGGTCGGACGCGCGTGTAGAGCGCGAGCGCGACGAGGACAAAGGCGACGCCAACCTGCGGGGCGGGAGGCGGGAGGGGCGGTGGGGCGGCGGGGCGGGTGGTGGGCCCCGACGGCGGGCGGCCGGAGGGGCAGTGGGCGGCGGCGAGGGCGGCGGAGAGGGCGGCGGCGAGGGCGGAGGGCGGCAGGGGCAAGGGCATGTCCGTGGGGCCATCGTGGCCGGGGGGGAGCGGGCGGTGCGGTGCGCGCACGTCGTTGAGCCACTCCGTCCTTAGCTCGTCGGCGGGCACGCCTGTGTGGCCAGGCGAGAGCCGGGCTCGGAGCCGGGCGCAAGAGGTCTCCCTCAAGTGCTGGCTCGAGAGGGGGATGCGACGAGGGAGAGCGCTGCGGCGCGGCAGCGACGTCGTGGCGCACCGGGAAAGAGGGCGTGGTTGAGGAAGCGACCGGAGGCCCAGCCAGTGAGCATGTTGGTGCAGCCTTCGGGGCAAGGGGGCGAGCGGTGAGGGGCGACGCCGCTCGAGGATGCCGCGGTGAGCGAGCGGCGGCTGCCCCACAGCAGCAGGCCCATCCCGAGGCCGATCGAGTTGATGACGGGCACTGCGCAGCAGTTGCCCGTCGCCCAGAGGGCGCCGCCGAGCAGCACGACCGGGTAGAACTTGACCGAGTACGCGTCCGGCTTGGCGGCCAGCTCGATCTCTGCCGCCGATGCGTTCCCGCCCGCCTCGGTCAGCGTGGTGCCCAACGGGTGGAAGAAGAGCACGATCTGCAGCACGAGGCCAAAGACCCAGATGCCGGTGCACATGACCCACTGATAAAACATGCCGTCGCCTGCGGAGGCGTGCGGCACGTGGGCGCTCTGCGCGTGCGTCTTCCGGGAATGAGGCGGCGCGCACCCGTCTCAAACTTTTTGACGGGCACAAAGTTGCTTCCGAAGCCCAGGATCGCAACCGCGATGCAGGCGTAGCCGGTCGAGGGCGAGATGGCGGCATCCGGCATCCTGGGAGCTCACTCACAGTACCGTGCGCGTCGTGTTGGGAGGTGGGCGCAACCTTGGTGGGCGCAACCTTGGCGGGCCTTGGCGGGCCTACCTATCTAGGCAGAAAAGAATGTATCTTCCGAAGGAAATGCGCAGAGCAGTGAAGCGCACTCGGCTTTTATCTTCTTGTGATTGTGCGGATGGGGGTACGTCAGGACGGGAACGCCACTCCACTTTGGTGATCGAGCTTTTGTACATGCGAGCACCTCAAACTTTGGTGGAGTCCGTTGGGATCTACATTACGCCACGCCTAACGCACCCCCTATCTGGGTAGGCGCAGGAACCCTGGGTGATCCACGCGGCGCACAACGCCTTGTGTTGCCGCGGTATCACTCAGCCACACCTGCACTCCACAACCATTAACCAGGAGCTCAAGCACTCCAGGCCACATGACAAACAACCCCGACAACGACGCGGGCAAGGCGCACTTCAAGGCCCGCCGGTTCGCCGAGGCGATCGAGTGCTTCACGCGTGCCCACGCCAGCCTCCCGAACGACGCTCTGGTGCTTGGCAACCGGTCCGCGGCGTACTCGAGCCTCGGTCAGCACAGCAAAGCGCTCGCCGACGCGCAGGCCGCCGTCGCGCTCGACTACGCGTATGTGAAGGGCTACTACCGCCAGGCGACGGCGCTGCTCGCGCTCGACCGAGCGGCCGAGGCTGCGCAGGCGGCGTCGGCGGGCCTGAACCTCGAGCCGCGGAACGGCCAGATGGCCGCGCTCAAGGACCAGGCGATGGCGCGGCTGGCTGCGCAGAGGGCCGAGGAGAGCGAGGGGAGCGGGGAGGGGTCAGACGACGACGACGACGAGGCGGAGGAGGCGGAGCAGCAGCAGCAAGACGTCCGGATGAGCGCGGAGGAGGAGGCGGAGCAGCGCAAGGCGCGCGCCGAGGCGCGCAAGGCGGCGGGCAACGGCCACTTCAAGGAGAAGCGCTACCGCGAGGCTGCCTCCGAGTACTCTCGCGCCATGGAGATTGACCCCGCCAACGCGACGTACCCGCTCAACCGCTCGGCCGCGCTGCTGCAGCTCAACGACGGGAAGCAGGCGCTCGCGGACGCGCAGGCGGCGCTCGAGCTGTCGCCCGGCCTCGTCAAGGCGCACGTGCGCGCGAGCAAGGCCCTCTGCCTCCTCGGCCGCTTCTCCGATGCGCGGAGGCGTGCGGGGCCTCGCGGGCGGCGCAAGGGCGCGCGGGCGCAGTCGCCTCACAGTCGGCCGTGTGGGGGAGTAGGCAGCTCGAGACGGCCGCCGGCGTGGAAGGCGCCTCGGCGACGCTCGCGCCCGAGTTCGTCGAGCTCGAGCGGCTCGAGTCTCTGCTGCGCAACGGCCGCGCCGCGCTGGAGCGCACCGACGCTCAGGCGCGCTCGAGCGGCTCTCTGCCTGCCGCCTCTCTCCTCCCTGCCGCCTTTCTCCTCCCCTGCCGTCTCTCTCCTTGCTGCCGCCTCTCTCCTCTCTGTCGCGCTCTCTCCCCTCGCCGCTGCTCTGCACCGCCGCTCTCCTCCCGCCTCCTCCCTCACCGCCGCCCCTCGCCCTGCCCGCGCCAGGCGGCTCGCGAGGCGGCGATGACTCTCTCGACCCTGGCGGACAAGTGCCCGTGCGCGGTCGGCGTGGCTTGCCTGCAGATGGAGGCTGTGCTCAAGTCGCGGCCGCAGCAGGGCTCGGCGCAGGTCCTCTCGAGCCGTCCCGCTGGCTGCCGGACATGTCCGCGACACGTCCCTCACATGGCCGAGACATGTCCAGGTCCTCTCCGAGTCGTCCCGCTGGCTCCGCTCGCACAGCGAGGAGCCGGACTTGCTCACCGTGCGCGGCAAGGCGCTGTACGCGTCGGGGCAGCTGGAGCAGGCGCGCCGTCCTCCCCGCCCCCGCCCCCCTCCCCTTCCCCGCCCCTCCCCCGGTCTTCACGAGGGGCGCGAGGCGGCGCGGCGCAGGCGCTCAAGCACTGCGCCGAGGCGCTGCGGCTCGACCCGGACCACTCTTCCGCGCGGAAGATGCGGCTGCAGATCAAGGAGCTCGAGGCGCTCAAGGCGGGGGGCAACGGCGCCTTCAGCGCGGGCAGGTACGACGAGGCGATCGGCCTCTACTCGCAGGCGATCGAGTTCGACCCGAACCTGCTCGACCTCCACCTCACCCTCTACACCAACCGCGCGACCGCAAAGTTCAAAAAGGGCGACTACGCGGGCGCCATCGCTGACTGCGACGCGGCGCGGCGCCGGCGGGCGGCCGCCGCCCTGCCGCAGCCCCTCGGCCGAGAGTCGTGTCTGTGCACCTGCCGTAGGCTCTCGGCATCAACGGGCGGCACCTCAAGGCGGTGCTGCGGCGCGCCGCCTGCAGACTCGAGCTGGAGCAGTACAACGAGGCGATTGCCGACTATGAGGAGGCGCAGCAGCTCGAGCCCAACGACCGCGGCATCGCGCAGTCGTTGCGGCAGGCCAAGCTCGAGCTCAAGAAGAGCCTGCGCAAGGACCTGTACAAGGTGATCGGCGTCGGCAAGCACGCGACCGAGAGCGAGATCAAGAAGGGGTACCGGAAGAGCGCGATGCAGTGGCACCCCGACCGGCACTCGGCGGGCACAGACGAGGAGCGCGAGGAGGCGGAGAAGCGTTTCAAGGAGGTTGGCCAGGCGTTCGACATCCTCTCCGACCCGCAGAAGAAGCAAAAGTACGACGCCGGCATGGACGTCGAGGAGATCAACGGCGGTGGCGGCGGCGGCGGCGGCGGCCACCAGCACGTGGACCCGATGGATATCTTTGCGCAGATGGGCGGCTTCCCCGGCGGCGGCGGCGGTTTTGGCGGCGGCGGCATGGGGGGGATGCCCGGCGGCTTCAACTTCAGGCATGGCTACTAGGGCGGGGCCGCCACGGGCCTCGCGCGCCCTCGCCGGCAAAGCCCTCCACCGCACGGTGCCGCGGGGGCCCAGCGCACACGCGCGCTGTGCAGGGCTTTGCGCGCTGCGCGCGCTTTCGGGGTCAAAGATCTCGGCGCACGGAGATGGCGCTGCCGCTGCGCGCTGGCCGCTGCCTGTGCCTCTGTCTGGCACGTGTCCGGCGGAAGCTTCGACTATATATTCTAAATGAGGAAGAGAAACCGCGTCGGTACGCTTGTCGAGACACGTTCAACCCCTCTTCTATATTATCGGCGGAGGACGGGCAGCTGACGTGCAGGTGCAGGGAGTGCAGGCCCGCCCCGAGCTGTGAGGGCTCGCGCTCGCGGGGCCCCGCACACATGCATCTGCCAGCGCCACGGCCCATCCGTCTAGGGATGAAAACTGGACCCAATCAAAACGACCATGCTGCGAGCTCACGCGTTTGCCTCCATCGACGACACCAGGTGAGACAAGAAGAAATCCTCCGAGGCGGCGTCGGCGATGTCCGTGAGGTCCTCGAGGCTGAGCGCCAGGCTGAGCGCGTCATCGGACATGGAGCTTGTGCGCGAAGTCGCCGGCAGTGGTGGCACCGGCCTCATTCCGTGCAGGCTCATGACGAGCCCCTGCTCGAGACCGTGCGAGCACCGCAAAGTGCTAATATCGGAAGCGGCGATCGCTACGCGGCGCTGAAGCTCGATCCACCTCGCAAAGGCGAAATCAGGACGCTCGCTTTGGATCTCAATCCCCTTCTTGACAGCGAGATGAACGGGAGTCTCTTTGGCTTGCGCCATAGCTCTGTGGCGAAGCCCCCCGAGACCGAGAGCAGAGACCGAGCTGAGACGCTCTCGATTGAGGTGAGGTTTAGTTTCATTCAAAAGTATGAATCTGAGACCTTTCTTCGATTTTTCTGTTAAATAAAAATCTCAAAAGCAGCCTCTCCCTCGACCAGCACATTTTGTCCGGTGAGAGCGGTCCAGGCCGATGAAGCGGGGGAAGCTCGCGCCGCCGAGGCGGCCCCCCCACTTCTCGCCGCTGGCCGCGGGCGACCGCACGTCCCACCCAAAGGGCGGGCTGGCGCCGTCGGCCGCAGCCTTTGCGCGCCAGTCGAGGTGTGCGAGGAGCAGCCGCTCTGGGAAGTTGCCGCACGGGTTCCTCCCCGACGTGCGCACTCCCAGCGGAAACCACCAGGCGAACCGCTCCAGGTCTGCAAAGAGGCGCTCGTACACGCCCATCGCGCCAGCCGGGCCGACCGCGTACTGGTCGTCCGCCCAGCAGGCGCCAGCGGGCCAGCGCGTCGCCCGCTCCTCACATACCCGCCAGGAAGACCCACTGTGATCCTGGGGCCCTCCACCGTGGCAGCCCAAGTGCACGACGTGGCCGCTCTCTAGCGCGAATTGCCGCCAGTCGAGGCGCTCGGCGAGGATCAGGTCGGGTCGCGCTCGTACCACCACGGCATGCTCGCAACCGGCGGCCATCTCGTGTTGCAGCCGCAGCTGGCTGGCCACAAACACGTTGCGCCACATCGAGATTGTGCGCGCGAGCTGCCTCTTGCCCCCGGAACTCTTGCCGGCGCAGTTGACATCGAGCCACTGCAGTGCATTCCCACCGGCTCTCTGGACGTGGGCGTGGAGTTCGGGGCTGTAAGTCTCCACGCTCGCAGCACAGAGCGCACGGCCAAAGACTCCACGGAGATATCTTCCGACCGAGGTGGCGTTGTCGCTGCTCACAAGCATGTGGGCAAACACGGCAACGTTGTCGCTGCCCGCCACCAGCATACGCTCCAGGGCCTCAAGCCCCCCCAGACCGGCGTAGCCGCCACTGAGGTCGAGTGCGTACCTGGAGCAGCCACGCGGGTATCCGGCCTTGTACGACCACGCAGGAAAGACTTTTGTCAGGTGAGGTGCATCAGGCTTCGAAGCTCGTAGAGCGAGAGGCAATGGCGCGGCGGCCGCTCCTCCTCCAGCGGTGAAGTTGCGCCACAGCGCGTCGCGGCTATCGCAGGTGCAGGGTGGAGAATTCTGAAGGGCTCGGCAGCCAGTTGTGGGGTGGTGGAGGGCGTGTTCCAGAGCTTGGTCGTACACTGTGGTCAGCATCTCTCTGCCATCCAAACTCGCACGTTCCCGCCGTGTTTGCGCTCGCCGGCCTTGTCGCATGCACATCACTCCTGATATGTATGTGTCCTCGACGTCGAGCGGTAGCGACTGCGACGCGGCGTCGACGGCCTCAGACCTCGTTTGCCACGAGTTCAGCCAGCCACAGGTGGCCCTCTGCCTCGGAGGCGCTGCGCGCACGTTTGTTCAGCCGCTCGTTTGGCGATCGATCCAGACAAACCTGATGCAGGCATTTGGAGGAGCTGTAACGGTGCTGGCGGCCATCAAGGCGTCTGACGACCGCGGTGACCGTAGACCGTCGCATGGGGGTCTTGTATCAACCACGGTGGCGCAGATCCGCATGACACTGCGTCGACTGGGTGCTGCGGATGAAAACACAATTGTGGCTGAAGCGCAAACACTACCCGGCTCGCTCACGATTCCCGCATGCCAGTCTGGGCGGCAGCGCGCCACGCCACTAACTCAGAGACAGCTAGACCTACTGGACTCCTTGGCAGGCCAGCTCAATGCTCGACGCGCGTGCTCACTCCTCTTGAGGAGCGCGGAGCAGCGGCGGGGCTGGCGTTTTGATTATGTCATCTTTGCACGGCCGGACCTGATGTGGGCATTTGCCATTCGCCCGTTTTGCCTGTGGGACCTGAGTGTCTCCGTCCGGAAAGGGGATTGGGCTGTGATGGGTCCACGTGCGCACGCCGACGAGTGGCTCACGCGAAACGCCGCCGAGTTCTTTGAGTGGTGCGCGCTAGCATGAGTGAAACGCCCGTGTAGCTCTCAGGGCGCCTCCTCTCACAGCATTGCGCTTGCATACAGCTCGCGGGCCTTTGATGTCGGCTCTCAAGTTCCGGAGCACTACATGGCCAACACCAGCGTTCAGAACGACGACTTTGGCGAGCGTATCAGCGCGCAGCTGACGCGGCAGCGAGGTCCAAACTACCCGCACAACACTTGCGGGCTGCGGGCTGCGCTGGGCAAGAAGCGCTCAAGCCGAAGGGAGATCGCCCAATGCCTAAAGATTTCGGATCAGAACGCGTGCGCAAACGTGCAGCTGTGAGAACTGAGATCGCCACAGCGGGGTGCCTCTCGGAGTGTACTCTCGGGGGAGGGTTTGAGGGCTGTGAGCGAAGTGCGAGCCGATCAGGCTCCAAAATACGCCCTCCCGTCTCCCGCGTCGACTAGTCCGCGACGAAGGACCGGGAAGCGAGGACTGACTGGGGTGCAGTGCGCCTGTCTGAGTGCGCACTATAGTCGCGTCCCCCCGCCCGCCGTCTGATCCTGTTGTATGTTGTTGAAGTGGGGACTCTGTCCTCATCCCATCCCGCTAATAAAAGCCGTAGAGCGTGTAGTGCGTACGTCAGTAGAGCGTAGTGCATTGCGGCCCGACGTCTCCGTTTGCTCGTTTCTTAATTCTTTTGTTTGCCTTTGTTAGTGCTAGCACGCGTCGCAGTACGCTCTGGCTCACAACACTCGGCACGGGACTAGAGCGCGCACTGGCACGGCGGACACAGGTACATCACAGGAGCCGCCTAAGCGACTCCTGCGGAGGACGCACGCTCACGGCGGGGTGCCAGGTCGATCTAAAAAGGGTACACCGCGGAGACGCGCTCCGGCCAGTGGAGTCTGACTCCTAGTCATTCACATTGGGTCTCCTCGAAAGGAGAACGCCTCATATTACATTGGGTCTCCTCGGAGGCGGAGAATGCCTCATATTACATCGTGGCGGAGAGAAGGCTCAGCTTGCGTTGCCGGGCTCACTTCCACTTGCAGAGTGGCGACTTTCCGATGTTGCCCATCTTCGCCTTGATCTTGTCCTTGAGGTATTCCGGCATGCCAACCACGGTGTCAGGGTAGCCCTCGTAGCCCGCTTTGTGGCTCCAGTCGTACGGGCAGTCGAGGTCCCACGCACCGCTCTTGATGTCCGCTGAAAGGGCGGGCGGGCGGGGGGGGGGGGGGGGGAGTGCCCCATCTCATCTATAGGGCTGTTGGAGGGAGTGAATTGAATAAGTTGTTGAATAGGAGGGAGGGGAGAGGGGAGAGGGGGGGGGGGGGGTTTACGCGCCATGAATCGCGTCCTTGTACGGCGAGATCAGCTTGCCGCCCGCAACCAGCTTCTTCTGTAGGTAGTCGCAAACGGCGAGGGCCTTGGCCGGCTCGTACTTCTTGGACTCGCACGTGATCATCGCCGGGTGCCACGGATACTGCGGGTGCTTGTCCTCAAAGGAGCCGTCGCGGTATGGCTTCCACACGCCGCCAGTCGAGTTGTAGTAGGTCTTGGACGTGTCCCAGTAGAACTCTGGGAAGTGCACGGTGTTGATTCCGGCACGCTTGTAGTAGTGCGTGCCCATGACGGCGCCCGTCAGCTCAGATTGCCCAAAGTGCACGACGACGTCCGGCATGCCCTGCAGCATGGGGTAGAAACCCTTCTCGGCCACGTAGCCCGACATCCAGTGGTTGTCCTGCACCGCGTACGCTGATGCCCCGACGTGGCCGTTCGGGGAGTTGAAGTTCTGCCCGTGCCACTCGTGCGCGTAGGTGACGCCGTCTGGCGAGCCGTACTTGAAGATGGTCTCGAAGAAGCCCTCGACGTTCAGGTAGTACCAATCCCAGCGGCTTGAGAAGCTGATGCCGGTGTCCTTGGCATCCTAATTGTCAAAAGGGGGACTCAGAGCCGGCTGCGGGAGCGCAGCGAAAGCGACCTAGAGAGAGGAAGGTCCTGAACGAGCTGGTTCATTGGCCCGAGGTGCTCGCCGAGCGTGCTCTTGACGCTGACCGTGGCGCCCGTGTCCTGGAGCGCCTCGAGGACATTGTTGCGCTTGCCACCAAAGGGAGTGTCGAAGGCCCACGGCCACGCGGTGGTGTTGTGGTTGTCGGTGAAGCCAATCGAGAGCGTGGAGATGTCCACCTTGGACGGGTCCTCGAACGGCACGTCTCGCGACATCGGGTCGCCTGCCGACTTGCCGCGCATGTAGTTGTACATGACCGCGCACGACATGACGTCACGACAGAGTAGGCCGGGCCGATCGGTCTCGAGCGAGTAGAGGCCGGTGCCCTCGCGCGAGAACGTGCCGAGCGCGGGGATGATCGTAGAGATGCCGTTGCCGAGCGCGGGTGCCTGGCACGACGAGCCCGTCTGCTCGCAGATGGCCACCGGCACGACGCCGAGGCACACGGCGTTGCCGGAGCCGATGGACGAGCCGCCCGAGTTGCCTGGCCCCGCGGAGTAGCCTCCGTGCAGGCACGAGTACACGGTCCCGTTGAAGTTGGCCGTTCCCCAAGTGAGTTGCGGCACCGACGACTTAAACACGGGCACGGCGCCCGCCTTGATCGCGTTGGTCGCAAGTGGGGACTCGAAGTCGTCAATGACGTTGTTGAGGTACTGCCACGAGCCGTACGCGGTGGCGACGCCCTTGAGATCGAAGGTGTCCTTGATAGCGAACGGGATGCCCTGCACGAAAGAGGTGTACTCGCCGCGCTCGAACTTTGCGTCGGCCTCCGCCGCCCAATAGCGCGCAATCTCTGCAACCGCTCACACACGCACTCAGGTCAGGCACGGTCCCGGAGGCTAGAGATGCTTGGGGCTTGTGTTGAGGCCGGTGGTGGGGGCTTGTGTTGAGGCCGGTGGTGGGGGCTGTTGAGGCCGGTGCATGGTGGCGATCCGATGTGAGAGGCAGGTGAGGGAGCTTGCACCGTACGCTGGCACTTCGACCATGTTGTACTCCGCATCGTACTTCTGGAGCATCGCGATGGAGATCTCGGTCAGCTGCGAGGATGTGATCTTGCCGGAGCGCAGTAGCGACTGCATCTCCAGGATGGACAGCATCATGATTCCCTCGTCCGTGTCGGGCAGGTCAACATTCGGCAGGTCGAACGAGACGTCGTACGGGTCAGTGACCGAAGGTGGCTCGTTGAGCACACGCGTCTGGCCCAGCCCCATGAGCACCTTGTTGCGATAGTTGTACACGCTGCCCGAGGCGGTCTCGCGGAAGGCGCGTGAGGCCTCGACCTTGCTCGACCAGGCGGTGACGTCTTCCTTGTAGTAGACAGAGTCCTCGTCGTCGTCGTAGTCGTCCACCAAAAGGAATTGCTCGAAGTAGTACGCGCCATTCTGCCAAGTCACAGGGGCGAAGCGAATCAGCGGCCGGGCGGGGCAGGAGGGGATTGCAAAAGCGTACCGCAGGGCAGGTCGGCTCGGGCTTCGGGGCGAACGCCACGAAGTTGGGCAGCAGCAATGACAGGACTGCCGTCATGGTTCCCTTGACGGCGGGACAGAGGCGGAGGGGTGAGAGCTAACACGCGCGCAATCCGCCGCCGCACGGCGGACCTGAAGCGGACAGCGGAGACAGGGGTGCGGCCTCAGAAGGGGACAAAGGGGGACAAGATGTGTATCGCCACGAAGAATTCTTTTTGCCCACAGCACCCCCACCACTCATTCGCCGGGGCGGGCGCCTGAAAGCGCCGCTGCGCAAGTGCGCAACAAACCCGAGGCGCATCGTGTGAATGAGTATTCTTATACGAAACCACGACGACACACACCAGTCGACTCGCATCGGTTGCCTCGGCATGAACGGCGGAGCTATTCTCGCGTCCACACCACACAATTTTAAGATTTTTTTTGCAATACATTTTTTCTTTGTTTCCTTGGCAAATAGCAAAAGGGCGGATTCGAAAATTACATTTACCAGCCCTCACCCCGGCCGTGCACGAGAACGCGCGAAACCGCTCAATGCGCCTCTTGCCAGTCTCGAATCCGCCCACGCAGCGCTTGGTTTGGGAAGAGGAAGATATGCTCGAGTGCCTCGCCCGTCATCGGACTCGTCGACTTGGTCGCGAGCCAGCGCTCGATCTGCTTCCGCTCGTAGGCGGATTCGATTATTGAGCGGCTTGTCCAGAGAGCGTACCCTTTTACCTTGCTGGCTGCACCGAAAAAGGTACGCGAACACATTTACGCCGCTCTCTTGATTTCGCAGCGCGCTTGCACAAGGGACAGAGACCCGCGAGGGCCGAGGCAGAGGACCACCAGCACCACCTAGACCCGTACACCACTCACCACGGAGGCAGCGTCGTTGACGCGAGGGCGAGCGTCGACCCGCAAGACCAAGAGCGACACCAGACCATCGAACAAGACCAGCAGGTAGCAGGAGCCACAACGATGGGGTCGAAGCAGAAGCATCTAAGAGCGCCCGCTTGCCATTCATCACGAGCTGCGCGCGCTCTTTGCTGAGCAGAGAGTGTGGTCAGAGGACAGAGGTCTCTCTCCCCCTCTCCCCCTTCGCACAGACTAGAGCGCGCAAAGTGTACAGGATTGCCTTGCGAGGCTCAGCGCCTCAGCCGCAGGTGCCGCCGTCACAGCCTCCAGTCACGACCTTGCAGGACACCGAGACGCCGATGTTCTTCTTCTTGGCGTGGATCTTCGCCTTGAGGTACTGGGGCATGCCCGAGGTGTCCGGGTATCCCGCGTAACCAGGTTTGTCGGACCAGTCGTACGGGCAGTCGAGGTCGTGGGTGCCGTCTGCGATCGCGGAGTGGATGGCGGCGATGTTTGGCGAGATGAGCTTGCCGCCTGTCACGAGGGTCTTCTGCAGATAGTCGCACACGGCGAGGGCCTTGGCCGGCTCGTACTTCTTCGACTCGCAGGTGATCATCGCCGGGTGGTGCGGCGTCGCGGAGTAGAAGTCTTCGTAAGCGGCCTCGTGCGCCGAAGTCCAGTCGCCAGTCGCCGTCACGTCCCAATAGTACTCCGGGAAGTGGACGGTGTTGATGCCCGCCCGCTTCACCATGCCCTTGTTGACGGCGCCGTTGAGCTCGCTCTGCGCAAAGTGCACCATCACGTCTGGGGGGGGGGGGGGGGGGACTCAGTCGCAGCCGCTCGAGGCCGCGAACAGGTAGGGGAGGCGGTCCCACTGCCTGGCATCTGCTCCTCGAGCATCGGGTACATGGCCTTCTCGCTGACGTAGCCGTGGATCCAGAGAGTATCGAGGTAGGCGTAGGCGCTGGTCAGGATGTGGTGCTTGTGGTCCCCCTTATCAAAATTGGTGTTCTGGCCGTACCAGACAGGGCCATAGCTGGTACCCTTGTCGGAGCCGTACTTGAACAAGTCCTCGAAAAAGCCCTCGACGTTGAGCCAATACCAGTCCCACCTGTGCCGACGGATCAGGCGGGCAATCAGCGGGCACCGTGCGCCAGAGTTGGGGAGGAGCCGGGTCAGGGGGGGGGGGGGGGAGCGGGGAGGGGAGGCACGGGAGATACTGACCAGCCAAACCACTCGTTGCCGATACCGGCCTCCTCGTAGTCCTTGAGAAGCTGAGGCGGGTCGAAGAAGTCCGCAAGATGGTCCTTCTGGGTCACGGTCGCGCCGGTCGCGACGAGCGCGTCGTACACGTTCGTGCGCTGCCCTTTGAGCGGCGTGTCCCAAGCCTCGGGCCAGCCGGCCGTGTCTGAGTTGTCGGCGAAGCCGATGGAGAGCGACGAGATGTCGACGGATGCGGGGTCCTGGAAGGGCACGTCGCGCGACTGCGGGTCGCCGTCCGACTTGCCGCGCATGTAGTTGTAGAAGACGGCGCACGACATGACGTCGCGGCAGAGCAGGCCCGGGCGGTCCGACTCCATCGAGTAGAGGCCGTTGTTCTCGCGCGAAAAGGTGCCGATGGCGGGGATCATCGTGGCGATGCCGTTGGCGATTGCGGGCGCCTGGCACGACGAGCCCGTCTGCTCGCAGATGGAGACGGGGACGACACCGAGGCAGACCGCGGTGCCGGAGCCGATGGACGAGCCGCCAGAGGAGCCCGCGCCCGCGGAGTACCCGCCGTTGAGGCACGAGTAGGTGGTCCCGTTGAAATTCGCGAAGCCCCACGTGAGCTGGGGTACCGAGGACTTGAAGAGAGGCACCGCGCCGGCTTGGAGGGCGTAGGTGACGAGCGGCGACTCGGTCTCGACCACGTTGCTGAGGTACTCCCACGAGCCGTAGGCGGTGGCGTAGCCGGCGAGGTCGTACGTGTCCTACTCGCGGCATCTGCCCTCTTTGCTCTCTACCGCCGCGCTACTCCCCCCCCCCCCTCTCTCTCTCCCTCTCTCTCCCCCTCTCTCTCCCTCTCTCCCCCTCTCTCTCCCTCTCTCTCTCTCGCTCTCACTGGAGGTGCGCCTTGATGGCGAACGGAATGCCTTGGATGTACGACTTGTAGGTGCCTGCAGCGAAGTCGGCGTCCGCCTGCGCTGCGTACTGCATCGCCAGGTTCTTGGTGGGCACCTCGACCATGTTGAACTCGGCGTCGTACTTGTCGAGCATGTCGAAGGCGATGTTGGTCAGCTCGGTCGACGTCATCTGTGGTGACGCAGTGGGGCGAGCCATGCTTTGTGGTAGATGGGGGAGCGCGAGGGGGGGCAGGGGGTGTGAGGGTGGCGGCGGTATGGGTGGTGGCGAGGACGGCGGAGGAGTGGGTGGAGGCGGCGGCGGCGGAGGCGCGGTGGCGAAGGCAGCGGCGGCGCGGGGGGCGGCGAGGGCGGCGAGGGTGAGGGTGTAGGTGAGAGGGCGGTGGCGGCGAGGGTGGGAGGGAGGGTGGCGGTGGCGTTGGCGGCGTGGAGGTAGGGAAGGCAGGTGAGGGTGAGGGCGGCGGCGACGAAGGGGGCGGCGATGACGACGACGGTAGGGGTGTGTCTGCCTGTCCCGAGCGGAGCAGGTACTGCATCTCGAGGACGGAGAGCATCATGATGCCCTCGGGCGTGGCTGGCTTCATGACCGCCGGCAGGTCAAACGTCACCGCGTCCTTGGGCGTGACGGAGGGCGGCTCGTTGAGCACGCGCGTCTGGGCCATGCCCATCAGCACCTGGAGGGAAGAGGGCTTGTGGCGGCGGGTGGCAGGGCGGGCGGCAGGGCGGGCGGCAGTGGGAGCTGCGTGTGCAGGCGTGTCAGAGGCGGCAGCCACACCTTGGACCGATAATTGTACGCTTCCTTTCCGGCCGGAAGCGTACGGAAAACTCGCGAGGCAGCCACGTCGAGCGGCCATGGGTTGTTGTCGACGCCATCTTTGTAGTGCAGCGAATCGGCAGACATGTCGACGCCCTCGGTCCATGCAATGGTCTCGGTGAAGTAGGTGGCGCCGGGCGCCGGGCACACCGGCTCGGGCGCGGGGGCAAAGCCCAGCGAGAGGAGAGTCAGCATGCTGAGGGGTGCAGAGGCCAGCGAGGGGGGAGCAGGCAAGGGCTGAAGCACCCGGCGATCACTGCTCATCATATCACGCGATTTTCTTTTTTTTCCGAAGATAGGAGGAGAGGCCAAGCAGCAGGGCCGTGGGCGGCCGCGGGTATGGGTCGTCGGCGGCGTTCCCGGACTTGCGCCTTCGCCGTGGCATGCATCTCTTGCGCCTGAAGCGTGACTGGGCGTGTGTGAGCGACACTGCTCGGCGACTGCCGGCACACTGTGAGACCATGGGCGTGAGGCTCAACCGCGCTACCAGCGCTTGGCCACATCGGCCCCGAGGTCAGATCATTCTACTCTGTTGATGGTGACACTTGTCTACTCGCGTGGAGCCGAGCAGGAGGGCCCGGCGCACAACCCCTCGACACAACCCCTGTGCAACTCATCAGCCTCCGGCTCCGCAATCCGTATACGCTCTACGGCTCTTTCTAGCCGCTCTTTCTAGCGCAATCAGAATCGCACACACGACAGATACAGATCTGGATCGCACACGCAGTCAGTCGCACACGACACATACATCATCTGGTTCCGATCTCAGGCCCTAAGAAGCCCCCTCTCGAGACCGCCAGATCTGCCATGCGAGGACGGGAGAGTCGCCGCAAGCGCTGTGTACACTAGCAAGATTGCCGAGGGGGTCTGGATCCAACGCGTCTATGTGGAGAGGCACACCAACCGACGGCCGGGCGACGATGTCGCGCAGTCGCTCGCGCTGCAAATGGCCGCCAGGAAGTGCGCACCAGGGAGCCTCGAAGAAGGACGTACAAAGTCCCCGGACCGTTCCGCGGGGTTCGGGGTCGTGGGCGGAGGCGTCCTCGTACAGACTTTACATGAGGCCGTCCGCCATGGCGAGGGGCGAGGGGACGCGCTTGAGCGGGGAGTCGGGCCCGTGGAGCGCTGCAACAACCTTCTTCACCTTGTAGAGGAACTCGAGGTCGAAGGTCTCGGCGCACTTGTCGCAGAAGGTCTCCTCCTTGGGCATCGCCTTGCCCCAGATGGTAAACGACATTGGCGCCCCGTTCTCGTCGACGCCGATCGGCACGACCACCTGCACGCACGGCAGAGCAAACAGCCAGCAATCATGGGTGTCGGGTAGCGACGCAGGTGGTTGGCGCCGCGCACGCCTTGGAGATGTGAATCATCTTGAAGTAGGAGTAGTGAACCGACCCGGTCGTGCCAGTCGAGCCCATCTCAACGGTGTCGTAGGTGCCGTCGGTCATGTTCTTGACTTCGATTGGGATGGTGCCCATGGCGTTCTCCGAGTACCTGTGCCGAGCGCGCACAGCAAAAGGTGAGGACCTCTCGCCTCAGGGCCCAGGCGGGGGGTGAAGAGCACTTTTGGATCGGGGTGAACTGCGTGGGCGTGATGATCATGTCGACCCCGGTCTGCTCGAAGTACATGTTCCAGAATTCGGGCGCCAAGGTTTGGTACACGCCGCAGTAGCGCAGCTTCGACTCGCCGGTGTTGCCGTTGTAGCCGCGGAAGCAGCCCGCCGGACCGTGCGACACGCCGACGGGGCGCGTGTCGTCGATGACGTCGGCGATGGTCGTCGTGTTTGCCAGAAAGTAGTTGTGCTGCCTGCGCGCAGCAGCAAGGGGCGGGAAGGGGGGGGGGTCCCATGGCGTTCGTCGGAGGATGGCCCGAGAGGGAGAGGAGCGGATCGCACCACTGCGCAATCTGGCCGGTAAACGTCTGGGCGCAGACCGAGTAGGTCCAGGGTGTGCCGGGCTCGAACTCGAAGCCGGAGAGCATGTGGTAGAGCGCGTTGACCTTGCCGAGCGTCGGCGACTCAACCTCGGGCCACTCCTCTTCGGTCATCGAGAAGCCGGCGCCCGACACGATCATCTTGGCCTGCCGCGAGACACGGCGGGCGCGGTGGGTAGATGCAACCATTCGGGCTGCTGCGGCGGGGCCAAGTCCGGCGGGGCAAGTCCGGCGGGGCAAGTCTGCAGGCCTGAGAGAGAGCATTCCGCAGCGAGGCCGACGCACGGCGATCGGGGCCGGAGTACGAGAGGCCGCCGTCGAGCGCTCGGACCGAAGCGGGCACGTTCAAGTTGACGAAGATCTCGGTGGGGAAGCCGATTTTGATGGCATCGTTCGTCATGGCGGCGACTTTGGCTTCCGCCTGTGGCGAGGGGGGGGGGGGGCGTGCAGTGCCTACGAGAGTGCGGCAAAGGGGGCCCCGGTGGGGGGGGGGGGGGGGGGCGGCGCACATTAGCGTGCTCGTCTTGCAGCCCGAGGACGGCCATGTCAAAGAGGAGGATGTCGTCCATCGAGCGTGCGTTGGTGCCGAGCTGGTCGCGGAAGTGTGTGATGCCGGGGTTGCCGTCGTTCGGGTACTTGTTGCGCGGCGGGTCGTAGCCTGCAGGGTTGGGCGGCGGCGCTCGAGATGTGCACTCACTGCACGCAGGGTCGAATGAGTCGGGGCTGGGGAGCAACTACGTCCGCACCAAAGTTGCCGTTGGCGTGAGCCGGGCAGCGGGTCGATCCGCCCGTGTCCTCCGTGATGGCAAGCGGCGCGATGTAGGAACCGACGGCGGACGCGGAGCCGCCTGAAGAGCCGCACACGGCCAGCTCGAAATCGTACCCGTTGCGTGTGACGCCGTTCATGTGGTTCCTGCGAGACGAGGGCCGGAGGGATGCAGGATGGCGGGGAGCTTGGGTAAGAAGAGGCGGGGAGAGGAGACGCGCACATCGTCTGCCACGAGCAGGCGTACTCAGGCACGTTGGTCTGCGGGGGCGGACGGGGGAAGGGGGGGGGTGAGCAGATGGCAGGCCAGGGCTGCAGAGGAGTGCCAAAATACACGCGCCTTGCCCATGATGATTCCATTGGCCTCCTTGATGAGCTTGAGGAGCGCGGCGTCGTCGGTGGAGTAGCAGCCGTCGAGAATGCCGAGGCCAGCGCCGCCCGGGTAGTCAGTTGATGCCATGGTCCCCTTGGCTGGCACGGGGAGGCCGTAGAGCGGCGCGACCGACTCGACTCCATCCGCGGCGGCCTTGTCGTCGATCGCCTGCGCGTCCTCGATGATGTAGTGCGAGGTCTCGTACGAGGTGACGAACCACGCGTTGAGCATCTCGTAGTGCATCATCCGGTTGACGAGCGCTTCCGCGTACTCTTTTGCCGTCACCTCGCCCGCCTTGAACGCGGCCACATAGTCGGCGGCGGTCATCTGGTACAGCATCTTCTCCCGCGCCGTCGGCTCCATGGGCGGGCAGGGCTTCGTGGCGAACACGTCGGTGAACCACGCGCCAATCTCCGGGTACAGGTCCGGAACCTGGGGAGGGCGGGATCGGAGCGATGTGAGGTCTGAGGGAGGAAGGGGAAGGCGGCCGAGGGAGGGGCCGGACCTTGGCAAAGCCTTGGCCGCGCTCGTAGTCCTGGTCGATGATCTCCTTGGGCGGGAAGTCGGGGTGGAACTTCACGCACTCGATTGAGTACTTTGGGTCCTCGCACATGAACTTGCCGACTGAGGGGAGGAAGGGGGGAGGGATCGTCAGCGAGGCAGTGAAGCAGCGGGACGAGGCCGCAGCGGCGGGTCGAGAGACACAAACCAGCGGAGTGAGAGGCGAAGCAACGGAGCGCGGGCGTAGCGAGGCTCTGGCAGTCCTCCAGTGCGCGGGCGTGCTGCGTGTGCGCAGAGGAGTGTGCGCAGAGGAGTGTGCGCAGAGGAGTGTGCGCAGAGGAGTTGCGCAGAGAAGCGTGCGTGAAGTGAAGTAATAGGCGGAGACGGGCACGCGCCTGCGTCACACTCGTACTCGGGCGGCGACGGCGGGATGACGATCGAGCTGAAGAGGAGTTTCTTGTCGCCATGCGAGGCGCCCTTGGAAGGCTTCACGGTCGCCTTTTCGCTCACGCGATCGACGAGGCCATCGGCGTCCACCACCAGCTTGTCTGAGGCCGTGGAAAGCTGGCGGCGCGAGTCGCGCACGCCGAGCGGGTTGCGCCGCGGCTCCTTGGCTGTCGCCTCCGGGGCGCCCGTCAGGAGAATCAGGAGGGGTGCAACGCGAAGCATTGTGGATGGGAGTACAAGAGGGGGTGCAGAGAGGGGGTTATAACACGCCCCACAGAGGATTCTACTTTGTGGAGGGTGAAGGGATTAGCTGCCGTCGAACCCCGCGGCTCTCGCTTCAGGTGTGAGCCGGTGAGCGGAGAGCGGTGTGTGCGTGAGTCCTGAGTGCGTGAAAATAGAGACGGATAGACTGAGGTCACAGGACGCCTCGAACCGTCACCGCCACCCGCTCCCCGCTCCTCGCCGTGAGCCGCGCCGCCACGCCCGCCGCGTGCCGCGGCGGCACCAACTCGGGCTCCGTGGCTCGGGTTACACCAATCCTCGCTACCCAGCGCGGCCAAAGGATGTCCACCTCGAGAACCTCGAGAATGAACACACCAGTGAGGGAGGGCGAGACGATCGAGGGGTCCCGTACCATGCGGAATCGACCCTATCAAGTGCTCAAGTGCTCAAGTGCTCAAGTGCTCACATCATCGAAGCCCTCAAAAAATTCTGCTTTCGCGCCGCGGCAGTCATTTTGAGCATCTGACTGGGGGCACGCCGAACTGGTACTGGTAGAGGTCGAACTTCTGCCTATCCCTATGCGTGTGCAAGGTCTAACCGAGGCGCTGCCGTGGATGTTGTCATTTTCCATTTTTTAGTACAATACGTTCCAGTTGTCGCACGGACGGCCCCAGGGGCGGTCGTGCTAATATTTTCGATCTCGTGGGCGGCGGAGCGCCCACATCTCTCTCTCTCTCTATCTCTCCTCCTCCTCCACCTCCATCCTACACCTCCTAAGTGCGCACGCGAGGGGCGCGGAGCTCAAGACTCGAGGTAGGTGCGGAGCCGCACGACGAGCTGCCGCTGGTCCTGCAGCTTGCGGAGGCACTTGGCCTCGATTCTCCGCACCTGCGGTGTCCGCAGGGCGGCGGATCGGGGAGGCAAGAGAGGGGGGCGAGCAGGGGCGGAGAGGGGCAGAGGAGGGGCCGGCGGGGTTGTCGGGAGGGCTGGGGTGGGATGCATGGGTTGCGAGGGAGGAGCGCGCGCCTCCCGCGCCGACACAGAGAAGAGGACCCCCACCTCCTCCGCCGTCCTCCGCCCCTCGCCCTCGTCGAGCGCGTAGAGTAGCTCCATCATCTTCGCGTCGCGCGGGTCGAGCAGGCCGGCGAGGGACTGCTTCAGCAGCGCGCGCAAGTCGCGCGCCGCCAGCGCGTCCGCGGGGTCGCACCCCTCCGGCGCCGGAAGCATGTCGGTCAGCGTCGCCGACCCGCGCCCAGACGCCCCGCCGGCAGGCATCTGCGCCTCCAGCGAGACGGTGTCGAGGCCGGAGCGGAGGGCGGTCTGCAGCTGCCCCTCGGTGATCTCGGCCGCCTCGGCAAGCTCGCCGTCGCTCGGCCACCGCCCCTCGCGCAGCATGAAGAGGTTGCGCAGCTGCTTGACGCGTCGCAGCCGCTCGCCCGCGCGCACCTGCGGCGAGGCGGCGGCTGGCTTGGAGGCGGGCCCAGAGGAGGGGCGGAGGGCGAGAGAGGCGGAGCGCGGCGGCGGCGGCGGCGGCGGCGGCGTGCTGGGTGGAGGGCGCGCGGGTGGAGGGGTTGGGTTTTCGGCGGTGATCCAGCCGAGGGGTGGGTGGCGCGGCATGGCGGGCAGGCGGCACCGGCAGGCGGATGAGGCGCGAGGAGGTGGAGGCGAGGCGTCCGATCCGCATCTGGATCCAGTGGACGGAATAGGTGGAGAAGCGGCAGCCGTACGACGGGTCGTACCGCTCCGCCGCGGAGATCAGCCCCAGTGTCCCTTCCTGGATCAGGTCCTGGATCGGGACTCCGCAGTGCCGGTACCTGCTGTGCGCGTCGAAGGACGAATCGGCGGGCGGTGCCGCGGGCGGTGCCGCGAGCGGTGCCGCGGGCGGCGCGAGCACAGTGGAGGCGGAGGTGTCGACGGGCGTGTGCTTGTGCCACAGACGGGTGGTGGGGCAGGGTGGCGAGGGGAGAGGTGCTCTCGGAGGATGCCGCCCACCGCTGCGCGATGTGAGCCACAAACGGGAGGTTCGAGACGATGAGGCGCTCCCGCTGGCGGTAGAGCAGCGCGAGCGAGCGCACAAAGGCGCGCTCGTCCCCGACGAACCCGATCGCCACCGACCACTCGAAGTGGCTCGGCGCCCTCTGCAGCCGCTCCGCCAGCTCCTCGCGCGTCGCCGTCCACCGGCGCAGCATCTTCATGTCGAGCGCGAGCCCCTGCTCCTCCTCGGGGGTGAGGCGGCTCCGTATCCGCTCGGCCACCTCCTCCGCCGCGGGCCGCTCCGGCATCTGCAGCACCGAGGCATCACACATGGCGATGGACCTCGCAGCGGCAGTGCGCTGCAGCGCAGGCTCGGCCCGGCCGGCCACGGCGCGCAAAATTGGAACCGGCGGCGACGAGAGGAGCGCCGCGGGCGACGGCTGGACGCCAAAAAGAGCTGCCGCTATCAACATGGCGCAGCGACACCGCCGAGAAGCGAGATGCAGAAGCGGGCTGCAAAAGAGCACCTTTGGCTTGATCGGCAGCTCTGAGCTCGAAACCCCAGGGCTTCGACGACATACTTGAATATAAAGAAAATCACGCGAGCACCGGGAGGCATCACCATGCGGAATAGACGATACACAGACGAACACACACACACGTCACACCGCGCCACTCTCACAAGCTCGCTCACCTACTAATATTTAACATCCACTTAGAAGTGGACTTTACACGATTTGAGCGCGTCGCGCCCAGCGGCTGGAGAGTGGACTCCCCTCCCCGGCGCCGCCGGCAGGGTCACGGCTCGGCGCCGCCGGCAGCGCCACTCAAAGAGTCAAAAGTGTCTGCACTCTTTGCGTGTCCGGGGTGTCCGGCTGTCGCGCCCAGCCAGCGGCTGGATTGGGCGGAGGGACGGGCGGCTCGACCGGACCGCGGAGGGCTCGCCGCCCCTTGGAGGGCTTGGTCCTGCAAGGTCGGCCGACGACGAGGCCATCGCGGAGGCACAGAGCAGTAGCACCGGCGTATAGCCCCTGTAGATTGACGTTTGGCCCCGGCATAGAGCAGGCATAGAGTTGTTTGGTATTGGCGGCGCGTCGCAATCACCCGCCCGCCGTCCCGGCGGTCCCGCAGCTCGCGCACATCTCCCTCTTAACCCACCTGTAACATCACATAATGGTATTGCTAAAAATCGCAACTTGGATGGACTTTCTCTTGTACGAAAAGTTCTTCACATAAACGCAAGAGGCAAGTGACAGTCGTGATTTCTTGTTGGTCTTCAAAAATCTCTCTCTCTAAACGCACAACCCCGGGCCGAAATCGCAGGCTTCTCCGAGCTGGCTCCGAGAGCGCCGACGCGCGACGGCCCGGCCGAGGTTTTCCCGGGCGGGGGCGGCGACATTAAATCGTCCCGCCGCCGCCCCTCCTCGGGAGGTCGGGCCGTCTCTCCGGGGAGGCGTGGTCCTCCTTGTCGCAATTCATGCATGATGGTCAGGTTGCCGCCGCAGTGGGTCTGCCCCCGCGCCCCGGCGAGCCCGTGTGTGCCCCGACACCACTCAACAACTCGCAGAGGCCGAGTCAGCTTGTCTCCCTCACCTCCTCCGCTAGCTGAGTCACTTGGAGCACTTGGAGTGCAGTCATCAACCGCACATCCAGGGCCGACGATAAGGCGGCCGCCCTGACCACCCAAGACAGCGCTTGCAGAGCTCCCGGAGAGGCAACATTTCGTAACGATCGTCGCTATTGGCCATCTGCCTCCTGCAGCCTCTGTTGGGGTGGAATGCGCGGGATTTTCGGCGCGATGCCTCCGGCGAGTATACGGTACTGCTCTGCCGCAAGCTCTCCTGCGCGCGCGTGACGTGTGGGGCGCACGCACTGCGCTCGAAAGTCGCGATTTGGGAGAGAGATGGCAATAGGCGCTCGAGCCGGCGCGCAGTGGAAGGGGGCGCCGCGCAGGGGGGTCGGGGGGGTGCGAGGGGGGGCGTGGGTCGAGCGCGCACCGGCCGGCTCCGAGAGCGGCCGTCACGTCGAAGAGGGGGGCTGGTGCTGCTCGAATGACGAGGCGTGCCGCTCTGCTGCGCTGTCGACAGCCCCTCTTCCGAGCCGGCGCGTGGCGGCGAGCCGCGGCCAGTGTCGCTGGTGCGGGGGCGGCGCAGCGTGCATCGGCCGGCGGCGAGAGCGGCCTTCACGTCGATGAGGGGGGTTGTCGGCGACTCGTGTGGCTCGAGGCCTACGCTGCGCCGCCCGAGCCCTACTGCCGATCCAGCGCCTGGCGTTTGGGGCGAGCCGCAGTCGTCGTCGCTGATGGTATGGCGGCGGCGGCGGCGGCTCGCCCTTCCCTCCGGCCGCAATTCCGATCCCGCCGCGCTCGCGGGAGGTCGCGCGTATATATTTATAGAGAGGAAGGGCTATCCGTGCTGCTGTGCGCCCCCTGTGGTGCGTGGTTGCTTTCAAGTTCTTAGATCACAACCCAAGGATGATATAATAAGGCAAAAAGATCGTTGCGCCTTGCCGATCCGCACCTACCTAGGCTCTTGGCGCGCGTGCTTTTTTCTTTTCCGTTTTTTCGCGGTACACTTACACAACCATCATGTGTTTGCTGTTCGGCCCCCTCGTGGCGCCTGATTTGCGCGTCTCTCCTATCCCGTGCCCATCGCTTCGGCTCGGCGCACCCGCGCTGGCGGCGCACGGCTCGGCCGACGACCTCTTCAGCCGGTACGCCGCCGCGGCGCCGCCGGTGCAGGCGGGGCTGTACGCTCGCTGCTGGAGCATTGTGGACGAGGCGGTGCAGGCGACCGTCCCCGGTGCGAGCGTGGACGCGAGCGCCTACGGCGGTGAGCTGGAGGCCTTCGTCGCAGCCGGCCCCGACGACCCGGAGGCGGTCCCTGAGGAGCAGCGCGAGATGCTCGGCAAGTTGGCCGACACGGCTGCCTCGTACGTGCGGCTGGTGGATCCGGGCCGCCTGTCGTACGGCACCCGCTACCGCACGCTCAACGCACCGCTCGGCGCCTACTTTTGCGGCATCTCGCTCTGGCCGCGCGAGAGCGTCGACGTGCCCAACTTCACGCTCTACTTTGGGTCCGGCTCGGCCGTCAACCCGGACCGCGTCTTCCTGCGGCTCGAGCTCGTGCCGCGCGTGGACACGGACACGGACGCGGCGTACGCGGAGAGGTACTACGCCCCCTTCAACGACCGCTTCTTCGCCATGGCCGCCGACCCAGCCTTTGAAGCATACGTCTCCGACTCGGCGTACGCGCGCGGCGCGCAGGCGCCGTCGGGGCTGCGCTACTTTTTCGACGGCACGGAGGCAAACATGGAGGCGGCGGCCTCCGCCGTGCGCGAGCTGGCGGCGCAGTGGTCCGGCTTTGTCGACGCGGCGGACGAGGTCCCGCCGCCGAGGGCCGCGGAGATTGCGCGGCGGGACGCGGTGATCCGGCGGGTCGCCGCGGACTCGTCGCCCGACAATGCGAACCGCGCGCGCGTCTTTGGGGCGGAAGCGTTCGCGCGCACCAAGAACCTGCTCTGCGGCGAGCTGCCCTGACCGAGCCGTGACCCTGCCGGCGGGCCCTGCCGGCGGCGCCGGGGAGGGGGAGTCCACTCTCCAGCCGCTGGGCGCGACGCGCTCAAATCGTGAAGAAGTCCGCTTCTAAGTGGATGTTAAATATTAGTAGGTGAGCGAGCTTGTGAGAGTGGCGCGGTGTGACGTGTGTGTGTTCGTCTGTGTATCGTCTATTCCGCATGGTGATGCCTCCCGCTCGCGTGATTTAATGCCTGATGATTTTCTTTATATTCTCAAGTATGTCGTCGAAGCCCTGGGGTTTCGAGCTCAGAGCTGCCGATCAAGCCAGAGGTGCTCTTTTGCAGCCCGCTTCTGCATCTCGCTTCTCGGCGGTGTCGCTGCGCCATGTTGATAGCGGCAGCTCTTTTCGGCGTCCAGCCGTCGCCCGCGGCGCTCCTCTCGTCGCCGCCGGTTCCAATTTTGCGCGCCGTGGCCGGCCGGGCCGAGCCTGCGCCTCTGCGAGGTCCATCGCCATGTGTGATGCCTCGGTGCTGCAGATGCCGGAGCGGCCCGCGGCGGAGGAGGTGGCCGAGCGGATACGGAGCCGCCTCACCCCCGAGGAGGAGCAGGGGCTCGCGCTCGACATGAAGATGCTGCGCCGGTGGACGGCGACGCGCGAGGAGCTGGCGGAGGAGCAGGAACTCCAGGCTAACCTGGTTCGTGGGCCACTGCCGACGCATGCGGCCCGCGCAGCGCGAGTGGCGGCGAGGTCGAGCGCGGCGGAGCAGGCGAGCGCGCACGCAGCGGTCGGCCCGACGGCACGCCCACGGGAGGCGGCTCTATGGACGGGGGGGTGGGGGGTGGGCGAGGCGAGGCTGAGCGCGAGGTGGGAGAGGGGCGTGCTGGCGCTGCCGAGCACCGGGGTAACTCGAGTCGCTAAAGATCGAAGAGGCGCGCGCAGCGGCGGAGGCGCGGCGCGAGGAGCCGTGCGCTGGCGCCGCGCAAGCTTCGCCGGCGGTGGCAGCGGGCGCTTCGAGCGCAGCCATGCCGACCCCGAGGCTGCTTGCGGGGGGAGGGAAGTGTGCGCGGCCGCATCCACGTGCTGCAGCATCCCCGCCGCCGCCCGGCAGCGCCGTCGCTGGCAGAGCCGCGAGCGTTGACGGCACGAGCAGTGCCGTCGAGTCGGTCCCTGCAGCGTGCGGACGAGGCGGGAATATGGGAGGTGAGGCGGTTGCGGCGAGATGCGCGACGCTCGACGCGCCTGGCCTTGGGTGGAGCGCCGCGTCGAGCGAGCCGTGGTAGGCGCGGTCCCCGAGCGACGAGCGTGCGGACAGGGGCCGTCGAAACTCCACCGACGTGTCTTCCTTTGCCTCGGCCGCATGCACAAGAGAGCCCGCCATGTGCTTGGCGCCGAGGCTGCCGACGCTGCTGCGGCCTGCGGGCATGCGAGCCGCCTCCACTGACGTGAGGCCGGCCATGCCTGGCGCCGCCACCGGTGCTTCGGGCCGGCGAGGCGATGGGATGCGGTGCTGGTCGAAGATCACGTCGAGCCGCACGCTCGCGGCGCCAGCGCAGCCAGCGTATCTGCCTCCTGCGTGGACCGGCGAGCTCTCCACCGGCGAGGACTGCATGATGAACCCGCCGGTGTGCCGTCGAAGCAGGTGGCGTTTATTTTTGCTTGGGCGGCACTCATGCTGAAATTCTGCAAAAACCCTGGCCGGCCCCTGCGGTGCCCCTACCTACCTACCTACCTACCTACCCTACTTATGGGAAACTAAAAAAGAAATCACTCGATGGGTGAAGGTGGGGTACTATACCAACTAGAGTGATGGTTGGTGGTACTCTCCTGCATCCACAGTCCTTCTTGTGACATGGGAGGCCACTCTCAAGCCCTACAAGCATCAGATCACCCATTTGGGGAGTGTTGACATCGTGATTTCCGCGGAAAATTTCTTTTTCTGCTGTGAAAATTTCAGCTTGAAGAGAGGGAAAAACCCGACGGGAGGGCCCAGACCTACCCTACCTACCCCGGCATGAGTGCCGCCCAAGCAAAAATAAACGCCACCTGGTCGAAGCGAAAGAATTTAGCTGTGAACGCCCAGGGCCTCCAGGGCTCGAGAGGCGAAAGAGAGCGTCGGGCCCGCTCCTCTTCGAGACAAGGCGTCACGGCTGGAATAACAGAGACCTCGCATGCGACTTCGCACGCAACCTAGCCAAGCAGGGGATAGCGACATGGTCGGACGTGTCACAACGGGGCACCGGGGAAGTGTTGTCTGTTGACGTGGCCGCAAATGAAGCGAGTCTATGGCCTCAAAGACAACACGACGGAACATAGCGAATACAAGAGGCTGGCGGAGCAGCTGAACCGACCAGAGTGGGAGCAGCTGCGAAGGAGTGGAAGTGGGCGGTAACAGATCAGAGCGCACACGGACAGGAGACGGGATGGAGGGAGCCCAACAGGGTACTGAAGGTGAAGGCAGCAAGGAAGGCGCCGACCTGCTATGGGGGGGGCAGGGAGGAGGACGGTCACGGATGGAAGTACCTGTGCGAATGGGAAGGTGAGCAGAGCGACAGTTGGGTGTGGCACGATAAGATGGAGAGCGTAGGATATATGTCGGTGAGCTCGCTAGCACATGGGAACGGGAGCTAATACATGCGCAAGGCGTGGGATGGAAAGCGGCGTCCTTCCGAGAGTGGCTAGAGCACCGCAGGCGGCTAGGGAGCGCAGGACACGGGCCGGAGGCAGCGCAAGCGGACAGAGCACTAGAGACATGCGACGGAAAGAGTAATGATCCGTCGTGGAGCGATGTGCTCGACCGATTCATTGAATACAGCAGGGAGGTAAACGGGGTGTGCACAAGCGCACCCAACATGACAGAACACACGTTTGAAGAAGGGCGAACCAGGATGGACATCCGAGTGGAGGGGAAGGCCAGGACGCTCCTACCTCGGAGGGAAGAAACCGGCGCAAGACAGCGGCACGCACCTGGGGTCAAGAGAGGAAGGGGACCAGCGAGTGATAAAGCTAGAGGGGACCCCGGGCCTCGATACGAACGCGACATGGGAGGAGGAGATACCCGAGCAAAATAAGATCACGAAGGACGCGGTGAGAAAGATGATGGAGAGACAGGAGAGGGAGCGACAGGAGGGGAGCCTCGGGGCGGATGAGACGTTGTTCCCAGAGGGGGCGCCCCAGAGACTCATAAACTGGAAGAAAGAAGACTACGAGCTGTTTGTGGGGCACGGACACGGGGCGAGCGCGATCAGAGTAGGGGAGCTACAGGAGGACCCCCTCACGCGCTTCTTGCTCAGATACGACGAATTTGAGACGGGGGGAGAGCTGACGGACGGCAACGGAAAGCGAATTAAGATGGGAAAAGACAGCGAGCCGCTGCGGTCGGGGAAGGGACGAGCCCTGAACGTGAAGGTAGCGCAGACATGCCTCGCGTTGCACGTCTCACACCAGTTCACACACTTTGCGGCGACGGACGGAGGAAAGGACCGTGAGGACAAAATGGCGGAGGATGGAAAGTACGTGCCGAACCCTAGGGTGGCGTACGGCGTGTTCGAAGGACCGACACGATTCGGAAAGAGCGTCCCGGGAGACGCACAGGTAAAGGATCCCAACGGAATCGGACCCTGCGAAGAAGGGGAGATACGGACAGCGTTTGGGGCGGGAATGTGGGGAGGAAAGCTGCCGAACATGTGGGAGCCGATAGACGCGGAGATGTACGCGATACTCGCATACTTACGCAAAATGGCGAGCGCGAGCAATGCGCAATCGCGGAGGTGCTTAGTGCTATGCGACTGCAAAAACCCGCGCTGCAGCAGATTGAGAATGCGCACCGCAAAGGGATACCAGAAGGCCTGAGGGACTGGGACGTGGGAGAGAGGCGGGCTCCTGGAGGCGATCGCTTACACTATAGATCGAAGCTAGAGGCGGTGGTCTTCATGTGGGTGCCAGCACATGTGGGAATAGCCTGCAACGCTTACGCCGACGCGGTGGCGACAGCACACCTCGGGGACAACGACTCAGAGGACGCCTCGTGCTATCGCCGCATCGACCACCTTGTATATCGCATCCAGGCACGTTACTGGGCGCGCCCGTTCGAGGTCTTTCGGGAGCGGCGCCACGTCACCCAACTTGAGCACGGAAGGATGCGCTACGAGACTTCCTGAGCGGTGCACATGAGAGAGATTTTAGGAAACCAACAAGAAATCACGACGCCACAGTGATTTGGGCTCGGCAGCTTGTCAGCCCTCAGCCGAAGCTGGGGCCGGTCCCGGCCGAGAGAGCCCGCGCCGATGAGTTCGACGCGGTCGGGGGGGCCTGCGGAGAGGCCAGCAGATGCCAGCGAGGTGGCGATCGCTGTACTTCATGGTGCCCTCGGTGGGGCGGCTGACAAGCCAGAGGTCGATACTCTGGACGACCCATAGGATGCCACGAATGCCTGAAGGAGAGGGAGGCGAGGCCAGAGGCAGGCTCAGCTGCTCTCGGGTGATCCCGCTTTGGTGGCTGAAGGACCCGATGGTCCTGTCACATTCGTGTTCCGAGTCGTACGGGTAGAAGAATATCGCAAGGAAGGGGCCTCGCAAAGATGAGGTGTGTCGGACAGTGCTGCCAGTTCGTCCATCGTCATGAGCCGCCCCGTCTTACCCAAGCTGTGGCGCTCGATCTCCCGTCGCAGCTCGGCCGCCTAATTCTTTTTCTCGTTTCGCGCTTGATATCCCCCCCCCCCCCGGTCGCCGGCCGCCAGTGTCGATAGCCACGCGAGCCTGTCACGCGGTCGACAACCCACCGCCGCCTCCCGCATGAAGCTCTCGGACGACGAGGAGAGCGAGCCACTGCAGCGGCAGCAGAATGGTCTGCGAAAGGTCGGCCGGCGCGGCCGGCCAAACCTGCTGCCGTGGCTGATCGCGGCGGCCGGGTCTGCCATAATCATCGGCGCCGTGATCCTGCCGCTCTCGTCGCGCTACTCGCTCTGGATGATGCTGCTGCCGCCCTCGGCCAAGACGCTCCGGCTGAGCGCCGCCGAGGCCGAGGCGATGGCGCGGCGCCACCGCTTCCTCTTCATCGCCGGCCCGCACCGCGGCGGCACGACGCTGCTGTGGCGGCTGCTGCGGCTGCACCCTCAGGTGGGCGCCTTTGCCGAGCGGACGGACGGCGACTTCTCCGAGGGCGCCTTCTTGCAGTCTGTGATGCCCACCTTTGGCGTCGGGCGCGAGCGCGAGGACTGCCTCCGCGCCGGCGTCCGGCGGGTCGGCTCTCCGCCGGCGCGCGGGGTGGGGCGGTACGGCTTCGACCCGGGCGCCCACCTGACGGAGGCGTCGCCGCTCGCCTCCCTGGCGAGCCGCGACGCGCTGCTCTCCCAGTGGGGCTACTACTGGGGCGAGGCTGGCCTCGAGCGGCCGCTGCTGCTCGAAAAGACGCCCACCAACATGCTGACGGCGCGGCTGCTGCAGTCGCTCTTCGCGCCGCGCACCTCCTTCCTCGTGGTGACGCGGCACCCGCTCGCCGTCGCGCTCGCGCAGCACCGGATCACCTCGTGCGGCGGCGGCGGCGGCGGCGGCGGGCCGCCCGAGGCGGTGGGCGAGGCGGTGCTGCACTGGGCGCTGACCCACACGGTGCTGCAGCGCGACTTGCCCGCCCTCTCCTCCGCGCGGGTGGTGCGGTACGAGGACCTCGCCCACGCGCCAGGCCGCTGCCTCGCCGCCGTGGGCCTGCGGGCCTCCCGGACTCCCGGACCTTTCCTGGAAGCTTCCTCCTGTAGGCCGCTGCCTCGCCGCCGTGGGAGAGTGGCTCGGCGCACCCGCCTCCGAGGGCGGGGCCGGCCTCGACCCCGCCGCCACCCGGCGCTGGATCGGCGCAGCGGCGGGCGAGGCGGTCGACGGCGGCACGAACGCAAAGTACGAGCGGCAGTATTGCGACGGCCAACTCGCCACCGAGCAGGGCCGGCAGTCGCACTGCCGCGTCGCCGGGGCGCTCCAGCCCGCCGTCGCCGCGCTCGGCTTGCAGTACGACGTGGAGCGCGGCGGGCCGCTCGGGTTCGCGTGCTCGGCGGAGCGAGTCGATTGCGGCGCGGCGGGCCGAGGAGGTGGCGTGGCGGCCGAGGCGCGGCTGCTGCGGGAGAGGCTGCTCGGCAGCCTCTCCTCCTACCGCGAGCCGGCCGACGAGCCGGCGGGCGGCGGGGTGCCGCTCGGAGGGCCGCTGCTCCTGTGCGCTGGCGCTGGGGACACCATTATGCGCGAGCGACATACAGCAGTGAGATCGGCTTAGCGGGTGGAGCAATTGGAGAGTGCAGTCATTACGTAATGTCATTAAATACACTGCCGGGTTTTGTTCTGACTGCGCCTATGTTAGTGCGCCCCGATACCGATCATCTGGAGCAGAGAGTTCCTCAAAAATGCGACGCATGCACGGTGTCGCCCACTCGGGGCGAGGCGGTTTGTGGTTCTGCGTCGACACATCTGTCACGACGACGCCAGCAGCTGGCAGAAGCCGCTGCAGATGCTGCTGGATCTCGTCGACACCAAAGTCTGCCGCGTGCTCGCACGAGTCCATCTCGATGCGTAGGCCGCGCAGGCTGCCGAATTTGCGAAAGCTGCTCCACTCCTCTGCGCTCATCGCATCAGCCGAGTCCCAGTTCAGTATCAGGTGCTCAAGCTGAGCGGGCAGTACACTGCACAGGTTGCGGAGCCAGCCTCTCGTCGCCTGGAATGAGAGCAGACCCAGGTCGAGGTTGCGAAGGCGCGGCAGCCGACCGAGTAGGGCGAAATCTTGCATCGAGTCGAGGTACAGAGATACAAGCACTTCAATCTGAGGGCTGCCGCGCAGGAAGGCAGGGACATAGGCGACTCGTTCAAGGGTAAGCCCCACGGTGAGCCACTGCAGCCTCGGCAGTGCCGCGTCGACGATTCCGCGCTTGTCCCACCAGGCGGCAAAGCGAGGGTACACGTAAAGCGGCAAATTCAGTGGTAGACGCTGTAGGGTTTCCATATGGTTCGTCAGCCATGTGAAGAACTTGAGCTCGGTGGCACGCGCCCGACGCGCCGCCTGCTGGTGCACGTGCAGGTTGGGAGGGAGCGCCGTGCAGGAATGCGCCGTCGGCGGTTCGTAGTCCATTGGTGTCAAGTCGAACCACAGGGTCGAGAGGCGCGGGAATCGACGCCGAGAGAGCGCCTCGATCATCGGCAGCAAGCGCTGGCACGCATCGCGGTAGCTCTCGCTCATAATGGTCTTATCATACGGTTCTGGCAGCTCCGGCTCGACTTTCACCAGTGGGATCTCCTCGACGAGGACGCACTCGACATGCGCGAGCCAGGCGTCTGGGATGCGCCGCAGCTCGTCCGCGCTCACGGGCAGCGCACCGACGGGCGCCGCCAGCGCGTCACGTGCCTGGAGGTACGTCGCCACTTCGCCCTCGAGTGCGCAGCCTGGTCGGCGGCGAGGCTCGGGTGTGTTGGCAGTGAGCGCGGCCTTGTCCGCAGTGAGTAGGAGACAACGCGACAAGGCTGGCGTCTGAATCACCGCATGCCACTCGGTTGACAAGCGGCTGAGTCGCACTCGCTGCCATACTGGAACGTGGCCGAGCACGAGCGCCCACATGTCACGAGGCAAGACCGGCAGCGGCCCTGCAAGCTGCACGTTGTGCAGGGCGACAGAAAGCTTTGCGTGTGGAAACTGCACTCCCACGCGTAGTTGAGCACGCAAGTCTAACACGTATCCAACGCTGCCGTTGAGGTCCGGCCGGCTTCGCAGGTTGTCGATTCGCACTCGTTGGCCTACCGGCAGCAGCAGCAAGATTTGGTCCTGCATCCGTTGCTTGCGCTCGGCAACGGAGCATTGTGCCAACGCGTCCATAATCACGTCGCGCCGCGATTCCGATATCGCGTCGCTGTCGATTGCAGCGTTCATGAAGTCGTCAAACAGAGCCTCGACGTCGGCATCGGCGCACGCCATATAATGGATGCGGCACGTGTAAGGTGTAACCAGGGCAGGACCAGGCAGCGCGCGCGGCTGGCCGGTGCGCGGCCTTATTTCTTTTCCTAGCTCTCGCCAGTACGCACCTGTCTCGAGCCTGTCTGAGAGAGAGTTGTTTTGTTTTAATTTCTTTTCCGGCACAGTAGTTCAGCCTTGTGAGAAGAAAATACGAAGCAGACTTAGCTCGCTTTTCTTTCTTTTCAGAAAGAAGAAAAGCTGTGCGCCGCGCTGGCTCTCTCCGCCTCTACTAACCGCTACCGCAGCCCTCCGCCGGCAGCTCGAAGCCGCGCTCTTGCGCCCACAAGCGGATGCCCTGCTCCGCAAGCGGGGCGTGAAAGAGGAGGGAGACGGCGGCGACGCGAGCGATGTCGAGGGGGCTGTCGCAGCGAGAGAGGGCGCGCTCGAGGAGCTCCCTGGGGAGGTCGAGGAGGCGGGCGGGCGGCGGCACGTCTGGCGAGGGAGCGGCGGTGGCGACACTAGGCACGGGACTGGCGCTATGATGTATCTTATTCGGACCCCCCCCCTCGGGCGCCCTCGTTTTTCGTGCGAAAGCCGCCCGATCTCGGCGGGGCATCAGCGCCTCTCGGTGGGGCATCATGAGCTCGCGGGGCTGCCCGGCGGGGCGGGCCTCGTGCCGATGGACCCAGCCGAGGTGCCCGGAGCGGCCGCACATTGCTCGGTACCCCCCCTGCACATCTAAAGTCATCCCTGCTGCTAGGGGGGGGGGTCTGACCCCCCCAGCAGCAGAGGCTGCTGCTGGGGGGGGGGTCCCGACCCCCCCAGCAGCAGAGGGCATTGGACCCAGCTCTCCCGGCTCCCGCCTCTTCTCCGCCGCCGCCCCCTCCCACCTCGGCTCGTGTTTTAGCGGTACGTACGCTCGAGGCGGCTGTGTTCACCGCGCCTTCGAGCCCAACACACCTTCGTCGTGTTGAGTGCTGGCGTTTTACTAAAGACTTGTGACCATGTGAGTCTATCTTGTACTTATGTACTACCACACTAAAAGCCGTATCGTGAGCCACTCACTCGGGCGTCTCGGCTGACGTTGATCGATCAGCGTTGTTGATCTCTCTAGCCTATCGGTCCAGGGCCAGGGGGCTAAGAAGCACACCCCCCAGCGGGCCAGATGATCGGGATCGGGTTGCGGGCAAGAGAGCCCTAGCCCTGGGGGGTGCGCGTTCGCAGGGAAAGGGCCGTAAAGTAAACACGGGTCTTCGAGGGTTGGTCTGCGCTTTGGGTGTCCCCTAGCTGCGGAGCGCCCCCTCTACTCGATGTCGGAGAGCTCGATAATGGACACCAGACACGCACACGATGTCACGCCTCAGGCCTCTGGGGCTCTCCTATCCTCCCGGTCCTCCCCCCGGCTCGCTTTCCGCTGGTCGGGCAGCGGCTGCGCCCGCCTTCCCCTCTTATGCTTCTTCGGCCGCGGTCCCACCGCCGTCTCGTCTTCTCTGCCTGATCCCGTTGACTCCGTGGGTGGCGATCCCGTGCCCGACTCCCTGGGCGAGGGCGGCGGCGTTGGGTCACGCCACCTCCCCTCCCCGGGGGGTCGGGCCCGCTCTCCCTGGTCGACGAATCGCGCCCGAATCCGTGGCCTCTCTACCGTACTCGGCTCGCCCCCCCCATCCGCCGTCTCCTTCTCGAGCTCGGGGGGTCGCGGCCTTCCTTGTCGTAGATCATGATGGTCCGGCTGCCGCCGCGACGGGTCTACCCCCGGTGAGCTCGTTTGTCCCGACTCCACTCGTAGAGGCTGAGTCAGCTCGACTCTCACCCCCTCCGACAGTTGACTCCAGGTCTCACCCGGGGCCCTCCGGTCTCGGCCTTCCGGTTCGCCGGCTGACCCGCTGTCTTCTCGCGGTACCTCCCCACCCTCGGTCCCCTCCCTCAGGTAGCCCAGCCTCCGACTGTGCAATCGTAAATTCTTCTGATCTGTTCGCGACGAGCACGTGGCGATGGACGTGTACGCGCGGCTGCCTGGGAGCGTCTCGACTGCCGCCGGGCCCGTCGGAGGCGGTGGCGCGCCGTTCTACGCGCTCGAGCGGAGGCGGAGGAAGCGGATGCCGCCGACCTTCGCGCCTTCCTTGCGGCCGCCCGCCGCCGCCTCCACGCGGACGCCTGCTCGTCCTCGGGCGACCCCTCCCCGCGCTCCCCGCAGCAGCAGCGGCGGCGGCAGCGGCACGTTGCTCCGACTTTCAGGCCGCGCAGGCTGGTGCACCTGCGCGCTGGAGGCTCCTCGTCCTCTCCGCCCGACCCCCCGCCGCCGCCGCCCGGGGCGCCCTCTCGGGGCGAGGGCTCCGCTCGCCAGACGCCGGCTTCCTCCCGCCGCTCTCGGTCGGGGGCGGTGGGGCAGGAGGCGGCGCCGCCGTGCGTGGCTCACCGGCGGCGGGCGGATCACGGATATGTGCAAGGGCGTCGAGAATTCGACCGTCAAATATCCGGCGCTTCCGATGTTGGCGATAGCCGTCGGCATGGGCCACGATCGAGTGGTCGCCGTGCTGCTGCAGCACGGTGCGGACTCCGACGAGCATTACGAAGGAGGCCTCACGCCGCTGATGAACGCTGCCAAAAACGGCCACCTGCGAGCGTCCGAAATTCTTGTGCGAGGCCGCGTAAAATTCTTTCCCGCACCACGACTGCTTCGTCGAGCGCCCGCGCCGGTCCTTCCTCTAGCGAGACACGCTTACGACATGCCGCTCGCCGTGCGCGGTGCCGCGCTCTTCTCGAGGGCGGCCGCTCTCGCGTTGGTCCTTCCGCCGCCGCGGCTTACAACCCGTGCGTCCGCAGCGATGCTGTGCCTCCCGCGTGGCGGCGGCGACGACCAGCCTGGCGAGGAGTGGGCACCGGACGCTTCTGGCGCCTCCTCGCTGACCAAGGGCACGGTCTACATCGTGGGGACGCCCATCGGCAACCTCGACGACCTGACGCTGCGCGCCGCGCGCACGCTGCGCGAGGTGGATGTGGTCGCCTCGGAGGACACGCGGAGGACCGCCGTGCTGCTGCGGCATCTGGGCGCCTCGCCCAAGAAGCAGCTGTCGCACCACGAGCACAACGCACGCGCCGCGTCGGCGCGGGTTGTCGAGCTCGCCAGAGGCGGCGCCACCGTCGCCGTCGTGTCTGACGCCGGCACGCCCGGCATCAGCGACCCGGGCGCGCTGCTCGCTGCCGAGTGCGCCGCCGCGGGCGTGCCTCTCGTGCCGGTGCCTGGCGCGTGCGCAGCCATCGCGGCGCTCTCCATCTCGGGCTTCGCCGCCGCCGGCTTCCGCTTCGGCGGCTTCCTCCCCCGCGCGGGCCGCGGTCGGCGCGAGGCGCTCGCGGCGCTCGTGGCGGACGAGAGAGCGGCGGTGCTGTACGAGTCCCCGCACCGGGTGGTCGCGACGCTGCGGGAGCTGGCCGCCAAGGGGGCGGGCGAGCGGCGCTGCCTCGCCGCGCGCGAGCTGACCAAGCTGCACGAGGAGACGGCGCGCGGCACCGTGTCCGAGCTCGCGGCGCGGTACGCGGCGGCGCAGGACGAGGCGGGCAAGCTGCGCGGCGAGTTCACGATCGTGCTAGCGCCGCTCGCCGAGGAGGAGGTGGCGGCGCGGGCGAGCGAGGCGCGCGACGCGGCGCAAGACGAGGCGCGCGACCAGCTCAGGGAGCGGCTGGCGACCGGGCAGCCGCTCTCGAGAGCGGTGCGCGAGGTGGCGGCGGCGGTGGGCGCGCGGAGGGGCGCGGTCTACCAGATTGCCCTCGAGCTCAAGGACGGCGGCCAGGAGTGAGGAAGGTCCGCGCGCTTTACTGTATGGACAAATTATATGTGCCGATCTTTTCACGCGCAGGCCGCTGACACAACACATACAGACAACGTACTACCACGGCCTCTCGCGACGGCGCCCGCGGGCGGGGTCGCCGGCACGCCGGGTTCGCGCGCGCACACCTCTGACCTCAACTCCACCGCCGCCTCTGTACCTGTTTCTTCAAGTTTTTCTCGAGAGTCTTGAGGTTGGCGCGTGCCTCCTCAGCCGAGACCTCTGCAGTCGCTTGCAGCGCGTAGTGCGCCGTGCCATGCCTTTGGCGGCCGCGATGAAGCCGCAAAGCTTGTCGACGACCACGCTGGCCACTGTGGCGCTGAAGCTCGCCCCTTGCTCCTCCACGAGCATCCTCAGGCGGCCTTCGTCTAGCGCGTACCGCGCCACCTCGCACCGCACCTCTGCGCTTCGAGGCTCAGCTCCATTGAAGAGGCACCGGCCGCGATCTCGCAATTCCGACCCTCTTCCTGGGGGCTGGGGCTGCCGCTGGGGCTGCCGCAGCTGTCAGCTTCGTAGTCCGGCCCTTGTCCGCGGCTAGCGATCGGGCTGCTGGACCCGGGCTGGCAAGGGGCTGCTGCAGCTGGGGAGCGAGGTACATCCTTCCGGCGGTGCCTGTGGCGCTGCCGCACCGAGCGAGCCGACCGCTCGCTCCAAGTAGGCCTGACGCTCATCGGCCGTGTTCAAGCTGTCCCACTCATGGAATGGAACGCTGATCATCCTCCAGCAAGCCGCGGCGAGGAGGCGCCGCTTGAGCTTCGTTGGGCCGTTGGGTGCGCACGCCTTGGCTATCGGGCAGCAGGAAGTGAGACGGGCCGTCCACCTCGATCGCGATGCGTGACGAGGGTAACCAAAACGCCAGGTCGAGCGAGTAGCCGGTGCGCGGCTCGAGATACTCCTCCTTGAAGCCGTACCGGACGGTGGCGAGGGAATCCGCGACGGAGCGCTGCAAGCGCGAGATCGTCACTTGCGTGCCTTGGGCTTGCATGGCGTCACAGCAAAGCTGGCGCTGGGAGTTGGAGAGAAGATACTGCTGCGCCTCTGCGCCGCGTTCCAGGAAGAGCTTGAGCTGCCACTGGTGCAGTTGGGCGCGGGCCTCGACGCCCCACCTCGCTGGGTCTTGCGCGAGCGAGCAATCAGCAAAAAGCAAAGGGTTACACCGATTCGCCGCCGCATACGCCCACACCGTGTTGGACAGCTCCTGAGCGTTGAAGCCAGCCAGCCCGCCGCGGCGCACCGCCGCCCCCGCCACCGCCGCGTACAGCGCGTCTGCAGCCACGCCCGCCGTCGCATACGCCCACACCGTGTTGGACAGCTCCTGAGCGTTGAAGCCAGCCAGCCCGCCGCGCACCGCCGCCCCCGCCACCGCCGCGTACAGCGCGTCTGCAGCCACGCCCGCTGTCGCATACGCCCACGCTGTGTTGGACAAGTCCTGCGGGTTGAAGCCAGCCAGCCCGCCGCGCACCGCTGCCTCCGCCACCGCCGCGTACAGAGCGTCTGCAGCCACGGCATACGCCCACACCGTGTTGGCCAGGGCCTGAGCGTTGAAGCCAGCCAGCCCGCTGCGGCGCACCGCCGCCCCCGCCACCGCCGCGTACAGCGCGTCTGCAGCCACGCCCGCCCTCGCATACGCCCACACCGTGTTGGCCAGGTTCTGCGGGTTGAAGCCAGCCAGCCCGCCGCGCACCGCCGCCTCCGCCACCACCGCGTACAGCGCGTCTGCAGTCACGCCCGCTGTCGCATACGCCCACGCTGTGTTGGACAAGTCCTGCGGGTTGAAGCCAGCCAGCCCGCCGCGCACCGCTGCCTCCGCCACCGCCGCGTACAGAGCGTCTGCAGCCACGGCATACGCCCACACCGTGTTGGCCAGGGCCTGAGCGTTGAAGCCAGCCAGCCCGCTGCGGCGCACCGCCGCCTCCGCCACCGCCGCGTACAGAGCGTCTGCAGCCACGCCCGCCGTCACATACGCCCACACCGTGTTGCTTGAAGGAAGTCATCCCTCTCCCAAGGCCGCCTCCGCCATCGCCGCGTACAGCGAGCGCACCACACTCACAGGCAGCCGGCACCTTGCCACTCCGTGAGCGATATTAGCCAGCTCGCGTGCTTCGCATGACGGTATGAGTTCGAGCGTGCGCTTCACCAGCCGCTCAAGCTGCTCCTCGTGCCGCCGCTCGATGCGCAGCTTGCCGAGTTTGTTCCACAGGTTCGCAGCGTGGATGTGGCCACGTTGGTGCTGTGGGCAGCAAAAAGCGAGAGCAGCTCGTCAGCGTCGCTGGCATGCGAGATGTGGCTGTTGAGTTGCTTGGCTCGCGAATGCTCTGTAGAAGAGGTACAGTTGTAGGTAGGTAGAAAGGTGAAGAACAGTTAGGCTCGGACTGGACACCAGCGCGGTATGGGTGGACGCGAGACAGATGATGACGACACGCACGAACGACACACAGACACAAACAAGCTCACAAGACACACAGCCAGCTGGCTGCCACACACCCTGAGTTGGCGTACACATAACTCAGGGCCACATTCTCCCTGTCGCCCCCCCCAGCACTCCCAGGTGCCAAGAGAACAAACAAGGGCACAACAAACAACAGACAACAGGGGCGAACGCGTGAGGCTAGAGCAGGCTTGCTCGGCCTCTAGCAATCTCCGCCGACCGCGAGGCCGGACTAGACCGTGTGTGGGTTCTTGTGAGGTGTCTCTGGTCACTCTCCTCAGAGGCTAGCCGCCAGCCGCTTGCCCTATCTCGCTGAAGATGGCTGGCGAAAGAAACGCCCGCCCCGCTGCTGGGCGCGAGCAAGAATCATGCTCGCCTCCCACATGGCCAGCGCCAACGGCGCGGCGGGCGCGCTCTCCGACCCCTGCTTCGCTCGCTTCCGCCTCGAGGAGGACACGGTCGTCTTTGACGTCCGAGCCGGCGACGCGACCGGCAGCGTCAACCTCTCGCTGCACGAGCGCTCGCGGTACCCGCGCTCCGGCGCGCTGGCATTCGCGGACGGCTCGGACGCGCTGCTCCGCGCCGTCGAGTCCGTCTCCGAGCGCATCTCATCAGGCGCCTCCCTCCCCGCGGTGCTCGAGCAGCTCGGCCTCGCTCTCGGCTCCGAGGCGGTCTTGGCGCAGCTGCCGTCCTACTCCCAGATTGGCAGCGCGGACGGCGGCGCGTCCTCATCGGCGGGAGCCGGCGGCTCGGGCGATCCGCCCGAGGGCGGCGGGGACGCCTCGTCCGACGACGAGGACGAGGACGCCGCCTCTGGCGCGTCTTCCGACGACGACTACGACCTCGGCTTCAAGGCGGGCGACGAGCTCGACGAGCGGCTGCTGCGGCTGCGGCTCGCGTGGGAGGAGAAGGACACGCGCCGCCGCGAGGCCGCGCGCCGCGCCGTCGGCCTCGACCCTCCCGCCGACGACTCCGCGCCCGCCGCCGCGCCGGCCGCCGCCGCGCCAGAGCCGGCCGAGTCGAAGGAGCCAAAGCGGCGGGGGGACAAGGGCGACAAGCAGACGGGCAAGCGCGGGGCGGCGTCGCAGATCTTCTCGTCCGCCGAGGCGACCCGCATCCTGTGCAACGAGCTCGTCGCCCTCATCCGCGAGCGCGCCGAGGGCTTCGCAGGTCGCCCCTCGCTCGCGCCTGCGACGCCGGCGGGGGGGGGAGGGCGCGCCTCGCCCCGAGGCCAGTCTCTGCACGAATAGGGATCCTCGCCGACTGCGTCGACCTCGACATCCACCACTGGGTCGTGGAGATCTCGGACATCACGCCGGGGACGCCGCTCCACGCCGACCTGCTGCAGTTGGGCGGCCCAGACGGCTGCGCAAACGTGCAGCTCGAGCTGCGGTTCCAGCCCGACATGCACCCCTTCTACCCCGTCCAGATCTCGCTGCTCAAGCCGCGGCTGCTGGGCGTCACCGGCGACGCGCTGATGTCGCACCCGATGCTCTCGCTCGAGGGGTGGGACCCGATGAAGTCGATCAAGGCGAGACCCCCTTTCGCCGCGCAGGACACGTCCAGGACACGTCCAGGGCCGTCCGGCACACGCGTGCGGCGCGTGGCTGTGTAGGCAATCATCCGCGGCGCGCAGGCCTTCCTCGAGACGCACGGCCGCGTCGCGCTCGACGACCCGCGCAACGGCGGCGGCCCCCCCGCCTACAGCAGGGCCGAGGCGTGCCTCAGCCGGCTCGAGCTTCTCGCGGGATTGCGCCCGTGGTGGGCGGCCGAGGCGCCGAAGCTGCTCGCGGCGCGGCAGGCCGGCGTCGACACAGAGCGGATCCGTGAGCTCGCGCGCGCGGAGGGCTGTGGGCAGGCGGCGAGGCCAGCTATGAAGTGTCCCCGTGCGAACAGGCGAGCTGCACTACGGCAAGCGGCAGAAGCGGCCCGCCGGGCAGCAGCGCGGCGGCTGGGCGTCAGGCGTCGGGTACGGCCACCAAGGCAACGAAGGAGGTCCGTCTTGGGACATCGCGACGGCCGAGGCGGCGCAGGCGCAGCAGGACATCGAGATGCGCGAGCTGCTCGGCCGGGTGACGTCCGAGGCGGAGGCGGGCGCCATCTCCGCCGACGTGGCCCGCGACTCGTGCCTCCGCACTCTCCTCTGGCAGCAGCTGCGTTGCGGCTCGCTCCTCGACATCGGTTCGCGCCCCGAGCGCGCGCTCATGTTTGCGCACGTCCTCTCGCTGCTGCGCGCGGTTGGGCGCAGCCCCGCCATGGCGGGCGTGCTCGCCTCTCCCCCCGCCTCGTCGCTCGGCGGCGGCCCGCCCGCCGCCAGCGGAGAGCCAACCACAATCCTCGAGGCTCTCGGCGTGGTGCAGCGGCAGGCAGCTTTCCTGCTGCGCTCCCAGCCGGCCGCGCCCACGCCCGCCGCCGCGCCCGCCGCCGCGCCCGCCGCCGCGCCCGCCGCCGCGCAGGCCGCAGCGTCGAGCGGCGCGTCGGACCAGGCCGCTGCCGGCGACACGCTCGCGGCCGTCGCCGAGGCTGTCGCCGCTGCGGTTGCAGAGGCTCGCGCTTCGGCGGCGAAGGCCGAGCCCGCTCCGCCGCAGGCCGCGCTCCGGCCTGGCGCGCGCGCCGCCGTCTCCGCCGAGGCGCTCACGCCGCTCGACAATACCTTCTCCGTCCCTCTGGCGCGCCACATCGTCGCCGTCGCCGCCGACCTCGAGGCGGCGCCCATCGCGACGCAGGCGCCGCCAGCGGCTGCACCGGCGCCGGCGCCGGCCAACGCCTCCAGCGCCGCCCTCCCCGCCCCGCCCCCCGCCCGCCGCTCGCGCCGCGGGGGCGACGCGGCGGCGGCCAACCCGCCGGCGACGGCCAACGGTCGGACCACCCGGAGGAGCGCCGCCGCTGCGACCACCGCCGCGCCGGCCGCCGCGAGCGGCGGCCCGAGCGGGGGCGCCTCCTCCTCGGCGTGCGATGGGGAGGCGGAGTACTTGCGCCAGATGCGGCCGCTCGTCTTCGAGGCGGTCGAGTCGCTCCACGGGCACCACTACGAGGGCAAGGCGGGCAAGATGGACGCACTCGGCTCGCGTTCTCGCCGGCTGGCGCTCGAGGCGGCCGATGTGGTGGCGGGGGGGTGGCGGGCTGTGAGGAGGGTCTCTTCAGACCCGCTGCTGCTGTGAGCAGGCGGCCGACATGATGGGCGGCGGGCTGCCCGTCACGATGTCGTCGACGGTGTGGTGCCGCGTGCACGAGTCGCAGATGCACTTGTGGCGCGCGATGATCTCTGGGCCTGAGGGGACGCCGTACGAGGGCGGCCTCTTCATCTTCGACATCCTCTGCCCGAACGACTACCCAAACACGGCGCCAAAGGTCAACCTGCGCACGACGGGCGCTGGCTCTGTCCGCTTCAACCCGAACCTGTACAATTGCGGCAAGGCTTGTCTCTCGCCCCCGGACGATGCACCGTCGCTTGTGACACGCCCACCACACGTCCACGTCGCTGCAGGTCTGCCTCTCGCTGCTGGGCACGTGGCAGGGCGACGCGGGCGAGTCGTGGCACGCGAAGACCTCCACGCTGCTGCAGGTCCTCATGTCGGTCCAGGCGCTCATCCTCGTGCCGGACCCGTTCTTCAACGAGCCGGGGTACGAGCGGATCCGAGGCACGCCGCAGGGCGACTCGCAGTCGCGAGGCACGGCCGTAGATGCGGGGTACGGACCGAACATCTCCAACTAGCGCTCGAGAGTGCACGGCGGGAGTCTTACTGGGGTCTTTCCGCGCACCCCCTGTTCTGACGCCGGGGTGGGCTGACGCCGCAGGCTACAACGAGCCGCTCCGCGAGGCCACCGTGCGGTACGCGATGATCGAGCAGCTCCGCTCGCCCGTGCCGGAGCTGCGGGACGCCATCTTCGCACACTTCCGCCTCCGCCGCGCCGCCATCCTCGCCAACGTGCGGCGCATGGCGTCGGACCCGAAGAACTCCAAGGCGCACGCGAGCAACATGGCGGCCCTCGTGCGCCAGCTCGAGGAGGCGCTCAACGCGAACCTGCCCGCCGAGGCGTGAGACGGCGAGGGCGCGGGGCCAAGGGGCGCTGCGGCAATTCTCTCGGGAGAAGGGGGGGGGGGGGGGGGCAGGAAGAGAGAGAATTGTGGGGACCACTCAACTCTCAATGTCGGAAACAATGTGTGGTCGTGTGTGACGCGTGTGTGCATTGTCGTCCGTGAGTGCATTGTGTGTGCCTCTCTGGAGTCTCTGCGCACGCGCACGCTCCCCGCCGTTGTGAGAGCGAGCCTGTTCTGGAGCGGGTCCCTACGCACTTACAATCATACGCATAAACACTGTTCACTGTAGTCGGCCCCGTGAACCTTCACGGGACAGTCTGCTGTGAGAGCCCCTGTGTGAAGAGTGCGTAAGGAGAGTACACTTACGAATTAGATACGGAGCGCGGCCTAATCCGCGTGTCTCCAGCGATGGCGTCACCGAGCGCGCAGCCGCGCACCAGGCGCGCACAGCCAAAGCACAACGATCAACGTCAAGAGCCGACACCTCCTCCCTGGCGACGGCATTACCTGCTGCGACGAGGCGAGAAAGCTCGGCCAGCGGAGGTCGAAGCCGAGAGGCGCTGGGCTGTTCAATGCCATCAAAGCGCGCATGGGTGTGCTGGCAGGGGCGGAGCTCGTACTCGAGCTCCCTTTCGCCGCGACCGCGCGTGCGCACTTCAATGCGCAAGGGCCCCGGATCACGCCGAGCGACGTGACATCCTGAGGCGGCGGAGTGCAGCGGTCGAGCTCGACATCGCCCTGCGGAGCAGAGAGCGAAAGCTCCGCCTCTTGCCACACGCCGCCGCCTCCGCCGCCTCTGCCGCCTCCTCCGCGCGCAGGGCGCGTCGCCGCCACTCCGACGCCTCGAGGCGGGCCGTGCGCAGGTCCACCTCCAGCGCCGCCCTCTGCCCCTCCAGCCTCGCAACCTCGCAGCGAAGGGCTGCCTCCTCCTCGCCTCCTCCTCCTCCTCCTCCCGGCCGAGGGGGAGGCCCACCGCTTGCGGGCTCGTCCTGCCCGCGCGTCTGCCGCCGAAGGACGCGGCCGGCCTCGGACCCGCCAACCAGCTCGCGGTTCGAAGCCGAAGCAGCCACCCACTGCGCCTCCGCCGCCGCCGCCCGCACACCCGCGGCCTCGGCCTCCTCCCGCAACGCATCTCCCGCAGCGCGAAGCGCGCGCAGAGCTGCCTCGTCGTCGCCGCCGCCGCCGCCTCCGCCGCCGCCGCCTCCGCCGCCGCCTCCGGTGTCAGCAGCCGGCGGGCCTGCGGGCGGCGCGGCGCGGCGCGGCGTGGCGCTCGCGTCCGCAGCCACCGCAGCGGCCGCAGCGGCCGCAGCAGCTGGCGGGGGAGCGCGTGGTGGCTGCTCTGATGGACGGAGAGCCTGCCCAGCGACAGCGACGCACGCGGCGCCCGCAGCGACGGCGGTGCCCGCGGGCGACGGCAGCGCGGGGAGCGAGGGCACCAGCGTGGACACCAGCGGCAGCGGCGAGACGGTCGGCGAAGCCGGCGGCAGCGGTGGCAATGGAGACGGCGGCGGCGGCGGCGGCGGCGGTGGCGCAGGCAGTGCCGACGGTGTCGGGGAGAAGCTCGAGGCGACCGCAGACTTGGCTGTGTCGCGCGTTGGCCTGCTGCCGGCCGAGTAGCCCACGGACGCGGCCAGCGGAAGTAGCGCGAGGACCGCTCGGCGGTTCGGCAGAGCAGCCGCCGGCGCGGCTGTTGCCGCCTGCTGCTTGGCAACCTCTAGCTCCCTCGACAGGCGCACGTTCCGCGCCTCGGAGAGGGCGGCGATCGCGGCAGTCGCAAGGCCCAGCGCAAGCCCGGCTGGCGGCCCCACGGACGGTGTGGTTGCAATCGCTGTCGCTGCCACGTAATCGTCAATGTCGCGCGATACGAGGTCGAGGAGGGGAGTGATGTCAGCCTCGGTGAGCATGCTTGGAACGGAGGCGCGAGTCGGTCGGTGCGCGAGTGGTCCGGCGCAGCCACCACTCGTCGAGGTCCGAAGGATGGTCGGGGCCACTTGCATGGATGCTAGGACGGGGGCAACTTCGGGAAGGCGCATGGCCGATGATGCGAGGGGAGGTGCGCTGGCCGCGAGGGCGCTGTGCCTGGCGATGAGTGCTGATTTTCGCGGGAAATAAAAAACCCAGCCTCCGCTGGCGCGAAAAAAAGATAGGCGACACAAGAGGAAATGACAAGGGAGAGAACGACGAGAGTGGGACGACCGCCGCGAGGTGGCATGAAGGTTGCAGCGAGAAGCGGCGAGAGACTGCGAAGAGAGATAGGTAGGAAGAGGCAGACTCCCTAGGGTGGGCGACGGCTAGCGCATCACACACCTCTCCTTAAAATCCCTGTGTGGTGGCGGCGTGCCGTCCTCCCACATCCCTCCCTTGGGTTGTCTGTTTTCTTTCTTTTAGGGAAAAAATGTGGACAACCGAAAACGGAATGAGAGAGAGAGAGAGAGAGAGAGAGAGAGAGAGAGAGAGAGAGAGAGAGAGAGAGAGAGAGAGAGAGAGAGAGAGAGAGAGAGAGAATCCAGGGCGGCTGATGGGGGGGCGGAGCCGCTGCCGCGGCGGCTGGGTGGGGCCGCCCCCCCCCCTCTTTAGAGGGTTTGGATGTTGAGAGTTGAGGAAATCAGATGACGCGACACACTTCGCCACGCAGACGGTCCCGCGGGCGCCTCGCCGCCATGACGGGCAATTGTGATCGGTCAAAACGCGGGCAGACGCGGACGCCACGCGCCAGGCCGCATGGGACGCCCTCCCGCCGGCGGCGGAGAAGGTGAGCCTCCCTGATGCGAGGGCGCCACCGGCGGTGCCGCCGGGAGGCGAGTGGGAGTGCATTGACGCGCACAGCGCCTTCCAGTGCGCCGTCTCCCCGTGCAGTCACGTTCTCGAGGTACCGGATTCGCTGCGAGGCGAGTGGGCGAGAGCCAATGTCGACGTCTTCGACTTCATTCAGGCTGCCAAGAGCTCGGGCGATGAGCTGGCGCTCGAGCGCGGGCTCAAGTGGCAACTATGTCTGCATGACGTGCTCCTGCGAGGGCCGGCGCGCACCTCTCGGGGCGGCGGTCGCTCCATCGACGTGTCGACGTCTCTCGCCCTGCGCTTCCAGCGGTGGCGCAACGGCGAGCGGGCCGCCCTCCTCTGCGCCTGGGAGGCCGATCGCACCAGAGCGTGGTCGGCTCGGCGTTGGAGCGCGCATCGCCGCGAGAGCTTCGAGGAGCGGACGGAGCGAGAGCGCTCGGCAGCGGTGTCCGCGGCGCTCGCGCTCTTCGCGGACGGCGAGATCTCTCGCGCGATGCGGATGCTTCACTCGCTGGGCATTGCCGACCTCTCGGCCTCCGTGCTCCTGCAGCTGCGCAGGAAGCACCCGGAGCGCGATCGCCCCGTCCCGCACGACCTGCCCGTGCAGGTCCCGGCGGTGCGGGTGAGCCTCACCGAGACGTTCCGCAAGCTGCGGCGGCGCGCGGGCACCGGGCCTTCGGGCAACCGCAACGAGTACCTCAGGGTGCTCACCCACTCCTTCGACGACGCCAAGGCCGACAGCGTCATGCAGAAGTACGATGCCTTCGCCTCGGAGCTCGCCAGCGGGGACTTGCCGACCTGGTTCTCGGGAGAGCCCAGCCGTGCGCGCGCTCGTGGGCAAGAGCATCGCCTGCTCCGGCCGCGGCCCTCCTCGAGTCTGCGATGCCTTTGGCGTCCAGCTGGGCTTGGCGACGCTCAACGACCGCGCCCACGGCAACTGCCACGACGACATCTTCTCACGCGTGATCGGTGATGCGCTGCACGCGGGGCTGCGCGGCAAGGAGGAACCGCGCGAGATCTTCAGCGCCGTCATCCCGCCTGTCACACTCAACGGCACAGCTGGCACGCGCGGCAAGAACGGCATCGTGCCGGATGGGCGCCTGCACTGCAAGCTGCGCGAGTCCCGCACGGCGCGCTGCACGGGCACACGAGGCCAGGCGCATCCGTCTGTCCGGTGGCGCGGCACGACAGTGCAGCGCGGGCCCGAGCAGCCGCCGGCGGAGCACCTCCTCGAGGGCAAGACCATCCACCGCGGCGGGCCTCACTACATGAGCGCTCGGGCGCGCGACGATGGCCAGGGCGGCGCTGTCGCCGACAGGGCGAACCTTGTCCAGCGCGACTACGAGGCGCGGGCGGCGGCGCTCGATGCCAAGCCGCACGTGCAGGCATGGAACAACGGCTCGAGGGACGCCGTTTCCTCCGTGCTGCGCTCGTTTGGCACCGTGCGCAGCCTCGTTGTCGGGGCCTACGCGGAGGCGTCGGACGACCTGCACCAGCTGTTCGACTGTGTGGTGGAGTCGGCATCCAAGCAGCACTGGAGGCGGATCGGCGCGCGTAGCGCGAAGGAGGCGCGGTCCTACTTCGCTACGACGCTGCGGCGGGCGTGGGGCGTGCACTTTGCGCGCGAGTTCGCGCGGCACCGCATCCGACGCGTGGTGTTCGTGGGGGCCCCGCGGCGACAGCCGGGCAGGCCTCTCGCGACGGCCGATGGAGACTGGCCAGCGCTGTCGGCGGGCGAGTTTGCGGCGCACGCGCTGCGCGTAGGCGGCGCGTGGGCGGGCGGCCCGCCCGGCCGTCGGTGAGCACCGGACGCGAGGGTCGGTCGGCTCTTAACTAGCTGTATATAG